ACGGATCTTGATGCGGTTTTTTTTACTAGATAGAGTGATTGAAGAGGAAGGTTCATATGTATAATACATTGCACCCGTGCAAAGCCGGGGAGGTTTGCTAGTTTTTAATATCTATGTGGTTTGAAAACTCCTTAGATTTTAATCAAGCGGAAAATTTCTTGACCTTAATGAAATATTGAAAGTAATAATTTTCTCTGCTTAAAAATATTTTATGAGTAGAAAAATTTTCTAAACTGAAAACTAATCGGCGGTGCGCTTTCACTAAAAATTCCCTTCACATGTTTTTTCAAAGGCGCCTCGAGCGAATTAATCTTGTGCGCGAAATTGCTTCACATAAAAGGTTCGATCATAGTTTTACTCTATTTCACGTTTAAATCTTATTTTATGATGAAAAAAGTCACGGAAACATGACATGGAAGTCTTAAGGTTTAAGTGACACCAACGCGACCAGCTGAGATAGAGATTTAAACATCGTGAGTCATGAATACAGCGGATCAGTGAGAGGTGCGTCAGAAACTACGGGAATCATTTCCTTTCCAAATAATCTGTCGATTTATTTGAGTTGGCCCTTTTGTGCTTTCACTTCTTGATAACTGAACATTTATGAAATGATTTCATAATCGCTCTCGCTCGCCGTATATGTTATTTCTTATCGTAATTAACACTGCAGCGGTAGCCGCATACGTAATCAAAGATGTACGTATATGCCATGTTGATTACATCTAAAGGGATTAGCCGTCACTGAGGTGTAAATTCAATCGCATACCGCCCTAAGATAATCTCCCGAGACATTTCTCAGTTGGTGCACTACTTTAATGGACTCATCTAGCTTTAGAATGTCTCAATTACACGGCTTAAGCGCATTTGTATTAAATGGTTTCCTATAGCGATATACACTTACTAGACGCGCTGTTCAGAGATCTCCCTTAGTGGTACTTGTAGTGGGTTCGACCCGGCTCTCTTTATATAATAGTCGAACTATTTTACATACTATTTGATGTAATTTGTTTGATTAAAATTTCATCGGGCACTGTTGTTCTTGAAAGTCAAACTTTCCATAATCTTAAATCTTAGAACTGATGGTACGGTGAGATTCTTACTTAAACCGATTCAGAATCTGCCGTGTTTTAAAGCATTTCTTTATGTTGTATGCCACTTGATGCGGGCCGCGATCCACCTCTAACAAATAATCTTGACGTCTCAGAAATTTCTCCGCGCTTCTGGGCATTCGGCGGGCCTTAGTAATAGTAGTAAGGCACCTTAATGGTCCTTTACGTCGACCATCTATCCTTTATGACTGCAACGGATAACCTTTTCGGGTTCTCGGAACACTCGCGGTCGCCCCTCGTACGGTAGTTGGCTGTTTGCGGATCGATTTCCTCAGTGGCAAGTTGATTTTAACGCCGTTGTAAATGGCCTATGACAAGCTGCATGTCGCTTAAAGCAGAACAGAGTCTGTATAAATAAAACAATGAGTTGACGGACCTAGTGCGTTTACCATCTTACATGACATCACTTACTATAAGGTATTCAAACACTTGTCGGTGAATTTTAATAATAGGTACTGATACTGGTTAAAACTCGTTGGTGTTATCATTATGCATTCTGAGAATTTAAATGTCGTTGTAATAAAAATAAAGTTCTTAGAAAAGCTTTATGTTAACTAGCTGACTCGGCAAACGTTGTTTTGCTATAAAGTGTTTGACAGGTTACACAGACAGGGTTGACAGGTTGACAGGTACAGTTTGTATGGGGAAATAAAATTGTTGCTATTTCGGTTTTCATTGCAATTTTTCGATAATTTCTCATCGTTTAAACCTTCAAAATCGGTCCAGCCGTTCTCTAGTTTTAGCGAGACTAACGAACAGAAATATATAAAATAAACAAGATTACGGTTAATATCAATGCCACTGCCAAGTAACGGCTTAATCATTTTCGGTTAGTTTATATAGGTTGGCTATACGAAAAACGCTACGCAGATGGCCTAGTTGGTAAAGTATTTGGGCGCGAAACCAGAAGACGCAAGTTCGATTGCCGCTGCGCCGAACGTTTTTATTCATTTATCTATAAAAAATTAAATCGTTTATAAAAGGTGATATTTACTGTTTTTAACAACAAAAAAGAACGTTTAATCCGCTTGAAACTATTTCATACAAGGCCCCTTTATTCTGTGGTGGTTTAAGAATCAATTGTCACAAACATACGAAGCATTAGTTCGAGCGGCAACGGTTGGAGCGTTTGCAAGTTAGTAAATTAAACCTTAATACGCCACTTCCCTTTCCGCCGGCGCAGCGTCTTGTTACAAAATATTTAGATAAATCTTTAACAAGTTCGGGCGTTCCTACGAGTGTACGTTCCGGGTGCCTCCTGCTATATTGAAACGTCGTACCTCTGTACGTGGTACGTCCAGGTTGGGGCCTCGCGAAAACCAAGAGGAGAATATAAATTGCGCTATTCCCCACCTGTTCCTGAAACACTGATCATCTTTGAAATTTTTAGAATCTTAGAAATTAACTAATCATGATCAGAAATTATCAATTCAAAGAGTTTAACCTTTCCTTTGAATGACATTTGACAAGTCGTTTGACAGCTGATTAGTTATTTTCTGCGACGATCCGTGTTTCAGAAACCGGGCGTAAGTATTGCTTTCCTCTTAGAGTCACTATGTTTTAACGAGTCTCGCGAACGCACTGATATATTTGTTCTTTGTTAGCTTATTGCGGGTACGTTGTTTAGCGGACAAGGGGGCCGGGCCGTGGGTGGGCTCGGGGCTAAGCCACAAGTGGGTAATTTTCCTCAAGATTTAAAACAAAGGAATGCATTACAAAAGGCTCGCATATAAATATTTCACGAATCGATGAAAGGGCTCTATTAGGTTTTTTTAATAATCTTTCGTGCGACGCACTCAAATGTCTAAAGGTCGTTTGTATGTTACAAAGTTTGCTAGCTTGGGCAGAATGTCCAATGCTCTGTCATGAAATTTAGCATGTCCGTGACTTCTGTTAGCAATAGCAATTTACTTGCGCAACCCTAGCAGTTTTATGTTTGTATTTTGTTAACCAAGTCGTGATCGTAAATGCCACGAACAATGGAATCACGACTCTATCTCGCCTACCTATGCGTGTATGTAGATCGATTTAGGCGGTTCTAGTTGCCGGTGTTACGTTATGATGTTTGGCCGAGCCGAATCGTAGTTCCTAAAACTACTTTGAGCGTCCGGCACGGAACTCGGATGCATACCTACTATGTACCTCTACCAACTCGATGCTTATCCACTTCGTTCACGTACTAACAAATCTCAAGAGAGCTACTATGTCCACGTAGACATAACGATTGTGTTACATCATCAATACGTTGAGAGTCCGCGATGACATTCGACTTTTATGTGAGAACCGCCCGCTTCGCTTGTCTGCCTAAGGAAATAAATTTCGACCTCTATTCAAATGACCGGTGCTGAGTAAAACTTGTTATCGCAATGGCATTTAGCATTGATGCTAAACTAAATGAAAAAAACTCAACGTTCCCGCGAGAGCACATGCAAATAAGGTTGCTGTTATTATAATACTTAGTTTTAAATTTTCTTAAACAAGTCAATTTAATCAAAATAAGTAGTAGATCATGTCGGGCGTATTACTACCGTAGTCGGAGCAGAGTGGAATATCGATATTTGTAAAGGCAAGCCAATTGGAGGGCCTACTTGCTTTGGAAACTGTATAGTTAAAATGAATGTGTGTTAACATGATAGCTTATAGATATAGGCTTATGACTCAACTCATGTCTAATGCGAATCTTGATAACGTAATTATTAATATGAAATATTTAATAACGTAACAATATCAACTCTTATAATGTCGAAATAAAAAAATATGCCAATTAAAAATTGTCAGGGTTTTACCGTGATGTCACGGTCGACACATTATTGTTTACGCTATAGATTACTACATTTATAGTGATTTAACAGAAAATCGCCTGTGAGCTCTATTGAGCGTTATGTCTGTCAGCTGTCAGCCGTTGGATTGGCGATGAACACGATACGATACACGACCTCGTAAATAAATAGATTTTAGTTTTAGGCAAGTGTTTAAAGTAGCGAATGTGACAATTTATCATTCATTGTTACATGCAGAACAATTTATACAAAATAACATAAACGGGTGACGCTTAACAATTTTAAATGGCCCGTAAAAAATGTGGTGAAACTTAAATAATAAGCGGCCTGAGGAACGTTACGCAAGTATGTTATTTCTTATGTTAGCGGTAAATTGTTTGAGATTTGTAATTATTATTTAAATATACCGTTTCTTCCTCTATAACTCTGAGGTGCCTTAAAAGACTTTATCAACTATAGTTCAGCATAACGTAACGTAATGTGAGGATGTGTTTTTTTTACTTTCTTAGAACATTTAATCAAATCATATTTTACTACTGCTTTTAATTAAATTTCATAATAAAGGCAAACAACTCCTTTAACATTATAATATATTTTCGCTCCACAAGTGACGAAGAAACTAATTTGTATGATCTAAATCTAACGCAATTATAATGAAAATCAATAGAGAAGTGCTATTAGCAGACAGTCTCAAGTACTTTATCTATCCAAGCAATATTGCGAAATTCACGTTTAGTTCATTATTTTAATCTTGATCTTGCAAGTGGCTTCGGCAACTTCATTACTTTGTTCAGTGGTACTTATATTTATTCACGTCTCGCTTTTACCCACAGAGTTAAATGATAGTCACATCCATGAATAATTTCCATAGCGTATGAGTATTATGTTTGTGCACCTCACATCGCAGCCAAGCATGACGCACGCACAGCAAACGCTTAATAGTTTGCGAGCGATTCGCCGTTTTGCTCCGAAACATTGGTCGGACGCCAACGGTGGTGAACTAAATCGCAAAACGCCATAAACTACTAACAATAGCCAACCTGACTGCTCCGCGGTAGCGTTCCTTCGGATTCGGCTCGAATGGCGGCACCGTCTCCCGTGCCGGTGCTCACGAGCTGCACCCGGGGCTCGTGTGGGTCGGGGCGAAGGCGTTCGAACACGCGCCTTTTGCGCTGACGCATGCGGCGGTGCGGTCGGCGCGCGCGCTACTGGCCCCGGCGCGGCGAACACGCGAGCCGCACGCCGCGAGGTGCGCTAGACTGACCTTCGCCACCCGCCGCTCGCCACTCGCGATTCCCGTTCCAGGGCCCGCTCCCCAGGGAACCCATTCAGCCTGAACATCGGATCCCGTCCGACCATTGCGTGCTTTCCGCGGCGTCCAGCAAACGCCCACCTCCTCGTTCGCTAACGAAATTGAAATCAGCCCGCGCACGGATCAATAGCGGGCCTTTTGTGTAATTTATCATCAATTTAGAGAGTACGAACTGATTTCACGGCACAACCGTGCATCATAATTTAATTAGCTCACGCCTCGTTGCCGACTCATTTGTGAATAAAGTCAATCTGTTGATTGAACGCTTTGTAGCAGCCCATTCAGCCGATCCCGCGCATGATCCAATGTTCAATGATTTAATTACTGTAGATTGGATACAAAGAAAAATTCAACAACTGTTTTAGCACCGTTCGCATACGTAACGGTATAAAGGTTAATCTATATAAATAAAATGAAACAGGCAAATTGTGCAAGAAAATAACGGAGAAATCACTGGATAGATTTAAATTAATCACTAATTAAATAAAGACACTTGTCCGTTATCAAATCCGTATCTAAAAAATATAGTAATATCTTCAATTAATAGAGAGTTATTAAAGGTTTAAGAAACAAAGATTTTCATAAGCACAACGTGTTCAGTGATGTATGTATGTTTTCTCATCGTCGAGAGGTGGGGCAGGCGCTGTGTTTGTTAATGTAATAAGCAACTCAGACGAAGTCGCGCGTGTCTGCTAGTTTCGAATGTGGTGGATATGAAAACCCTAAATAGTAATATAGACCTTTTTTATTATCTTTATACATTTTCGGAATAAATTTATTAATCTTCTGCAACGCCACTTGTTCATTTCTAATGCCATTGACTTGTTTTACTGTAACAGAGAATAGAGGAACCGTTCTCAAAATAGCACCGGGTTTCTGCCTTGCGTAACGTGTATATCGCAGAAAATTGGTGGCAATGAAACGATTGATCGCGTCGCGTCACTATCGTCCCAATAGCTTCCTGGACGTAGGTCTAGTGTTCGATTGCCGTGCTAGGTGCCACTTGGGCTCACGTCACAAAGGCTGTAATCGAATCACTGCACAGTTCACAGCTCTTACATAGTGCTACAATAAAAGTCACATTTGCGACAGACAATGCTACTATTCCAGTTTTAAATCTCGAGTCCTGGGATATTGTATTGCGAAGTACAATTCGTTTATACTTGTGGCTTTTTTAAAATGGTCATGGCATTATACATTTACGTTATTTACATTTTCGGTGTATTTAAATCTTTAAAAATATTATTTATTAAATATAATTTTAGATATATTTATGTGTGTTATTTTTTTATATAACGGCTTAGAATGATGTTTATTAGGGTGCTTCTACAGTTTAGGCTAGGTTAAATTATGTGTTTATACGAAGTTCATTAGTCCACGTAATAATTAGTTGAAATGATGCCCTAATTTTATGGTGATATATTTCAATGGTTATATTGAATGTTTGATTAAATATGTTAGTTAATTTTTAATGCAGATATAGGAACATGACTATTTGATTAAATAAGTTTGTAGAACTAGTGCGTATCTTACGACTGCAATATACATAGTTCTCAGCAACGTTCGTATCGTTCTCAGCGAGCATTGTAGACATGTTCTTCCCAGCAGTTTGTTCTTGTTGAAAGCAAGATGGCCAAATTTGCGACCGATGAATTCCTCAACAAATTAAATGTGAAAAAAATAATTAAAAATTTATTTTGTCAAATAGTCGTCCCTAGTGGTCAAATTAATTGCTTTGAGATAATACGTACAATTTATAATTAGTATCTATAAGTCGTACTGTTATTGAGTAAAAAGTTGACACGTGACTCATCTGGAAATTTTCGCCCCGATAGTATTGTTTTATTAGGTTGAATGCTTTAATACCACCTGTGGCATTGTGGAGTCAAAGCAGCAAGCCGCTAACTGAAACTAATTGCGTCTGAACTTAATCCTTATCAAGACCTTACGCTTAATGTTCCTTTCTCGAATAACTGGCAGCGATAAGATATGTTTATAAATTTTGCTCTTTAATTATAAAGCGAATTCACTGGCTACGAACGTTTTATCTCCACGCTGATATTATATAATTATTCAACTACTAGATTTTAGCGTAACATCGTTGATAAAGAAGACATTTCACGATAAAGAAGACTTCCTATGTAAAATTTAAAATCGTGATATATTATGATTTATTTTAACTTTTTCCAAATAAAGGCGTATCATAAGTTTTCTACGACTTTATTTTTGTGGTTGAATGTCAAAATTTGTAATTACTTTACTATATCTATATACAAAATTCTCGTTTCACAATGTTAGTTGTCCTCCGAAGCGACTAATTGATTTTTATTAAATTTTATATGTATATTTGGTAGGTATGAGATTCAGTCTTGATCTTTTTCATATTCCTAACTGATATGGGTGATCCACCCCAAAGTTCTTTTTTCACCAACAATTTCATTACAAATAATTTATAAGGGCAAAGAATGCTTGCCGGTTCAGCTAATATTACAATATTACTGCAACATACAGGAATTATTATATAATTCCTGTATTATTATATAAATCCTGTACGTTGCAGCAATAAATGCATCTAATTAATGTACAACATAAATCACATTAGCGCAATGACAATTAATAGACATTCAAAATTAACAAACTTGCCGTTGGGACTTGTTAACATAGCATAATGGAAACGTTGTCCAGGTATCCGATAGGGACTTGTTTGAGTGTTGCTGTTAAGTTTACGTTTGCATGGTTACCGGTGTAAAAGGGTTCTTATAAAAATACCACGGAAGCTTAATGAAATTCTATTTATTTCGATTTGACGCCGAGTGACCGGTCGCTAAAGCGTTAATGAAATTGTGTGAGATCGACGCATCTCAATCACGCTGAGTGATGCGCGCTAGTATCGATTTCGTTTACGGTGCCCGCGTTGCATCGCACCGTGTATGCTGCCCATTGTACGGTTGGAATACGGTTAAAATTCCTCAACGCCGTAATACTGGACAGGGCTTGATGTTGACGTAACGTGCATAGGTGGGCTCCGTGTCTGGAACGCGTCACACGTTACGTTGTAATGAGGCGTTCGTTTCTAACATTAAAAATCACTGGATCTTTTTTTTATATTTGTGTTTAAACAATCTTAGTTTCCCTGTCCTTTAGGCGCTGTATGCAGTGATTTTTTAACTATTTCGGTGGTGAAGCAGGGGAGGTGTTACCCCGATTAGCGGGGCGCGGCGCGCGAGTTTCGTCCACGCGCCGCGTGACCAAGTCATTCATTACCTATTTAGGTGGGCCGTAAGATACTATCGATAGTATCATGTAAGGCTTTCGAAAATGTACAAGACGATCCCAGTAATATCTTTTATAGACCATGATTGTATTTTACTTTTACATTATTATTGGAATAGTAATAAACAGACAAATATAAAGCATGAGAAAGCAATCAACAATTTTAGCAAATCCTCGTATAAATTATCAGGAAACGGATTGGAAATTATTAAAATACATGTTAAGGTTAAATAAATTAATAAGGGCAAAAAAAAAACATTACAATAAAACAATAAATAAACGAATAATTATTTATTTCGGTTTAGCGTAATCGCTCATAAAAATTCATTGGCTACCCGGCAGAAATTACAAATACGACTTTTTATTACATATTTTCTTAAACTATATACCTTTACTGTTTTCTTGAATTTAAGCGAATATTATACACATTAAATGAAATCAAAATCAAAATAAAAAACGCGATAAAATCCGTAAACTAGTTTCATTTAATATCTTTATTATATCCTTTAAATATTAAAGTTTATATAAACTCCTCAATGAAATGATATTTAAAAAATATCGATAAAATTCCTTATATCGATAAATGACAACAATTATAACTAGAATCGAAATTTTTTTAACTTCCACAGACATCGTGTGGCCTATTGGTCCGAGTGCCATGGTAGGTGAACAATTACGGTGGTCCCAAGTTCAAACCTTATTGAGTTAATCAATTAATTATTTTGTTTTTATTTCATAAAATGTGGAAAATAAACAAATTAATGGAAAAATTATATAACAATTATTTTTCGTGTCCGTAAAAGATAAATTTTCTTTTTAGGGTGAAAAATAAAATATTTGAATAAAAAAATTAGAAACAACATACACTATAAACTTGTTAAAAATTTGAAATATTGAAAAGTTGGTTTATTATATGATAGATTGTTCTCCGACTGTTGTGTTCTGCGTTTAACAGATACAATAATATTTCTATGTAATTACTTACAATAATAAAAAATCAACAAAAATAAATGGTAAATAAAAAAACATGTTTACAAAAAAGAAAGTCAAAAAATATACAAAGGAATGTAGGGATTTGATCCCAATCCCTATAGAATGATGGTCCATTACACTGTATGTATAGGACTGATAAACCTATCATTTACAAGATAAGATATTGAAATTACCTTTTAGTTGTTAATTCATACAAATAATTAAAAATACGAAATATGTGAAAACATATTTTTTTAGTTTCGTGTTTTCGAAAGATATAATAAAAGTATAACTCTCAATAATAAATAAATACGGAACATATTTCGTAACGGAAGACTAGCGGCATAGGGCCATCTAGCAACGCGCCTCAGCGCTCTCTGTTCAATGTATGAAAATGGAAGGGAACCGAAACAACTCCGCGGTGGCGCTGTGTGTTTGTCGACGCGTTCGAATTAATTTTAATGAATTAAATTGATATTTATAAATATCTTACTTTAATCAACAAATTAAGATAACAATCCTTGTTATTAAAACATTCTACAACACTGATATTAATTTCATTATTTATACACTGATATAGATTTGTTGATGTATTAGGTTCATTTTTGGATTTGAATTTCTCTTTTAGAGGTAGTTTCATGATTTTTTTTATATTGAGAAAATATAGCGAGAGTCAGTTTTGAAAATTTTGATAATTTTGAAACAATGTTCCATTAGAATGTAAGATCAAGATTCACATATATTTTTTTTTTGTGGCTATAAAATGTATAGATTTTGTTAAAAAATCTTTTGAAAAACGTATTTTTACTGCATACAGCGCCTTAAAGTATTCTATGGTTGCCTAGCATATGTTTTATTACTGTCCCAAACATACGTTTTAACTTTTTAAAATTGTATTAAGCATATACATTCTTTAAACATCATTATTTACCGAGTTTTTAAATTTTACAAAATAAACATTACTCGTAATGCGACGCTGTGGCAACGAATGAAAAAGTTTCTGAATGTATGAATCAGTCAGTTGTAGTTGTAGAGGATGTTACGAATTTAGTTTCTTTTTCATTTAATTAGTTTGTTTAAAACTTTATTTTTTTAATTATGGATTTTTTTAACGTTTTGTATTTTTTTATGATTATTGGCAAGTAGCGTTAGACGTGTGTTCAGTTATTGTCGCGGTTCGCGATGCGCGCATTAAAATTGATAGTTTGGAAAATTTAATAACTCGGTGAATATTGATGTTTAAAGAATGTAAATGTTTAATAAAATTTAAACAAGTTATCCTCTATATGTGTGTTCATTTATTGTCGCAGTTGTAAAGATGTATATATCCATTTGTAAAGTGCAGCTCATAGGAACGTTTGAAGAACGCTTTGGTCCAGATTCTCACGCCCCAAGAATGGCTCTTGATCATTGAGAGGGCACCGGATATCGAACATTTGATCCGCCTCGGCGACGAACAAACGCCTATTATACTTTGTTCGCTTGCACCGAAAAGTAACATCCTTTTATTAAAACAAATCCTTTTATTAAAAGAAAATAGTAATTTATACGGTTTATTATAGTTGCGGTCAAATTAAAAGTGTTTTCGAAAGTCTTTGAAACCATTATATTTAAGATCACATACCTACGTGATTTTGTATTTTTCATTTTTACGTCATAATGTAGTAATTTATGTTCAACTAATTAAGAATTAGTAGTACAAGAACAATTTTATAACAAATATATTGTTTTACTTCAATTAAAAAGTTGTTTTTTTTTAACTTATATTTATCATTTGTATCAATTCTATCACAAATAGTGAGATGAAAGTAATGACTGGAACGTAAACCTAAACAATCTCAGTTATTGAATTATTAGATGTCACTATTTATCATCATTTATTTCCGTGTAAGATTAGGCACTTTACAATGTATGTAATATTTATTAGTATTCACATTATTACGAAGAGATTTTTTTTTATGTGAAAGTTGCCTAGAGAGCAGACGGTTCACCTGACGTTAAGTGAATACCGCCGCCCATGGACATCTAAACCCGAGGGTTACAGATGCGTTGACAACCTTTTTTTCGATTGGGCTCCGGCTACCACACTCACCAGACGAAACGCGAAAGTATTTGCCATACTTCCACTTTACGCCGGTCTTCTGCGAGGTCGTGGTACTCACCCAGACGGGCCTGCCTATTCGTGCAACAGCCGAGGCTGTTGCGTGGCCCTACCACCGGATAAATTAATACATAATTAAAAGGAATAAAATAAATTTAAATAACTTGTGTTGTTTATTCCTTATTACCTTAATATTTATTTTAATTTTATCCTTATTACTTAGTATTTTCTTTGTATATAAAATATAATCTAATGTTTCTAAAATATTCATATGAACACCACAACTAAATTGATAATATAACAGTCGTTAAATGTAAGAATTTGAAATTACGAATTGAATCATGCGTTTGAGCATATGAATTGCGGGTTTTTTCAAAGATGATGTTAATATAATAATAAAATTTCTATTGTGCACTGAACGCGATTTCATTCTTTTCGGTCTCTTTTCGCTTTAAAATGTTAACCCTCGCCGCCTTCTGGTTCCATATTTACCGCTTCCTCCCTTTTTCACACACGTTCATCACCGTTTGCGACTGTAAGGCTAAGTTATTTCAAGTGTTAACTTGAACGCACGCTTTTGTTAATATAAAGATAGATTTATAGTTTTCAAATAATGTATCGCATAAACTGTAAAGCTATATTAATATATTCCAGATAACAATAAAAATGGAATAGTGGAAGTATATTTTAATAGTGTGTATATTTTTGATTAAAAGTTATTATTGTAAACAAAACTCTAGTGACATTAAAGTTTATGATAATGTAATTTCGTGAAACTCTAATGGTGCCTGTGAACCATATTAAAGGGAATGAAAACTAATTAAAAATGGTTGTTTCATTCACATTTATGTGTTGTATATGATACAAATAATGATGTTGTAAAGGTATCTAATATATTACTTATTACAAATAAACACACCGATCACATTCAACGTTTATTTATCAAGTAACATCAATGGAATAACATATTTCGTTTTAAATATCTATTAGACACTAAACAGAACTACTTTATATTTGATTATTTATCATAAAATATTTTAACGTCAATACAATGGAAAGATTTATTACTATGCGATTATCATTATCGTTGCTACTGATCTTGTCATCTAATTATTGGGAAATAGAGTTGCTAACATTTAGGACTAAGACTACATTTTTAAACACCAATATACATCAATTTTAGTATCTAGGAATCATGTAGTCTAACATTCATAAAACATTTAAAATACATCGAATTAATTTTTAAACACCAATATACATCAATAGTTATTATTAAACACATTGTCGCCTACCATAGATATAATATAATAGAACAACATTAGATTTGAACGTCTATATAACAGCATTTTTTAAAAATGTAACTACCTAATTATGTTATAGTTTTTCTCTAATACAAATGTTTAATTTTTTTTGTCTAAACTTTGTCCATTTTTAGCACACACGCGTGCGCTGATATAATATAAGTTATAGTTTTTTCTGAAATAATGTAGTATCTACGAAACATGTAGTCTAATATTTCATAACACACTTTATACACATCAAATTGTTTTTTAAACACCGATATACATCAATAGTAATTAATTATTAAACATCTTGTAGCCTACTATAGGTATGTAATATGTATTTAATTTATATGACCCTAATAGAAGATGATTATTTTGAATGTATATATAACTGCATTTTTTTATTTATACACCTAATTTTCAGATAAGTTTTCTTTTATACAAATAAATTTTTTTTTTGTCTTCATTTTATTATATTTTATCCATTTTTTTTCCATTTTTTAATATTTCTTAAGTGTATTACAACATTAAATACTACGAGATATATTTTTTGTCTGACTAATTTAAATTTTTATCCATAAAATGAAATGCGTATGTCTTTTATACTTCGAAATTACAATTAGGTAACTGCTATTTGGTACGTTAACTTATTAAATGCAGTGGATAAACTGCTTAATGATTCGCGTCAGCGCAGCTAGGACATTGATAATTAAAATCTTGTGCAGCAGCGGCGAGTGCTTTACACAAAGCGAAGAATAAAGCTCTTATGTATTGCGACAAATGGTGCCTCTAAGTGGCCTTAAAAAATTATATAAAGTAAATAATAATCTTTACTATATACAATAAACTTTACAACCATGTCCGGCCCGACATGATCTTTCGAAACTCAGTACATTAATAAAATAATAGTAAATGAAATAATATCACAGCAAGGAACGCGTAAGCATCGCTGAACGCCAGAATCCATACAGCCAGACCAACGCACAGGGCTCATCGTCATCATCCATTAACAGTCGCCGTTGTTATTATAATACACCACGTATGGGGCGCTGTTATCAAGCCCGCGGACTAAGGGACTTCTAATGATCCCAATTTCTGGATCGGGCGCTGAGTGCCCGATTGCTAAGCCTCATCCACGCGATGTACCTTCGCCCGGGTCTTGAGCCTCGTCGGGCTTTTGTGGCAATGGGCGATTCAACATTTTTGCAGAGCTATTGGAGGCCGTGGATTTGTTCGATTTGATTGTTGACATGTGTTGTGGATTCGATATGATTGCGATAGCAGGTCTGCTCGAAGATCCGGCGCTTGAGCTGGCATTCATCTTATCGTGAACAGCTCGAAGGTATGGTCCACGAGGGACAGCTTGTTCGGCTAGGACATCGGGAATTGCGCCTAATAACATCTTGTCCCTGTTGCAATTAGCAATTTCGGCGTAAAGGTGAACGGCAAAATCTTTCGGCTGAAAATACTCGTGGGCCAAAGCAGTTTGTCGAGTGTATGGAGAAAGCGGCAGTAATTTTTCAAGTGATGGTATTTTTGTTCCAACACTAATCATCCGTTTTTTATTTCTACCAATACGTGGTACAGTTTGTTGGTATGGAAGCTCGTAAATATTTTCTTCCACATTCGGTCGACGTTGCGAATTTTCAAGCAACTTTTCCTCGGCATTAATAAGGTCATACAAATGTTCTATCATTTGCCTGGCTTCGCCGTAATTTTGTGGATTAGTTAGTTGTTTTTTAAGATCCTCTAATAGTTCTTTAGTCAATTCTTCGGGCATCGTTTGTGTGTTCTTTTCGTCTGTTCGTACCATCTCCTCTGTGTAGATATTAGGAAGTGCGATCTCTTGTATCATGTCAAGTGCTCGTGGCTCATTTAAACGGTGGCGCTCAGAATATTCATGCACTGACAACTGGGATATTGATCGTGCGTTATCTATGCCATTATTTATGCCACAAATTCTTTCACAAAAAGAAGCACACGAAGAATTTGAGAGGAGAAAATTTTTGATGCACGCGCAGTAGCCTCTCCGTCTCATACATTTTATGAAACTGATGAGCGATACGATTCCAATGAAGCATGCTAATGTGACAAAAAAAATTCCAAGAACCTTCTTATCGCGGTCACTTAAACCGTATTTACGGTCATTTTCATGCGCATGCGGAAATCTTGGATTCTTAATTTCCAATTCTTTTCCCTCTTTTTTGCTGCGAAATGCTTCACATTTGATTTCTTTTTTGTCATCGCGGCAAACCTTATTATCAAATTTGCTAAATTGTATATTTTGTTCGGGCATGTTAAAACACCTAGCGAGTACCAAATCCACCATGCAGAAACTTCCAGATTCAATGGTTTCTTCATATTGAGAAGCCAATACTTCTCTTAAAAATTGAGAAAAATTGCAATGACAAGTATGTCCAAAATAGTTGTTAGCGTAAACTACCATTTCAGAATTTGTTGCAAAGGCTTGACCTATGAATGACAAACTATTTCCGTGTACCGTTTCGATCTCGTTGCTTATAAAAGTGAGTTCTTGTGGGGTTGAGCCCGGTGCTGTGATGGCATACGGAGGTAGCTCGTCAAATACGTTTCGATCTATATAATATTTGTTACAAGATGACAATACGAATCCTTTCTCATTAAAAATCTTGAAAACGTTTTTCTCGAGTGTTAAACTGGCTACTGTCCCATTAATCGCTCCTGTTTCGATGATATGAAATCTGTAAATAAATTCTGTTGTTAGTAAAATATTACGATTAATATTTACCCCATTTGTCTTGTTTCTATCCAAGATAACGTACCGATTGTTTGATAAGCTTAGAGTTCCTATTGCCGATTGAACGGCGTTCGATGAGATACGTTCGATTACGCTCTGATGAACATTAAGGCTGTTTATCAAAGAGTACGGTGCAAATGCTTGCTTTTCAATGTTTTTCACCAAGCAGTTTATTACATACATCACGTTGCATGTGTTGGCGGTGAACGCCCCCAGACGAATGATTTCGATTCTCACTGCTTCCATTCTAATTAGCGCAGTTGAAGCAGCGAATGCCTGCGCAGGTATTTCAGGTAGAATAACATCCATGAATTCGATCTGAAACGAAAAAATACATCACGTTTTTATTCGTCTCATCGTGTTATTAAATTACGTCGCGAAGCTTAATAAAATCGCAAGTGACAAAGTCGCGCCGCAACTTCTCCACACGTAACCGATACTAACCGTCATGCCTGGACCATGGTCACCAATATTGTCTGCTGTCGGGTCCAGTGCGAACGTATTCGGATAGAGTGTCAATTTGGTCACATTTTCAACATAGAGATCTAGTAGCCATGAGAAAGCCTGAGTACCGAAGGTGACCACCTTGCAATTTTTGACGGACACCGAGAGCGGCCCTGGAATAAATATAAACACACAATTAAACTAATTTTCGCGCAACATAATGAGTACTCTAAGCTTAGTCGATTACATCGACAAGTTTTAAATGCAAGGTAGAATATCAAGTTTTAATTGGCGCACACAAAATGAAACCAGTTCATTTCCATCAGGCTTTCCATACTAAGGCTTTTCAGCTATCAGTCGCAACAAAGGTACGCGTTAAAACTCTTTCGCCAGTACTGAGCGTATATTGTAAGGAACATTAAAGCTTTTGTATTATACTGTGTGTGCTTCTCATGAGTCATTATCCTGTAAAACACGAATACCGAGTCGGGGAAACGCGTATTTTTAGATAGCGGCGATCCGCGGCCGGCCGCTCGCTGCCCCGATGTCGGCTACCTATGGGAGATGTCCTCAATTTGGAACGGAATTGATGCGCCACCTTCCGCGCTGCGATAGCGAGTTGATTCTATTGGCTGTTTTTGCGATTAATAGTAAATTTAAGATGATTATGTCGGACGTTACTAGAGTGAGTTGTAACTAACTCTGTAAATCATTGTAAATGATTGCTGTGCGAAAATTGAGCAGAAGCTTATAACGGTGTACAAAACTCAGTGCCTTGTACACCGTTATCGGGTCGATTTGAAGAAGTGAATTCTGTTCGATTCCTCGAAGTAAAATGATAGCGGTTACCTTATAGGAACGGCTTTACTCATCATAAAGTCGAGACCGCCTTTCAAGCGCAGAAAGCGACCAACTTAAACTTTACTAAAAGAAGAAACAAGATTTTAATATGGCTCCTGGCGTTAACATATTTAACCTTATGGCTTTGCGATTATATGCTGCGCTTTATACTTTGTATTGTATAATTCTACTGACTTCCTTGCCTTAAATTGTGGAGACAGTTGTATAAATCGCTTATAGTTAACTTTACACTCAAAATTCAATAATTAATATGTTAACATAACCTTGGTGTGACTGGAACTGACTGAAAATATTTATGATGTGGTATTTTGAACTCATACCTTTAGATCGGTGAGAGCAAGGCAAGTATTGCATTTCGATTGAGATTCGCAAATCAAGCTCCGTTTGTCCTCAAATTTGCTCTCAATTTCATCTTCATAATTACGCAAAGTCTATTAAAACTTCTTCCAATAGTTAAAGCCGCCATAGTTTTAACAAGTTACGTCCAAAATTCCGGCCCAAAATTAAACTGTTAAATCATACTCCCTTACAAAAGTCATGCTTTCTACCATTCGTTGCTTATCGCCAGGCCAATCGCTTGCAGTGTAAAAGTGGATTTAGCTTTGTAGGTCATTCTAGAAAAACTTATACGGTATTAAAATCTTATCCCTGATAGCTCAGTGTCCGGGCGCTCGCAATTATTCAACGAGCAATCCGAGTTCAAATGCCTTCACTAATGAAATCGTTAATTTTAATTTCTGACTTATCACGTGTTCAGCGTTGATTATAAATATTGTGAGAAAACTTGTACATTATCGAAATAGTTACAAAAAATATATGTGCAGTTCATCATTCCGTAGTAAGGTCGCGCGGTGGATTATGCTCTTATACCTTCTGTACAGTGGAGGCCTTGATGAGCAGTTGGTCATATAAAGGCTGTTCGACTGTTACTTCATTGTACTTTACTTTTTACCAGACGTATGTAGCAATGCGAACTTTGATTTTATTAATTTTAATAGCTGCTCAGTTTCTACATTATACAATTTATAGTTGCACTTTTGCCACCTCAATATTGACGATTAAACTCTCCGAAAAGTTGCAAACATCTGTTCCATTTGAACGTGTTAACCTAATGCGGAAGCGTGTGTGACAAACGCGACGTGGCACGGTTGTTTTGTTGCGTACTGTGTGCGTCAGTATGCAGCTTCGGTCCACATGTGTTTACGAGTAACGACTTATCCAACGGGGCTGACGATGTATTTAGACGATTGCTCACTAAACTGCTAGCATCTTGTGATATACATTTAGTATCAAGTAACGCCATATTTACGCCTAAGTATCCTGGACACAGTCTTATTGCGAGGTTAAGGTTTCATGGCTGCTATTTCGGCCTTTTATTTGGATAATCTAAAATACTTGTGATGATTGTCAATGATCGGCGACGCATTCCCTATTTTGCCTTTGAGTTTACAAGAGATAGCAATAGCATCACGTTTTTAGAAATTATTAAAATTACTTAACCAAAGTTGCACAAGTGGAAAACCATACAAATATGGTTGCAGCTTAAATCGCAAATATTTCTTTCGAATCAAGCTACACTGAGACATCCAAAAATTATTTAAATGATATAATAAGCGAGGACCATGCAGAGATTGGAAAAGGTCGACCGATAATCGTCTCCATCCGGCGGCACACGAGCTTTGCCTCTGCCGACCAAACCGGTTGCCCGCGTGGACGCAATAACAGGTTTCCACCGCTAGCTTATATACGCCACGCAATATAAAAATGTTGACAAGAGTAATAGCAAACATAAACTAAGCATAGCGTTTACACAATTTGATTCGATTCATTCGCATGATGCAATGCAACGTAGTGAAAAACCAATAGCCCCGACTAGCATGCTCGTTTGCGACTCACGCATTTTAGAAAAGATGTATGGGAAGTCGAAAAAACGGCTACGCGCATAGCATACGAAATAAAGACAGGTGGGGCCTGCCTGACCGGACCTGGTTCATGATCCATGAACCAAGTTTCGGTTTAGCTCTGAATAATAGCGCCGTCGCGCGTCGTGTAGTGAACCTTTAATCCAGTTGTATAATTTCATAACAAATCACGTATTTAAATTTAAAATTCTTGTAATAACGTTACTCGGATGTTTACTAAGTGACCTGATATTTGTCATTGAAAACATAATGATGGAGTAGACAGTTAATCTCATTTTTAAACACACAAGGCAATGGCGTTTTAATAATAATGTGTGAATATAAGGTTGCTTCAGTCACATCGATAATTACAAAATTTATTAAAATTACACAGGATATAAAATCTTCGCTAGGCCGTACCTGATAAATACATGAGAACGTAATTCTTACCATTGATGTATGCGAAAGCTTTGGGCTCCAGTTCTAACAAGTTGCATCCGTCGATATCAAGGCTGAGATTTGACAGGTTCTGGCGGAAGCTGGCTGACGAATGCAAAGATATCGCTTGCGTATCACGAACTTCGATTGATTTTAAAGCATTTAGTCGTGATAGGGAATTTTTCTCAAAGTACACAGCGGCACCGCCATGGATGATGATTCTCGTAGTCCTTTCTGACAAGTAATCGTATCTGATGAACAGTTTCTGAAAGAGGACAATTTATTAAGTTTCCTTCACACTAGGGTCCTTTGTATTTTTATTGCATATCTTTTTTGAAAATTTTTGACAATAAACCGCAAAATAAGAGTAAGTAGTTTAGACCAGTGACCTAATAGTGCAAAAGCAATCAGTTCCAGATGTCTTAAAAGCAAGTACGAAAGTGAAACTCATATGGCCTTATACGCTGCTTAAGTATAAAAAAAAATATCGTTTAAGTTGCCGTTCTATTCGGTACACTTAGAAATGTTAAGAAATGGTAGACGTGACAAACTTGGACCTAGATTTGTTTAATAAGCTGTACAGTTAATAACATAAAACAAGTTATACCAGCTTCGCAGACAGAATGTAAAATGAGTGCTTTAACAGAATATTGTGGCTATTTAGTTGTGTTTTGTATCCGTACATTATCCATATGTTGTTGTTGAGAGTAAGAAGAATATTAAATATGTTTACAATTACTTTTCGACGGTTGTTATTACCACTTCATATGTTTGTATGTCACAAAACTTCTTTCACATTTTAGAGATATCATTTTATTGACTGAATTTTGTATGGGGCATTAACTGAGTGCAGTATCCGACGCTTTCCCCAATTGAATTACGCGTCGTAAACAGATAGTTTTCGGACAAATAGTCGACAATTTGGTCAGATGGTTGAGTCCTAGCGGTCCTTGCAGAGAAGGCGAGAGGGATAGGGGTCGTTAATTCAATGAATTGTTATTTCGGTACTCAAAAAGTCAATACCGACCGACGTTGTATCCGTTGCAGTTTGATGAGTAAACTGTTTTGTGAAATTTTAATTTGTATTGTTCATCAACAATTCGTACGGTGCGTTGCGATAAGCCGCGGCTTCTTGTGTCCTCTTGATGGCTATTATCAGCTACGCTATTCATAAACAATAGATAGTGCTCTGACTCACTCGTAACTCGTCGTACGGCGTGCTACTCACGACCTTAGCCCGACTACTACCATTACGGTACAAGGCAATCCATGGATAAACCTATATGCCCATAGAACTGGTGTATATATTTATCACCCTTTTGTTCTGTTATTCAAAAACATTCTTAAGTATGAATTTATTTTATGACTCGCAGGTAAGCGTTGAATTTATTTATACTACTACTACTTTTTAATTTACGTAACTTAATTATATACCGGGAATTTATTAAAAGCAACTGCACCGTCCGAAATTCGAAGTATTATAATAATTTGAAATTTGTTTCCTCCCATGGTACATAAAGTTCGCTTCCAGTTTGTGCAGTTAACTCGAAGAGTCAGACGTGGCCACAAAAAGAATATGTGGATGACACGTCCGCTCTCACATGCGCCACGCCAAATAAAAATAAACACGCGCAGTGCACCAACCAACTGGAGCCAATTGGATGTCGACTTTACTGGCTACTATTTCTTAAAATTTCTAAGTATACCGAATTGTTGAAGTGAAATTAACGATGTTATCCTTTACCTTATCCTTTATTCGAAAAATTTTAATTGAGCTTACAAAAAACGCGACATTACTTTATTAAGTTTATTAATTTGAAAAGTATACCTTTCGGTACAAAATTCTTCGTTCTTCTATTGTATTGTCAACAGAGTCAAGAACAAAATTCGGTAACACTTTTCTGTTGATTCGACAAAACATTCGCTTCGCGAGGTAACTTATTGTTATTTGCGACGGAAAGATTAAAGCGAACTCGAATCGAGACTCAGAACCGTGGGGCTTTGTTTTGCAACTATATGCGAAGTTGTCTTCGCCTTTTACGATCTTGGCTGACGACTACACTGCGCTGTCTCTCCCCATTTACTCCCAATTTTCGATGGGTTCCAAGAATTCTACGTCATGCCGACGTGAGACAACTCCTTGAAGTTACTCTTAAAATCCTAACGCTTCGGACATCTGACTGTCCAACTTGTCCATTTTGTCGAAGACACGTTTTAGTCGTTAATGTTATCGTTAGAATCGTGGGAAACTTATCACTTCAATATATAAAGTGCTTATTCTGTTTTTTGTGTTAAATTCTGTTCGGCAGGACAATTAATCAGTAATTATCACTTCAATCAGTGAGAGTACAAAACTGAAGTAGGTCCGTCGGCTTTTGTCTGTTATCATTCCGGTGCCTCAAATTGATACAAGTTCTTCAAAGTAAATTGTTTTATCTTTATATAATTTAGAATAAGTTACTTGTACGTTTTTAAGAAAATATGTTCTACGAGAGATGTGACAATCAGCCCGTCCCAAATTCTAAAAAATATTGACATGGAAATAAATGTATCGGAACAATAGATGGGCGTGTGCGCCATAATGCCGGCTACGTTTTAAATACAAAGTTTGACTTTGATCACGTGCTCGTTTTTGTGCACATTCTGAAATATTATATCAGACTATTGGTGATAAATTTTCGTGTTTTATTGATTAAGTTTCATGACCATTTTTATATAAATTTGCCGTAAAATGAATGTTCTCGAGATTTGAGCATAATCACAAATTATGTAACATTTCTTTACGTCCACGAAATATCTAAAAATTAATTCGTAATATTTTCTAACAACGTATTTTATGTACTTGTGAGTTTTGTTTCATACGGCTAAGATATAAAGTCATTGGCTGCAGGATCTTTGTGTTCAATTTTCTTTAAATTAGTCATCATTTAGTCAGATTTACAGCGCAACGCAAGACATCTCGGCCAACAAACTTGAAACTTTGATGAATCATACTAGGCCATGCGTCTTTAACAATAACGCTTATATCAGGTTGAAGACTAAGATTCACATGTAGATAAGTAATGCTCTTGGGTTCAAATGTAAGGGAGTCGGCCGTGTCGCCACAGAATTGCCTCTGATTTCCAATTTGGCGCCCCGAGTTCATAAGGCCGTAACCCAATTAAAGCGCATCTAAACGATATAGATACTTGTAGTAGCTACATGAACTCCTACTAAAAATAGCCCGTATAAAATATACTAATCATTTATTCGAAGTGATTCAAAACGTCTTTTAACCAATTTCCGAGGAAATCTCGCATTTCTTTTAGCGTTTTAATCAGGTTCACTTTGAAAATTTAATGTTCAGGATAAAAATTTAGTTTTGGTTAGTAGTACTTTGACAATCAATAAGTAAGAGTAACGCTTCTATATGGAATCGAGATATTTGAATTTATTATTACGTTTGCTATGTCATAATTTGATTACAATAACCAGATATTCTTACGATGTTGTCAGCACAATCGAGTTCTGTCTATATGGCACATCCCAATTCCTATCGCAATAACATTGTAGACAAAGCATAAGATATCAACGCTAAATTAGGTTCGCGAGAATTTGTCAATCTAACAATCTTTTAGTCTATATCATTTAATTTCTATCAATATAAGCATTCAGTTGTTTAGTATTGCCCGGATGGCTTGAACTTAATTAGGAAGTCATTGTTGTTTGAACAATATCGTTTACGCTTTCAACTAATTAACGAAGTCTAATTAATATTGGTGGTTGCAGTGATAATCTGTTCCATTTGCATTATATCGAATACTTTAATTATTATTACAATAATTATCAACACTACTTATCAAATTTACCATATACAGAAGTATATAGTGTTGGTATCAAAGAGTTAGTTATAGTAATGATATTTTAAGAATTTCGTACAGATCCTGTGAATAATATGCACTCAAAAGCACTGGCCTTGTGAGATACAGCGCGGTATTGTCCACCACGCTAGGTACTTCGAATCATTTACAGCACCGTGAACCATGCTAATGCATTCCCGCCTTTATGGCACTGTGATTGCGTTGAAGTTTGAATAAATCCAAGCGAGGACATGACTCGCTACCGTTCCAGTAACATTTGGTTCGTAATATGCGCCCGTTATGATATAATTTCATTACGCATAGTGAGTAATTATCGCCGAAATTGAACGAAGCTTGGTCTAATGGCCAAGTCGACGACGCGTCAAACTTTTATGTTCAGATTTGTTCTTTAAAATTCTTCTGATCAGATATAGAGACCGCGAAGGAATCTAAAAAAGTTTAAAGATTAATCCAGTTTTTAAGGTAAAAGTTCATTAAGTAGACTTTTTTTTAATTCTACGCTCAAAGCTCATTATTCTATGTAAACACGCGAAAGGGAATCTGCACAGAGCCAATTCGCCCATTTTGGTCTCAAAGACAGTGTGAACACAAGTTCAGTGTATCGTAATAATAATTATTTGCGTTAATAATATTAAAACTGTTCGCGAAATACTACCGCGTACGTATATCGTGTTTTGGTTTCAGTTTCATCAGGGATTTTCTAACGGCACCTCAGGGGCGCCCGCCCTTAATCTTATGCGTGATTTGTCAACGCGGTTTGTGTCTCGATGTGTCAGTGGCCGGTCGCGCGGGTACATTGAATTGGTCGCCTCTCGGCCAGATCTATTTTCCAATGCGAGCCAACCGTTGCCTACCTCACATCTCCATATTGCGTCCGCGCGATGCGTTCGGCGTCGGCGGGGAGAGCTCCCGCCGCAGGCAGGGCGTCCTCGCTGCGTTCGAACACCCGCGCTAAGTCGCTTCCATTTTAATATTAGACTACGTTCCCGGAATGCGCCCGCCGACGCCGTTCATATAACGTCAATGGACCAGATTTCGATTAATAACGTTTGACGCCTTGTTTAATTCTGCCCTTCGTTTATTTAATCACGTGGAGTGCGGTCTCTGTTTCGTATCGGCCCGCGTTTGTTGTTGTACCATTGTTCCGTGTGCTCACCTGGGATGGGTTGAGGCCGGCCTTATCGAATGGTTCAAGTAGGTACTTTTTTTAATATACATAAAACAATGTAATAATTTAAATGTTGCCTCCCATGTTTGTGAATGTTAATTTCTCCTTTCACAAAATCCGCGAGTTGCGTCTGAATCGGTTTCAATTACAAGACAACTGTTTACTCGATAACGAGATCGGATTGCGTAACGGTACGGTAGTGGTGGGGACGGTGACCGCAATATGGTGCCGCGCACTGCATAAGTGCAAATAAATTTATTCAAAATAGTCAAACTGAAACGGCCGCAACTGACACTCGTCGCACTAGTCATAACAGATACGATTCTCGGATTTATTCGGTAGCGTATTAAACAGATACCAACGGAATTTAACGACCCTAGCAATATGGCACGGTAAGGTATTTCAGGGGCGTTACGTTTCCAAGCTTCTTCCGTTACAAAAGATAAATAAATAGTTCGCTCTTAGTGGTGATAAAGAGAATAGGTAGAAAGCTTGCCTGTCGCGCTCTCGCTTATTAATGCTTTATCAGATACTTTTATGCCTGTGAAAGTTGAGACCTATCGCATATGTAATCTTGTTGATTACTTATTAATCTTTACTGTAGGTTTACGGACAACCAAGTACTTGTGGATGAGATCGACACTCGTGGCATTGGTGTCGCTAGTTTGACACTTGGGCTCGTTAAGGGAAGGAAGAGCGAGCGTGCCTGGTAACATAATAAGCGTAAGCCGTTCATGTGCACGCTGCAGGAACGTCGCGGGCGCGCAGGAAGCCATCTTTCATTGCGTTTTTTTTACGGTGCGCGTGTCTGTGCGTGCGCAGCGGCGCGGCGGCGGTGGACTGTTTTATGTGGTGGCGCTCATACAAGGGGCCTTTAGTTCGGCACAGGAGCGCCAGAGGGCAGCTTCTGCTACCGCCCGCGCGATAAACGGCACGCGAAAGCTACGTAACGGCACGCGGGGCGCCAGTTTGTTTCTTTTCTTAACCGTAAACGTATCCACATTAATGCTCTGCTTCTGGTCAATCAACATTTCTCGCCTCGCACACAACAACACGGACCGGAGCTAGGTCGGCTGTTTACGTTTTGTTTAGAATCGGAAGCGTTCATTGTATCTCCCGATCGGTCGCCACTTCTAGCCTATGTTCCGCTAGGGGGTGTAACGAATGCGGTTAACTTCCGGTTCCCCTATAGAAGCACCGGCCCCCCGAGGGCCCCTCCGTGTCCCGCATCGTAATTTCGAATAAGTAAATTAACACCACAACGAAAATATGGCCCGTAAGAGATCTCCGATTTATGTCCCAATTCGTATTAATTTTTAAATTTTTATTAACGATTTGAATCTCGAGTATTTATAGCATTAGTGGCTTCAACGCAACTAATGCAAATGCAGTAATTTTAGTAGAAAGCCGCTATATTGCTGCCGCTAAGAGTACGAGTATATACATATCTTATGGTAACACATTGCATTAGGCACAATGGGGTGACCAATTGTTATTGATTCTTTGTAGGCGTCGAACATTAAATGTACGCATCGGTTAGTTTTTCTTGTTTACAACTGCGTATCTTCTGCTCGCAAACACCGGCTTAAGCATTATTATATCATGTTTGAATATAAATATATATTTCCACTTTCTTTTTCACGTTTCGTATCCTCGATAAAAGGAAGAAAGTAATTTTGCTTATTTCTATTTTTAGACATACGCCTTCGCAGTATTTATTAAAACGTCACGATAAATAATATTATTATTACCATATAATATTTATTATTTTGGACAAATTACAAGATAACTATTTTTATAATTAACTAGCTGGGCGCGGCAGTGTTTTCATTATTTTCGTCTTTTGCATTAATAAATAATACTATTTTCACAGATCAGGTCTGTTCAAGTCTTGTGGGGCAATGTTTCAATGTCCTGGTAAATTTTTCTGTTTTTGAGAGTTTTTTCTTGAAATCTTTAGTAATTGCTTGTACGTGGCTAATATTGACGGCGCAATCCCAAGTCCGCCGCCGCCCGATGCATGCGCACTCCGTAAATGTCAAGTTATGTCGCATAGGCCTGTCACATCGCAAAAAGCGCGAATGTTTACGCAACGATTTCCAGTTCAGGTTTTACGAAATGTCTCAATGCTATGATTCTTTTAGGTAATCCTAATCGCCAATAGTAAAACAGAATTATGACGTATATTAATATATAAAAGGCAACAAACAGCAAAATCAGACAAAGAAAATTTACTAACCATATGTTCAATTTGAAACATGCGTGACATTACCATACAGTTACAGTAGTCAAATATATTTTGCGATTGCGCTGTCGACGCAAATAGATCGCTCTGTGCTCACAACAGAGTTGTCCTTTTCACTAACAGATTAAAGAAGTGAGAAAGAACATCTCACAGTGAGAATATTTGGGCCAAATCATTTCTGTACTGACCGACGACTGCTAAAGCAGAGCTATAAAATTCCTTCTATTTGTAGAGAAGCCGGATGGCAAAAAAAATCTCTACCAAATGTGTATCTTTTAAAGAAAATTGTTTCTTATGAAAAATTGAATAATATTCATATAGTTATGTGTTTTATTTTAGCCATTATTGATGCCAGCTAATAATTTTCCTTTTCGGAGAACAACAATATCGCTACAAAGTATTTTGAACAATGCGAAATTTCCAATTAATTTGTTCTGTCCTTTTACTCCAGAATATTAAAGGGAATTAACGTCGTGATAATTAATTTGGGACGTTGCGAGTGTTCCTTTGAAATGTAATCAGAATATTGTGAACAAAAATCACGGCGTGATGCGCTGACGACCTGATAGGCGTATAGTGGGTAGTGTACCTACCTCCTGCGTAAAGGGCGTGGTTTCGATCCCTACTACTGGAAAAATATTGTGTGATGAACATAGTGTTTTTCTAGTGTCTGGGTGTTTATAAATGTATAATATGTATTTATTTACCAAAAGAAAAGTATGTTTAAGTACGTTTATCAGTTATATAGTAGCAATAGTACAAAAATTGCTAAGTTTGGGACAAGAAAACGCTGTGTAAAAATATGTCCTAAAATATTTATTTATATTTATTTAATACTAGCTGCTGCCCGCGACTATGACTGCGTAGAATAGGCTCAAGCCGTAACATTCGGACAGAAAGACCGAAATACCTACATAAAATATGTACATAAATTATAGCCTATGGCTTATTCTGATGTATAAACTATATTATTGTAAAGTTTCATTAAAATACATTCAGTAGTATTTGCGTGAAAGAGTAACAAACATTCATCCATACATACAAACTTTGGCCTTTATAATATTAGTAAGGATACCCGAAATGCGTATGTCATGGATATGGAAGGATCGAAGCAAACCGAGCCGGCGGCAAACCACTTGTTGCGCGAGACTCCGGCCGCGATATATACGCCATAGTTAGGTACGCAGAACTCCCTTAAGACCTCTCCACGGCCGGCCCCGCGGCCCACAGGTAGTCTTTGTTGACAATGTGGAAGCACAAACATTTACAAAACGACACTCTTAACTTTTTCGAACTAATTATGTTATTATCTTCAACAAATATTTGTAAACTACTAAAAGACATTTCATATTCGCTCTAGTAGAGCACTTCCGCCGGAACGCACGTCTGTTGATGTGCTTAACTAATTAAATCATGTACTTAAATAACTTGTCGGTAGCTTTTGACTCAACAAGTTCTTCTTTTTTTCTATTCATTCATATTTCTTTTAACTTTACACATGGGAAATTAGAATTTTGAAATATAATCTATAAATTTCTACGATAAGCTTACTGTTATTATAAGTTAACAACAATTCATCGTTGGCGAGAGCTTTAGGAATGTTTTGATGGTCACAATAATCATTAAATGCCGCGGTCCCCGTACATGTGGCACAGCTGTACAACTGAAAAACAATGGGCACAGTTCTTACCACTGTTAGGGGCAGGGTGCAGTTGACGATGTTCCAACTCGGGTGTTCGGAATTGTAACAGTCGCAGTATCTCTCATCTACACACGCGTTCACGTTCTCCTGGGAACTGGCACTCAGGCCCATGAGTATGAGCGTGATCAACCGGTACATTCGAGACATGTTGGAGCGCCGCGCGCGCGTCCGACCGAACGCAGCGCCTCGCATCCGCCGACTGGCCGCCCGCCGCCGTGTGCCGCCGTCCCCGACTGCCCGCGGCCCGCAGCTCCGAGGCCCGACACTCGCCCGCTCACGTTTTTCGGCCTAGGGATGCGAGCGGCTGACGCACTCGTTAATTATCGACATCGATGGTTCAGTTTAATTAGGATCATTTGTAACGCTTTCACTAATTGGCATCGTTATTGTTATTTCAGTTGGGGATATGTACTACTAGATTTTTTCGCACGACTTCCATATGTGATTTATTTTTTTGTCTTTGAGTCTTAAAATCTTGTAATTTAAATTACAGTACACTAAAATATAATCATTTCACCGACCCACCGCCATGAACAGGCTTGAAAAGGCGCTTACTCTACAGAACCGCTTAATCGTCGTACTAAAAAGTGATAACTGATACGATTATAACAGGCTCTTTCAAATCGAATTTAATAAATTCTAAAATGTGTTTTGGTGAAATTAGTTTGCCCTGTTGGATTTCTTTCGCCGGTTATTCTTGGAACAGTGACGTTTTTCCGAATCGGCTTCTGTATATAAGGTATTTGAAAGCGGTATCATGAGTTTTATCATTCGCAGCACATAAAAGTATTCCTCGAAACAAAATGTTTCCTGTTAAAGCATGCACCGGTCCGGGACAAAGCCACCAGATGGGTTTGGCTTCTTTTATCTATTGGAAGCGAAACATGAATGTGCAACTGAGTGCGGTTTCATCGACATGCAGCTAGAGGCCCATGCCGCGAGTTCCACAAGTCTGAGTGGCGCAGTAGCGGCCCTTCGAGGGACGCATGCACTCACTCCATACTTAGGCTCATCCTGCCCTTCAATTAGGCTTGGGCGTTGGCGGTAATTTTTGACATCGATGCAACAACAAAGACAACATCCGATGTCAACATCGTTGTTTTCGACAACGATGCAATTCGGTAGTGTTCGTTACCAGTTCGGATGTCGATGTCGGTGACATCCGATGTTAGACATTTCACCAAAGGATGCCAACAGCCCAATCTGACATCCGATATCAACATCGTTGTTAGAAAAACGACCATCTCTACCTTCAACGCCGGGAGCAAGTGGGGCGCTGTCGCCGCGTGAAAGGCTGCAGCTTGCCCAATAACGGGGTCCTTTATGACCCCGCCAATCGTACGGTGGTTACCGCTCGCCTCAAACGACAAACAACACCCCGACAAATGCCCATTTAATAACGACCCAGCTAAAAGCATTGCGTACATGGTGATATTTCGGCCAACTTGTGTGTAGCGATCTCTGTGGGTTCAACTCCGATTGAGGTCTCAAGTAGAGGATAGATGCAATTGCTTCTCCAACTTTTTTCTCATCTGACAGGTATTACTTTTGAAACTTAACGACCCAAAGTGTATCGACAATGTTTAATACTTGTGTCGTGCATATTAACTTTTCGGCACGTGTAAAATTAATTTTTACACGTTTCTCAGAAAATACGTTTTTTGTTATATTTCGTTAGTTAGCGTTTGTTTTTGAACACAACATAATTTATTTTAAATATTTCTTACATATTCGTTATCCATATGTTTGATGTTACCAACGAGAACTGGATGTGGCTTGTCCGAACGTGTTGTCGAAAAGTTTTTTACGTGATTAGTTGACACGAGATTGCGACTCACCCAGTGTTAAGTAATTATCTGACCTAAAGGCTTGAAGATACGCAAGCAACCTTTAAAAGTGGGTCCCTGTTACCTTACATGACAAGACTCTAAGAGAGAGAAGACATTGTATTTCCCCAAACCAGCATCTATCCGTGCGGCGACTCTAACTGCAGCGCAGTAAATAGAAGAAAAAAAAAAAAACGCCATTATTCACAGGTCTGATTTAAAAATAGAAACACTGTGACAAATTGTCAGTAAGCATGATTACTCATAAAAGTCAGAATACTCATAATTTTATCAAACAATTTTTCTCAAAACAATTATAAAGGGTAATAAGGGAGAAAGCTAAAATACATCATTTCATAAAACAGCTTCCGTTCCTTCAAGGCACGGGCCACCTTACACGCTATCCCGATTTTTGGCACCTTATGAATGATAGTCTCTGTGGCACTTGAAACGCACGCTATAAGTTGATTTTACGGCGATCCGATTGTTTTTATCTTAGTTCTTCCCATACGTGCGTCGCGCCCGTAAAGATATTTTTATCCCTTCACCATATCCTCGCTATATTGTTAGTTGTTCACTTATGAATACAATATGTTGCTTAAGCCTAGTCGTCGAAAACATTAAAGCGAAATCATGGTTAAATAATAGTCTGTCATTTGTTTATTGATGTTTATACAGTCGTCACTCGTAACGATTCATCATCGAATGACAAACAACAATGAATACCGTAAGCAACGAGAATCTCATTACTATGGTAACTAAAAATAATCTGGAATAGGTATAAAGTAAATCAAGCTTACTTGTATTGGCAATTTGAATTTGATAACTGGGACTTTTGTTCGACTTCTTCAAACATGATCGTGTTGGAAAATAAGCGTTTGGAATAGTAAAAATATCTTTGATCTGACTTTTATATTCATTCTAGAAAATTGCTAGTTATCGGGGTATTAATTTTCAAATAAGTCACATTGTATAGAACTCGTGTATCGCGATAATAAACTAATTATCATTTGAATTGCGTTAAATTCTTTTTCATTAAAATTACGTGTAGACATATAAAAAACGCATACGCTTAAGAGAATGGGACTAGACGGAGGCTACTTCTGTTTTCATTACAAACACCGTGTAAACATAACGTGAATCTACCGTGTCTACGAGCACGTCGAAACTCACCCCGTATATTATATTCTCGCGCACAATATATATTCTACCACGGTGGTTTAATCCTCCCCTAGTTGCCGAAGCAAAGACAAACAAAGACGAGTACCGTGTATTTCTCACGTCGAGGGTATTCTAGCGCAGTGTACGTGAACACGGCTCGTTTAGGTTGATTACTGGAGTGACAGATTTAAGTATCACAAGGACCCAGCATCGAAGGTTATATTATCATAAAACGTAATAACACAATTTATTTACACCAAAATTGTAACCGTTACTATAACCGTTTATGACGATACCGCGTTTTAATGTTGTGAAAGCTCTTAAACGTATTTAATGTGTCATCTAGCAGTTCAGGCGTGGCAGCTTTGTGTGTAGATAAAAAACTATTAAAGAAAGATCTAACGGTGGTAGGGCCACGCAGTAGCCTCGGCTGTTGCGCGAATGGGCAGGCTGGTCCGGGTAAGTACCGCGACCTCACAGAAGACCGGTGAAAAGTGGAAGTATAATACCTTCGCGTTTCGTCTGGTGAGTGAGGTAGCCGGACCCCAATTTTCAAAAGGTTGTCAACGCATTTGCAAACCCTTGGGTGTACCAGATGTCCATGGGCGGTGGTATTCACTTAACATCAGGTGAACCAGCTTCTACCTTGGCAACTTTTCACATAAAAAAAAGATTTATAGTTAGAAACCTTTGCCCAGACGCACCTATGTTTTTATCCTTATCCTGGCAAAAATTTACTATCGTGTAATTGTTATGTCCTGGGTGGTGACGGATAACGTCATCATCGGGGTCGTCAGAGGGGTTTGGATTATATAACTTCAAATCGCAGGTCGCCTTTGAGCTAATTACGCCTTGTAATAAGACACTCGTATGATTCAAACTACGACATCGTCTAACCGTGCATTAGATATTCCATTAGAACACTTTCGAGTAACAAAACTGCAGCAGAATTTCTGACCTAACATCGTTATTGAAACAACTCCATGATCTTGTCGGAGCATTGTTTGAAACGTCCGTAGCAGCTATGACCGTTCAAACAGTTAAAACTTCAGCATCGTTATAATGGAGTTAGTGAGTGTGATGGCGGCTCATCCTGCGGTCCGCGAAACTTGCGCTGAGAGAGTTACGTTTTCCCGGAACGAGCTGTTCGGGGCCAAGGTCACGGCAGTGCTCGTGACCCTGCGCTCGGGACTGCCAGTAATTGCATTCCCTGTGTGTATTTCGTGCATTCACTTGCTCTAGCCGCGTTCACTCGGCTCGGACCGTGTGGCGCAGTTTCGAACACAATTTGTAAAGTGCTTTCGCTGTGCACACAAGAGAGGTGAAAAGCAATTTGCCACGTACCGTCACCTATTACATTAACCGTCCGCCTACGCAGTAAATTTCGCTCATAGAGTAACATTTCAGCCGCTACGCTGCTTCACGACAACACTATACAGTTTTTATAATGTAATACAAATATTTTTTAAGCCGTCTGCATGACGAACAATCGTCATCATATTCTACGAGCACTAAATACATTTATACTTGGATGCCTAGAGGCATCGCTGTTCGATTGCTCTTTTTTTATTTAAGAAAAGTCAATAAGTTTTGCAGGGTATTTTCCATAATTATAAAAGCATTTCTATTAGTGCTTTCTTTTTATTGAATCGCGTTCTACTAATTAGATTTTCGTAAAAAATTCAAGCTTTACGAATAACAAAATACAATAAAAATGAAATAAGGCCAAGGGCTCATTCTTTGTTATTTTTAATTAATTATTATTTTAAACTAAAAATTTATCGTTGCTATTCAAGTTTTAAATTCAAAATATGTAATATTTAAATATACGGCTTTCTCGTTCTTATGAAAAGTCGAATTTTACATAAAAATTGATACATCGGTTCGCGAGTAAGTTACCATCGGAAAACACTTTCTGTTGAGAAGAGCGGCAAGAAACTCAACATTTGCTCTTTTTTTAAAGTTTAGTTTATAATACAATATAGGTATAGTTAAGCCTACGTGAGTATATACAGTATTAACATTAATGTCTCGAGATGTTCTGTACTCCTAATGGTATAATATGGAATCTATCAATGTTGGAAGGGTTGGTGGATTATAGTGGTGGAATTGATGTGAAAAATTAGATAATGTGTAACCGACCCGGTCGATGTGGCGAAATTCACGTCTTTCATGATGTCAATACAACTTGAATTTAATATAATACAAACTTCCATTTAATATAGTTGTTGTAATGTACTTATAATTCTCAGTTTTTACCTTGAATTATATCTATTTTGTTCTGCAATTTTCTACTTAAAATCTTATACTCTATGACGATACTGCATCCCTACTTGTATCACACTAAATTGAGGTTGATTTAATATGCGCTGAGGTGGGGACGCACGCCTCAAAGCAAGTTAATTCCATTCCAATGAATTATGCGCGAGTAAGGAGCATGACAATAATTTATACATAAATATGTTCCTCGCGACGGTGGTGTCTGACATTCTTAAAAACACTGTTTTTTTAGCAATTACCTTTATCCGCCCTAGATTTTATCTGCAACTCGTTACGCCCATGCGGTGCCTTTTCAAATAAAATTGTAATATTAAGGAATAAATCGATTTATGACACATACATAATATGTATTTGCAATGTTCGTATTATCATCATGCTAAATATCATTGAGGTCTGTTTACCTGAAACTGGGATCAAGTAAACTTACATAAATATTTTCGTATGCAATCACATTTTGACGGACATTTGTCCTGTACATAGGACACGCTTTTCCAGAATTAAAGCCCAACAGTGCATCCTTTTTACAAGCTTTCATTTATAACGAGTTGGCATTATTCAAATTAAAAGAAAAACAGTAGTCAATTATTTTTGTGTAATACTTACGTTTACAAAATTATTAAGGAAGTTCGATTATTCTTGTTGTTGTTCTAAACTGCAAAAGCCGGCATGTTATCCTTTTAATTTAAAGTGATCAGCTCATACTATTCGTTTAGTCAACTTTACTTAAATTATGTTTGCAGTCCGTAGAATATTAAGCTTTATTGAACCCAGAATATCACCAGAGTATGTCAAATGTGTTTTACAATCGGTCTCAAATACATTTGTATAAATTATATGTGCTTATAATACATTTATATATTAACAAGAACACTGCAGAAATTTCAGAGAACCGACTCTATCTGGAATTAATTACACCCACACAACTGCTTCCATTTCGTAGTTATAGGTAGAGGTTGGAGTAAAGGTTCAGCCATCTCCAATGCAACATCACGGCCCTTTGCAGCACGTTTCATAGACTTACGCCCGGTTTCTGAGACACTGGTCATCGTAGAAGTTAACTAATCAGCTCTCAAATAGCCTTTCAAATGTCATTTAAGTTGCCAAAAGCATGGTTAAACTATTTGAATTGATCAGAATGATCATTGGATCATTCCGATCAATTCAAAGCGTTCAAAAAGCATCTTCAAAGTCTTTGAATCTGATTGAAATGATTTGAAATGATCTTCAAGATCAAACTCTTTTAATTTATGATCAATTCAAAGAGTTTTACCATCCTTTTGGCAACACAAATGACATTTGAAAAGCTATTTGAGAGCTGATCGGTTAACTACAACAATGATCAGCGTTTCAGAAACCGGGCGTTATTGATATGGGTTTACTGAAACCGTTCAGAAGTATGTTCGCCTCGTCGCACGGGCTTACGTCGCCGCTGATTTCGTTACACGTAGGAGCGTGACAGCACTCAAGTGCAAATTATTCACATATGCATCTTCACAGCAAATTGCACACGATTTTCATAATGCGTTGTTATTTTCCGATAGACTGAAAATTATTGTTGCCCAATGGTTTTAAATGTTAAAAGATTAAAAGTTGTTACATTTATTTAAATTAAATCCTCAGGCTTGATTTCCGCCCATGAAACAATAGGAGACTTCTTAATTACGTCAGTAATATAGGTATACAACGAAAATTTTAAAATTCAGTAATATCATATATAGAAAATTGTTTGAAAACTCAACGTGAAATTGCTCGTATCCCACAGCAGTGGTTATTTCTTAAGATTTATATAGATCCTAGATATTAAATGAACTGGGTCTATGCTTAGGATATAATAAGTAATTCCAAATACTTCTCTTATTATCTTTTATTATTGACGTCGCATCAAGTTCTTAGAATTACTTACCTATATTAATAAATAATTCTTCGGAGAATTTATATTTTTCCAAGTTACAAAGGATCTCTTCGCTTGAATAAATTCACTCCCACACAAATCTGATATTACTTTAACAAGCAAGTATTATGTAATATCGGATCTATGTATAACGGGGGCCTGTTTCCGTCGCTACCAGCCTTTTACACTTGGTTACCGAGCATTAAGTATCGCAAAATAGAGACGGCGGTTGCTGGGTGTTCTCAAGGCTACCTTCACGAAATTCGAATATACGAGATTAACCATTTAATATTTAGCGAGAAAAATTTATATGCGTATTATAATATTGTAGACGGAGGTACATAGGTAGTTTTATGTTGAGCTCGTGTTCCAGCGGCGTGGAGCGGCGACATTTTATATTACAGATTTCTTTTAAACATGATAAGAATAGCCATCCCAAATGTTTCCTTGAGACGATATCGGTCGCATTGTTCGGATTAACAAATAAAATGATTTCGCAGTACCTAAACTGTCATCTGTACGGAGTTAATTTGTGACGCCGTTCTATTGTCAACAGATGCGCGTCCACCGAGCGCCAGTTCCTGGCGGACTTCGTGGCCGGCGCCGAGAGCACCGCCGGCGGCCGCTTGGCGCGGTGGCTGGCGCCCATGCCCAGGGTGGAGCCCGCCCTGTGCGAGCTCAAGGCGCCGGCCACCACGGTGCGCCCCTCGACGACTCTCGCGATACCAATATGCATACGCGACCAGTACGGCGACCCCGTTATATCGCCGTCGCTAAAAGTCGAGGTATGCTCTCTTCTGCAAACAGTCTATAGTTATAAGAACAATTTAGATTAAGTTTAATTTGTATGTAAGCACTTAATATGTCTGAAACAAGAACTAGAGTCGCTGCTCGGGCATTTGTCTAGTGCGAGAGACATTCAGAGATTTATTCAATTTGTGTGGCCACATCAGAGCTAGTAACGTATAGAGGGAAATCTCATTTTGTACGGGGGAACTAATAAGGGCGATACGTTTAGACAAACTCAATTGCGCACTAACAATGGACGTATATCTTCGTTCCAATATAGACCTATGTTGTTAATTTAATTTTCTCCGCCTTTAGAAAGTAATTTAGTAATGATCCTGCCATCAAAAATTTATGTGACTAGTTTGTCCAGTTCAAACAAAAGTTAATTTATGATAACACAATTTATATTAATAAGCATGATGTAAGTTTCATGACCTTATGTCTGAATTAGTAGTAATAAGTATAAGTTGTAATTTGCGCAATATATTTTTATTCATAAATACAATGTTATGTCATAATGTCAAATCAATCGGTATAGAACACAGCCAATCTAATTCCACGTTCTGGCTTTTCCTTCCGCACGTAGTTTTTTTTTCGTTTCACACTGATACTCGTTACAGTGATATCGACACCTAAAGAATCATAATAAAGTTTATTTTAACTTTTGGCAAAGCATAATACTGACTTGCTGATCTAATTTACCGATAATAGGGCGTACAAATCTTTTTCTTTTTCTTTTATATCACCATAGTTTTATATTCGACTAGCTGTCGCCCGCGACTACGCCCGCGTGGAAAAGGGTGAAAGCGAGAAATTCAGACAGATACAGACAAATATCTATACCTATAATAAAAATGTAATTTGTCTTTGTCTGTACATGGAAGACATTTGGGAAAAACTGTTATTAAAGGTCCCCCTTTATCAACGCAATAGAACCCAAAACAATGGTTGTAAAAATTGTTGTCTGTGTATCTGTGTTTTTTTGCACGCTAATCTCAGAAACGGCTTAACCGATTTTAGTGCAATTAACTAATGCATTGTAGTAGTTCACTTAACATTTAGTGTTAGTTTTATTTAAATCGGTTCATAAATAAAAAAATTGTATCAACTTAAAAAAATTATAGCTACAGTTGACTTGGTTGAAACTATAGTTAACTACCTATAATTATATTATGGTCTATAAAATGATGATGAATGTTAGATTATATAAATTTAAAAACCAGCCAAGTGCGAGTCGCAATATTGCACGAAGGGTTCCGTACAATAATCTATAAAAAAAAAAGAGGCAAAAATTCATGTCTGTAGTATGAGAACCCCACTTAAAAAGAAATTTATTTAGATTTTTCTTATTTGTTGTAATAGCGTCAACGGAAATACATTGTTTTGCCTTCTGGGAAACAATTACTAAGGATCACACAAATAATTCTCCCGTGTGAGAATCGAACCTACGCCGAAGTCCATGCCTTGACAACTGCGCCATGGTTAGTGAGCAGGCGAGTGGTATTCGAAATAAACACAATTTTGTCTGAGTCACACCCAGTGACGATCTCAGCTTGAATTATATGCCTTTGTAGAAAAGTTACGTTTATATGAAGTAGAATATCGCCTAGGCAAAGAAGCCAGAGGCGAAAGGCGAAAGGAGCAACGCTACTAAATAAACCCCTCTATTCTGCAGCCCCCCCCTACATTTGGCCCGCCAAAGTACGCGGTTTATGGAGAAATTCACCACTGTTCTTAACAACTAAAAAGTAAGGAATAAAGTAACAGCCTTCAAATATCCCACTGCAGAGCGAGGCCTCCTCATTACAGGGGGTATCAGGGCTTAGTCCACCACGCGGCCCCGCTGCGGATTGGCAGACTTCACTACTTTCAAAATTTTTTTTCGTTATTTCCCCTGATAGTTTTCCCACACTGTTGAGCACGTGATAAGTCAGCACTTAAAATTAAAAATTTCTTTGGTGCCGGCACCGGGAATCGAACTCAGGTTGCTCTAGTATATTGAATTAAAAGGTAACGCCCGGACAATAAGCTAACTCTCGGCCTAACAACTAACCAAATCGCAAAGCAAAATCAAGAACATCCGTATACCGAGCAAAACTAAAATCGAACCTATTGTATATATCTCAATCGAGGAAATTCGCATAATAATAATTATTAAAATGCAAATGGTCGGCGCTTGATAGTTAGCTTGTGAAAATATGTATATAGCGCGTTTTAGGAATTTAACAACGCCGTCTAGTTTTCACGGGAACTATATTCTTATCTTCTTATCGTAACTTACCTATGCTGGATTTTAATTGTATCAATTGAACATATTGTTAAATCAAACTTTTTTTTAATTACGAAACTGAAAATTCAAGTTATCGTGATTAAAATTTTATCACTGAGACCACATTTTTATGGAAGGTAATTTTTTGTATTGGGAGCTACTGTCATTTGAAAAAATCAAAAACTGTTCCAATTGATCCAGTAGCTAATAACGTATATATTCTGTTTAAGTAAACTAATTACGATCAAACGATACTTAAATATTCCGTGGAAGTTGTACTGTCAACCTGTCAAAAACCCCGTTAAAATCGTTCCTACGGTTTGTGAGTATTCACATAACTTTTTTTTTAGTGAGCCAATTGCAACAAAACAAAGCTTTAATGTTGCACAGAATTAATCTTGAATACTTTGAAAAACGCCATACAAATTAGTCCCGTAGTTGGATAGGATAACTATGATAACTGTTTGCGACTGCACTGCTTTAATCTTAAAACTCCCATATCTCCCGTCTGAATAAACCGATTGAGATGAAACAAAGCCTAAATGTTGCCCCAAGCGTTGCTTAAGTAACCAGTGAAAACTGCATCAAAATCTGATAAGTAGTTTTCAAGTTTATCGCGGACAGACAGACAAACAAAAATTCCAAAAATGGTTTTTATGTTTCCTTTTTATGTAACCCTCTTTCATTTTTTCATAAATATATTCAATGTACAGACACGCCGATTCTACTCTTTTATTATAGTATACAGGGAGGCTTTTCTAAGAGTATCCATTTTTTTTAATTAAAGTCTAGACGTAATTAATGTTATATAAAAATGAAAAATATTTTAAATCGCTTGTAAGTAATTAATTACATTAATTTGAACTTATCTCAAAAACTGTGCGATTTATACGCCACTCATTTATTTTACGCGCGATCATTCATAACTAACACGCACACAAGTTAGTTTGTGTGCGTGAACAGTAAAATTAAGGTATTTATGAATGACTACCGCGTTGTCAACAAGTTCTGTTTTTTAGGGAATAGAATGGCATTTTTTGGAAAAAAAAGTTTGTTTTTTATTTCAATAAACGATTATACTACCAAGTCTGAACCCCCTGTGTAAAATTGGACACCTTTAAAAAAAGTCTCCCTGTAGTATGCACAGATTTTTTTCGTTTGTTTGTTTTTTTCTTTAACTATGTTGTGTCCGTAGGATCCGAGGTTATTATAAAATGTTATTCGTTCCCTTAAAAATCTGTATGTACATACGTGTTTATGTGCTTGTGCGGAGACGCCATTCCGCTTGTAAAAAGCCCCAGTTGTGTGTAATGCTATTCACTTGACCTGAGTTATGAAGTCAGTTTAATGCTTAACGAGAGGCGCTCGTTTTAATTAATGACGGACTAGCGTGCTATCGCAAATTTAAATGAGAATTCTTTTCTTTGTAAATTAAATCCATTATGTGTTTAACATGTAGAGATTTTCCAATTAATACAATTCTTTAGTATTTAATCAAGTGAAATCGACAGCATGTTAATATTAATTTTGAAAATTCTTTTTCGTCACTTGACTAAATTTAGTATATAATTTCGTTAAAAAAAAGTAAAGCAACAGCTATATACATATGTAGCAGTATACATGTAACACTGATGGGCAAAGGCATCCTCATTACGGAGGGTATCAACAGTCAACAATTTCAATGGTGCCGTCACCGGGGATCGAACTCTGGTTGCTCGAGTCCTCGTATATTGAATTAAATGCGAGCGTCCGGACCCTGAGCTTTCACGGCTCATTTTTCTACCTATTTATCTCCCTAACCGTTCAGTCCTGTATTACTTTTTTGAAATATTTGACTTTATTTCGCTGGATGTGTTACCACTAAACATAAATCACGCCGTAGCGATGTGATGTTAAAAAAAACAACATGGAATGTTCCATATCTGTAAATCGTTACCGCCTTATTAGTGAATTCATTGTGCGCCAATTTTCAATAAGCTTAATTATTGAAACACGCGAAAATTGGCCATGGGAGACGCGCGAATGTTGTTAGCGCTGATTACATTACTCTATAAATTAATTTACCATGATAGCATGTTGCCACGTTAAGAGATTTTTAACGCAATTAAACTGTGGGGTTGCCAATTAAATGTTTATGGTTTGGTTTAGCTTTTGCCGAGTGTTTATTCAATTACTTATCGCATTATAGTTATTATCCATCCCGAGGTACACAGTAAAAAGAATATTTATTCAGTCTCCGTTATCTTATTTATGGATCTCGTCGATTTGTCGTTTGATTAGAAAATTATGAGTTCTGTCTGGAATATGAATTTTTAAATTTTTTTAGACGAATCTAACAATAATGTATCATAAAAACTATTTGTTATATATGTACTTGAATTTACCATGGTCTCAAATAATTGGCATGTTACGGAAAACGGAGCATGAAGATGTTGGTATGTTGTATTACATAAGTGAAACGAATTTATTATTAATAAAATCGTCCTCTCGGCTTGCTACATTGTCCGAGTGCTTCTTCTTGTATTTTAACGAGACTACAGCGTACGTACTTCAAAATTTCTACCTGAGCGAATTGTATGAAGCATTGAGTCTTTACATTCCAGATGACGGTTCAGCGTTTAGATGAGTCGTGGAGCCGGGGCCGGGCCGGTGCAGCCGAGGGTCTTCAGAACGTTCCCGACGTTCCTTATCAGCCCACAGTGCGGGACAAGATGAGCTTTAAGGCCATCACCGTGATGAAGGTACGTTCACGCTGTAGCGATCCTCATGTATACGAAAGCACTATTATGAACACCTGTGCCGTGCCTTCTTCAAAAGCAACACCCCGAGAAGGTGGATAGTACATATGGATTTACTTTAGAAGTTATTTTACGTCATGCCGTTTCTTTTTCGTATTTGCCCATGGCACGGATTCAGCTATTCTTCTGGCCCGCTAATGAATCGATCGCCTATACCGTTTGTTTTTCGCCGCCGAAGAAATTGACATTTGCACGTCGCCGAAGTTGAATTTTTGATTGAGAGCGTGATTCATAATAAATGTCGACGCTGGTCTCCGCTCAAAGGCTTGACGTGCATGTTTGTAATTACACTGTACGCGCACAAATTAATTGATATGCATTGTTCTGTTTTGCCTTTATAAAAACGGTTTTAATTAACATTCATGCTTAAACATATTGTGAAGTTAATTAATTACATTGAATCGTGTTGCGTGATCTTATTTTTTTTATCATAAATGCCCTTTGAGTGAAGAGTCTTTTTCATATAACAAAAATATTAATACAACAATAAGAGATACGGGATGTACGGTACACTGATTTCAGTGAAATTAGTCTAGCGTACAGCCCGTAACTTCTATATAATTATGTAATGCTCATATTTTATTGAAGAAAATAATTGTCTTTTCCAATAAGTCGTAGATTAAGACGTTATTCATAAAAATACCGTCTCTCATAAATGGAAATATATTGTATATATCTTGACTACTATCCTCCTGTTATGGATTCGATTCTTTAGGTGGAAAAAAATTTTAGTTCCATAAATATTTTACCTTATCTTCCCGCAATAAAAGATTTAAAAGTATCAGATATATGAATGATTTACGCAAACCATTTCATATTTTTACTATCACCATACTGACTATAATAGACGATCGTAGCTTAGTTTTTTTTATTTGGTAAACGATCTGTCGGTACGGTACATTTGACTAAACGATGACCGGCACCCATGGCCGTATACAACACACTAGTTAATTACTGTACGAATAAACGTGAGGTGTTAGCTTATGACAAGCTTATGCTAGGTTTTATTACGCACAGTTACAGTTTCTTTCTAAATTGAAAAGCTGCCAAACTTAGTGTTCATACTATATATACTACGGTGCTTAATAGTCGACTAGATATTAAAATTTAATCCAGTAATGGAGAAAGCTTAATACATTTAAGTAATAGAAAAGCTTGGTGTCTCGCGTTTTATTTAACTTAGTGAATTCTAGAAACCTACGTTCACGTCCCGGCTCGGGCATTAATAAAATTGTTGGTTGCATTTAAAATATTAACGTATTCCGCGTCCACACTCTCTGCATTGAAGAGAAGCATGCCGAGAAGATTCGCATATATTTTTTTTTATGTGAAAAGTTGCCAAACGAGCAGACAGTTCACCTGATGGTAAGTGAATACCGCCGCCCATGGACATCTGCTACACCCGAGGGTGACAGAGGCGTTGAACAGCCTTTTGAAAATTGCGTTCCGGCTACCTCACTCTCCAAACGAAACGCGAAAGTATTTGTCATACTTGCACTTCATACCGGTCTTCGGACCTGGACGGGCCTGTCCATTCGTGCAACAGCCGAGGCTGCTGCGTGGCACTAATAATAATAATAATAATAATAAAATATCTTTATTCACATAGACGCTTGCGCGTTCTTATGAAATTTACAAGAAATTAACACGTTCGTAAGTTACCACCGGTTCGGAAAGCAGTTTCTGTTGAGAAGAAACCGGCAAGAAACTCAACAGTTGCTCTTTTTAAAAAAATCAGTTTACAATATAATAGTACAGGTACAATAGTCTTGTTTTAGCCTACGTGAGTATCAACAGTATTAACCCCACACATTGGCGTCGTCAAGATATTCGGCAATAGTATAATAGGCTTTAGCCATAAGTGTACTTCTAATTTTTCGTTTAAATTCATCAAGTGGCAGACTTAACATCGACTGTGGGATTTTATTATACATGCGCACACTTTGCCCCATGAACGATCTGTTTACTTTTTGTAGGCGAAATAATGGCGTAGTTAGTTTGTCCTTATTTCTAGTATTTAGTTTATGTCTGTCACTATTCTTTAGATAATTATTAATATTCTGTTTAACATACAAAATATTACAATAAATATATTGAGACGCAACAGTGAGTATATTAATCTCTTTAATAAGATCTCTGAGTGTATTCCGGGCTCCGATGTTATAAATTGCTCGGACAGCTCTTTTTTGAATAATAAATATTGAATTTATATCAGATGCACTACCCCACAACAAAATGCCGTACGACAAGATGCTGTAAAAATAACTGTAGTAAACAAGTCTGGCAGTGTCGATGTCTGATAGCTGCCTAACCTTCCTAATTGCAAAAACAGCGGAGCTTAACCTATTCGCAAGAGATGATAGATGGGGACTCCATTGGAGCTTTGAATCTACTGTGATTCCCAAGAATACAGCGGACTCAACAGGATTAAGGGTTACGCTATTCAATTTTAAGCTAAAACTTTGCCTTCTTACGTTGGGAAGGGCAAAAAAGGGCATTTAACACCATATTATTAATGGTAAACCAGTGGAGGATACGCGAAAGTGCACTATTCACGTCGTCATAATTCGATACATTTCGGTCAACCTTAAAAATAAGCGATGTGTCGTCAGCAAACAGTACAACATCACATAACTCACTGGCATAGAAGGGGAAATCATTTATATATACTAAGAATAATAATGGGCCCAAGATCGATCCTTGTGGGACACCCATTTTCATGGGGGACCCTGCGGAATTTACATCATTTATAGATACTTTTTGAATTCTATTACTAAGGTAAGAGGCAATGAGATTGAGGGCGATGTCACGAATGCCATAATAATCAAGCTTTAGAAGGAGGGTTTTGTGATCCACGCAGTCGAAAGCTTTTGAAAGGTCGCAAAAAACACCTATTGCATCTTGCGACCCTTCCCAGGCGTTATAAATATGTTTGACAAGTGCGATACCCGCATCTGTTGTCGATCTGCCTTTAGTGAATCCATATTGCTTATTGTGAAAAATTTTGTTCATATTAAAATGTACTAAGAGCTGATTTAAAATTAGTTTTTCAAAAATTTTACTCAGATATGGCAATATGGAGATAGGTCTGTAGTTTCCTGGATCATTTTTATCCCCACTTTTGAAGACGGGGATTATCTTACTAAATTTCATAAGATCTGGAAATATTCCAGAATTTATGCAGTTGTTAAAAATATTAGCTAAATGTGGTGCAATATATGGCATTATTGTGGTCATTAATTTTATGGACATGCCCCATAAATCCCCTGTATTCTTAAGATTAATAGAATTCAAAACTTTTATAATATCATAAGTATCTACGTGATTAAATTTAAATGTGTGTGGACAAAAGGTAACATTATTTCTTAGAACGTTAATTGCATCTATGGGAGATGATTTTAATGTACATGTGACATTAACTGCAATTTCTGAAAAATAGCTTTCAAAACTACTTGCAATTTCATTATCTGATGTTATGGGAGTATTACCTATAACCAGTTTTATAGGTTCCCTGAATATCTTGGGTCTTCCAGATATACGTAATGATGTCCCATGTGGCTTTAATTTTATTGTTTGAATTTATTATTCTATTTCTTATATGAATAGATTTTGCCTGAATAAAGACTTTTTTAAATATTTTTGAGAACATTTGTACCCTTTTATGAAAGTTAATACCACCACTACCACCGTGTATAATATATCTACGTAGTAGCTTAAAATATATCTTGAAAATTATTAAATTCTGTCCAGATTGTACCCAGTTTCCGTTGGTACTAACGATGCCATTGCCCAGCAGTAGAATAATAATTTTGTGTTTATCAGTAACATGTAAAAACCTGAAAGATTGATCTTTGCTTATTGCTGTACTGTAGTTTCGATTATGAAAGATAAAAAACAAACATGTCTGTTATATGGGAGTCCCACTTAAATATTTTTTATTTTGTTTTTTAGTATTTGTTGTTATAGCCGCAACAGAAATACATCATATGAGAAAATTCCAACTTTCTTACTATAACGCTTCATGAGATACAGCTTGGTGACAGATGGACAGACAGACAGACGGGCAGACGGGCAGACGGACAGACAGACAGACAGACAGACACGAAGTCTTAGTAATAGGGTCCCGTTTTACCCTTTGGGTACGGAACCCTAAAAATCTAAAAACTAAGAATTATAATAGAACCAATTATATCACTGTATGCAGTTTTAGCAACGTGTCTAACTGGTCGGAATTTTGTCGTTGATTTAAAACAAACTGTTTCGAATGTAATTATTTCGGCATTGTATTGCAAAGGGGGCCCAATTTCAATGATTTTTTTTATTCTCTTATTATGTTTGTTAGTTAACTTGAAAAAGCTTTAATGTTCGGCTATTAGTGTGTTAATTGTTGCATTTGAATCATTTATTGATGCGATACGTTGTGGCCAACGTGAAATACAGAGCGTCTCTTTGTCCGCAACTCTAGAACGTGATGGACCTAGACAACCTAGCTACTTCGCCGAGCTATTGATTTATGTAAAAGCTTGCTCCGCGCATGTCCGCCGTGAGGTCCTTGTCAACTTATGTAACTTTATTATGATGAAAATTTTTCATTTCCCTTGGATAGGAATGAGTTTCGCCTTTGTGTACAACCTGAGTTTTAGAAACTATTTTCATAGTGCGTCTTATCATACGACATGACGGCAACTAAATGTTTTCAGCGATACATTTTGCAGTGTTTCTTTTATATGTACATTTGTCACAGGCTTTTCTTGCTTACGTGTGATGGTTTCAAATGAAATCAAAAGTTAAAATCGATGCAAAGGCTTACTTTTAATAGAAAATAAATTAGATCTAGATAAATCATTGTTGAACCTAATTTATCCCAATTTATTATAAGCCTCGCTAGATGACATCGCCCGGCTTTGCGGAGCACTGCTTTTATATAAAAATTTAAAAATATAATTCATATTATTTCATTACTGTCATTTCTCTATTGTTAAAAAAATAACGTTGAAAAACGCTGTGTAAGTATCCAAACAAATACTATTTATTATATTTAGTTATTTATTTGAATAGCCTTAGCACTTAAACAAATACTTGTGTTTAGTTGCTAAGTATAAGTTTTTTTAATTTACATAAGATATAAGTACTAAACTTAAAAAAAGTAAAGTGACAGTCTTTACATTTCCCGCTGCCTGGCAACCTCTGTACAGAGGGTATCAGGGCATATTTTATCTGTGGTATGGCCAAGCAATAGTCTTCACTCCTGCACGAATGGGCAGGTCCGTCTGGGTAAGTATCACGACCTCACAGAAGACCGCCGTAAAGTAAGTGTTTTTTTTTTATGTAAAAGGTTGTCAAGCGAGCAGACGGTTCACCTGATGTTAAGTGAATACTGCCGCCCATGGACATCTGCTACGCCCGAGAGTTCCAGATGCGTTGACAACCTTTTGAAAATTGCGCTTCGGCCACCTCACTCACCAGACGAAACGCGAAAGTATTATACTTACACTTTACACCGGTCTTCTGTGAGGTCGTGGTGCCTTACCCGGACGAGCCTGCCCATTCCTGCAACAGCCGAGGCTGCTGCGTGGCCCTACCACCGTACACAGTAGTGGTTTCGTCTGGTGAGTGAGGTAGCTGGGGCTCACTTTATTTAAAGGTGGCAACGCTTCTGCAACCCTACTGGTGTTACAAATGTCCATGGGCGGCGAAACAGCGGCTTAACAGCGGGTGAATCGCCAGTTCGTTTGCCACTTTGTCACATAAAAAAAATTCCACCACGCGGCCTCACTGCGGCTTGGTGGATTTCACATACCTATTTTCTTTTTTTATTATTTACAAAATATGCAGGTTTTCTCACGATGTTTTCTTTACCCGCTTGATAATTTAGCACTTAAAGTTAATAATTTCATTTCATCCGGCTCCGGGGATCGCACTCGGGTTACTCGAGAATATTGATTTAAAGCGCCCGGACATAATAAACAATATACATACGTATTTAAATTAAAGTTAAACCAAACATATATCATAAAATTAGTTCTTAGGTAAAAATTTAATATAAAATACAATAATGAAAAAAGTCAGGGTTATGGGTTTTATGAATTATTATTATTATAGTAATTGAATATTTTTTTATTAAAAAGGGTCAGAAAAGTTATCAATGTCAAATTTTATTTCTTTTACTATGTATTATTGTAATTATATCTAGTTTTCGGATGTGGTCCGGTTATGCCCCCGTTAAAAAGCGATCGTTACCTTGGGCAAATTGAAAGCGACGATAATTTGTAGGCATATCAGAACTACTCTTTCGAGGAGCTGCGCTTGGCGAGCGGCTCGTGGGCAGAGGAGGGCGCGGGCGGGGAGGGCGCCGGGGGTGAGGGTGCGCCCGCCGAGCAGGTGCCCATACACTCGCAGGGCGACGGCTCGTATCTCGCCACGTGGGTGCCGCACACGCCCGGCCGCTACACCTTCACGTGCCTGCTGGACGAGCAGCCGGTGGCCCAGGTCAGTCGCCGGAGTCGTCTCTGCTTACAAGGTGCTCTCAGCATGAGACCTTGGTCAGGAAACTACGCCACTATGGTATAAGAGATGCCGCACTCAATCTTCTGAAATCGTACTTGAGCCATCGAATTCAGAGAGTTGACGTGAATGACAAGAGATCTCCCGGGGCCTTGGTAAATATGGGGTCCCGCAGGGATCTATTCTTTGGCCTTTTCTCTTCCTCATTTACATAAATGATCTACCTTATCTTGTTAATAATAATCATGAGATAGTATTGTTTGCGGATGATACCTCTTTAATCTTTAAAGTAAACCGACGTTCTTTAAGTTATGACGATGTAAACAATACTCTATCTACTGTAGTACATTGGTTTAGTGCTAACAATTTACTGTTGAATGATAAAAAAACTAAATATATTAAATTTACAACTTCCCCCAATGTTAAACATGTAAAAACTGATGTACTTTTATATGGGGAAGCGTTGGACCCTATTGACTCAACTGTATTCCTTGGCATAACTATTGATGCCAAACTGCAATGGGGCCCCCATATTAATAGACTGGCGAGTAGACTTAGCTCAGCAGCTTTCGCGGTCAAAAAAATAAGACAGTTAACTGATGTTGATACGGCTCGCTTGGTATATTTTAGTTATTTTCACAGTATAATGTCTTATGGCATTCTGCTTTGGGGTAACGCGGCCGACATTAATACAATCTTTATCTTACAAAAGAGAGCTATTCGTGCAGTTTACAATCTGGGCCCCAAAGAATCTTTAAGAAACTTGTTTAAAGAGATAAAGGTATTGACTGTTGCTGCTCAATACATTTTTGAAAATGTTTTGTATGTCCATAAAAATAAGGAAAAATTTTTAAGACATTATAATGTTCATGATATAAATACTAGGAACAAAAATAAATTGATCCTACCCACAAGTAGACTCCGTAAAATAAGTAAATCTTTTATGTTATTACAACAAAATTCCAGAAAACGTTCAAAATGCATCAATAGCTAAATTTAAAAAAATAGTAAAAGAACGTTTGTGTGTTAAAGGCTACTATAATATTAATGATTATTTAAATGATAACACACTCTGGTAATGAACTGATCGCTCCAGGCTCTTTCAATCGGAGTTCTTATACTGATTTTAACGAATTTATGTCAAACTGCTTATTTAAAAAAAAAGCCCGCTGAGTTTCTTTCGTGGGTTCTTCTCAGTACAGTGGCTTTCTTTTCCGAACCGGTGGTAGTGTTTTGACTATCAATAAGTGAGTGTAGTGCTCCTATGTTGAATAAATACATTTGATTTTGATTTTGATTTTGATTTTGATTTTGATTTCTCCTCGGTGGTTCTCTCTCATTTGGTCTCTGTCCCTCCCCCCTTTTTCATTCTATTGCCATTCTTTTTTCTAACGTGGTGGCTGCTAAAGTAGCACGTGCTAACAGAGACGCGGTGTGTAGTGGAGGTATTTATAACCTGGAATTGCATCCGGTGAACGGAGTAATCTACGATGTAGTACACCGTTCCGTTGCAGGAGGTGACGATAGAAGTGCTGAACGCCAGCGAGGACGAGAGCGACCACAAAGGCGTGCAGGCGGGCGGGCCCGGTGCGGAGGCCGGGGGCGAGGCGGCCGAGTCGCGGCTGCGGCGCTTCGCCACCAGCTGCAGCGCCGGCCTGAGGCTGCGCACGAGCCCCAGCCTCCAGGCGGAGGAGATAGGCCGCGTGCCGCCAGGCGCCAACGTCGCATTCGTGGAAGAGGTGAGCCCGATTGCAGTCGTGGACCGTGCTCGCAATAAATGACCGTCGCGGTGGGGCAACGCCAACAGTTCGCCGTTACACGAACCACCGCCCACCGGAGCCCACTTTATTAAAAGGTGACAACGAAACTTAAACCCTAGCGGCGGTTATCGCTTATCGTCAGGTCGTTTGCCGCCTTGTCATATAAAAAAATATCAACCGAGGGCAATTGTTAGTGTTGGAACAATATTGCAAAATAGCGTTCATTTGGTTTGAAAATATTTGGGCGTGGGTTGAATCTTTGCGTTTGCCCCCAGACAACGAACAAGGACGGCACATGGGTGCGGCTGAGCGTGGAGTCTACCAACGCGTACATCTACTACGCCGGTTCCGCCAGCATCGCATGGTGCTTGCAACACCACCGCGAGCTGGACTTGGTGCTGCTCGTGCCCATAGAGCATATAGAAGAGGTACGTATATATTTACGGTATTTAGGGGAAAATAAAATGATTTAATCACACGACTCGGTGGCGCAGTTGCTAAGCTACGGTGTCGGAGTTGTGGGTTCGATTCCCATATGGAACAAGTGTTTTTATGTCCCGCAGTAGTTGTGTAATTGTTCCGTATCTGGGTGTTGGTTGTCAAAGAGAGTTGACGTTAGGCGAATCATTGTCAGGAAACGACATACGAGTCCTTCGACTGGATTCCCGGTTTGTCCTAGGTGGAGGGGCTTATTGGCCGTTTGCTTGGTCACCCACGGAGAGGAGTTGTTCAAGTTTCAAGAGGAGCCACACTGGGCCTATGGCTTTGGATGCGTGCTAAGAGGTTGCGGGGGACACGTAGAGGGTGGTAGAGAAGGAGGCTCGTTTTCTGTTATTTGCAACGGAAATAGCCATTTCCCCCACGTTAAAATGGGATAAGGGCAGGAGAAATAGGAAAAAGATTGACGACTATGCACTCTCTCTCTCTCTCTCTCACTCTGAATGTCTTACTTATGTTGTCATGTTTTTGAAACGTCCGCGCTTCCAGTGTAATAAATCGTTCATCGAGTGCATATTTCTGGATGTAGATTGCAATTGATTGTTCGCTTACAGGAGGACGACATTCCGGACGCGTGGAGCGACGACCCGCAGGCCGAAGCCAGCGCGTGGAACCACGAGGAAGACGGCGACGGTAAATTTTAGATTAAAACTCCTCTCGGTGCTTCAATTACTCTCCCTAATGAGATACACCTTCAGTCCTCGTTCGATATATTACGGTTAGTTTGGTGCTAATAAATTAAACTAAATTGAATTCTCCCATTGGTAAACCATCAGTTGGTGCGTTTTAATTTGGTAATTTTTTTACATTGCAGATGCCAACGAATTCGAAGAGAGAAAATTCCCATTCTCCATCGACATATGCAATGACGTAAGTTGAACAAAATGATTATTATTATAAACTGAATATCATTACATCGGCCATTTTATTTGGGCCTATGAATAGTGATAATGTGTTGTGCGTATGACTTAATATTGCATATAGCATGCAACTCAATATTGCTATCAATAGATATGAATGCATTTTTGATACTTTACGTAATGCTCTAAGAAAACCGCCACCCATTGAAATTTACGACACCTAGATTCAACGTTGCGTTGCGAATATGGGGCCTAGGTCCTTTTTTAGTAAATAGGTAAAATTCTGAACGGCTCTGCCATATACTACTTTGTAGCAAAATGGAATGCTTGAAAGATGGATATCTAAAATCTCTGCCAAACCTAGTCTAAGTTAAATCCCTGATCCTTTCCGTATATGTCGGTATAAAATCATGTGCCTTATTTGCAGAGTGACGAGGGCTCCAGTCCCTTCAACTTCGGCGCGGAGCCTAGCAAGCGGAACAGACTCGCCCGCAAGGAAGCCGCCTCCGCCTCCGCAGCCTCGCCGAGGTAAAATGCACTATATTCCGTCACCATAAGACCCAATTCAAATTAACAGTTTTCTTCAATGATGTAACCTTTGATCGTTTCAGACGTTTCCAGCGCAAGAGCAACGGCAATAGCGACGAGTGGTGGTCAATGAAACGCGAGGATGATGTAGTGCAGGACGCCAATGTGCAAGAGGTAGGTGATGCGTACGGCACGGTGCTACAGCACAAAGGATTCACTATGACGCAAGTTCACGCAATGTCTCTGGACTGTTGCTGCATCAATGGGCAGGCTTCCTCGGCAGAAGACTTTATTTATCTTCTGTACGGTCGGAACGCGCCGGTGTGCTTCGATACTGTGCGTTAGCACGCCTCGGAGAAGGATACACCTTCCCCGATTCCCTCACCATCTTGCAGCAGCTCGAGACCACTTGGTACTGCTGCCAGTCCGGGGCCCCCTTTAGTCGCCTTTTACAGCAGGCGGGGGATACCTTAGCCCTATTTCGGCAGAAGACCTGCCGCCAATTTGTTTTTTATTCCATTTCTCTTAAACAATATTTATATACTAGTATGTAAAAGATAAATAATAATAAAATATCTTTATTCACATTGACGCTTGTGCGTTCTTATGAAACGTCAATATTTTACAAAGAAATTAATATATTCCTAAGTTACCACCGGTTCGGAAAGCAGTTTCTGTTCAGAAGAAACCGGCAAAAAACTCAACAGTTGCTCTTTTTTAAAAGGTCAGTTTACAATATAATGGTACAGGTACAATAGTCTTGTTTCAGCCTACGTGAGTATCAACAGTATTAACGCCACACATTGGCGTCGTCGAGATAATCTGCAATAGTATAATAAGCTTTAGGGCATTACTTTGCTTTTAATTTTTCGTTTAAATTCATCATACTCATAATTTTCATAACTGAGCGGTGTGACTTGTCCGTAAAACTCCCCGCATGACGTACACCGTCCGCCGGCAGACCGCGATCGGGGTGCACCCCGAGTCGCGCAGCAGCAGCCGCCTGGCGCAGGCGAGCACGCAGACCTCGCCGGACACGTACGCCGAGGACGCCCTAGCGCACATGTTCCTCACCTCCGCCAGCGTGGAGGTGAGTGCGCGCGCCGGCGGCTCGTCGAGCGGCTCGCCGAGCGTTCGCTCGCCGCTGCACCTAAACGGACGCGATCGCGGGCGCCCCACGCGCCGGCTACCGGTCGACGCCCTCCGCTCGGTGCGTGATAACAGACGGATCATTGTATTATCAACACCCATCATCACGCACCAAAATGCACCAAATCAACACGCTGTGCGCATCTAAGCGGCCAATGACTCACTCCAGAAGTATATAAGAGGTACATAATAAGCCTGTAGAAGTAGCGTTGAAATTCAAATATATTTATTCAATATAGAAACATTACAATTACCTGCTGGTTGTGAAAAATTAATACCGGTTCGAAAAGGAAAAGAACGAAACTCAGTGGGACCATTTTCTTTTTTTTTAACATTTATTTGTAATATATTTTATCATTACTATTTATTTATACTTCACTTGAAAGAGTCTGGAGCGATTTTCATAGTGTGTTTAATCATTTCCAGAGCGTGTTGTTGATATTATAATAACCTTTACGACACGATCGTAAGAACGTATACATTTACGTGGTATTGATATCATGCACATTGATATGTCATAAAAATTCATTTTTATTTATATTGAAGTACTCTTACTAAGCATATGTTTTAAACCATTTTTTATTAGATTAACCTCAAATTATCCACTGCTGGACAAAGAAGAAATGCACAGTCCGCCACTCCATCCCATTGTGGATTTCTCTATACATATTCATACTTATAGTTTAACATCATATATATGAGTGGAACTGGAAGAACACCCCCAAGTCCTTTGTAAAAATGTATAGAATCTGATTCTTGAAAAAAAAAAAAATTGAGATTTTCGCAGCTAATATTTGTCAATACAAAAGCCGCGAAACAAAATCATATCCGGCGTCTAGTTTAGAGTATAAAGTGAATGAACAGAACGGATGCACTGGAACGGAGCGAGATAAACTGCTTGAATGCGAGTTTATTTGTCATACGTCAAAATATGGAAAAGTCGGTGCGTAGTTCACGTGGGGCGCACCGCGACAGGACCTGAAGGCGGAGAGGGCGAGCCCCAGCGACGGGGCCCGCTCGCCGCCGCCGCTGCCCGCGCGCTGCGCCGCCTCCACCTCGGCGGCGCACCCCGCCCCCGCGCCGCCGCCGCCCCCGCCGCCCGCGCCCCAGCCGCCCCGCAAACACGCGCTCAGCCCCACGCAGGCCGAGTGCCTGCGCACGATATTCGCCGCGCTGCTCTGGCACGAAGGTACACATCGGCCGATGTTTCAATTGCGCAAGCTCTCAGAGATCGGATTTTGCAATCTTTACTTAGGCTAAAGAAACATAACTTTTTACGCGGGAACATAATGTATACACACACTTTTTTAATGTAGGATTATCACACTCAATGTTTGTTAACAATTATAAACTAATTGTATAGTATTTTGCTTGCTCACGTATAAATGTGAGCTATTCCATACATGTATTTGAATTTATGAAGGATTGTGCTGTGTTCCGCCGCGGCCCAATGATAAAGCGGCCATTAAAGTGTTGCGTTCGTCGCACCGCAGCAATGATGTTATATACAAATACGAGATAGATATGACACTGGCGCACGCAGATAACTCCAATTGGTGTCATTAGGCTGCAATTCTATATACCGCTATCTCTTTCCCTATCAGCTGTCACATTCGTTTCTAAATGTCGTATAATAATATAACGTAAAGCGGAACAATGTATACCATTAAACACCATCGGCACCGCAGGCATAGTGCACGACGCGATCGCGTGCGCCGCCTTCCTCAAGTTCCACCCGCAGCTGCCACGGCAGGGGGCGCGCGTGGTGACGCGCGGCGCCGCCCACGCCCCGCCCGCGCCCCGGCCCCAGCGCCACTCCGTCGAGGTGGCGAGCGCAGGTACAACAGCCGCTACTTGTGTAACTTGCTTGTTTATTTGACACGATAAACGAACAGAAAATAATGATATAGCACATATGAAACGAGATAGTAACAAGCATAATTGGGCATAATAAAAAAACAAAGGGGGTGTGTACTAAAATAACGATGTGCATTAAAAAATTAACCAGAAGATAAACAGAATATTAAAGTTTTTCAGTCGAACTGAAACTACTATCAGTATTTCGATAACATTACACTTTTCTATACGCAAGCTTTATACATAATTTCAATAAATTGCCTAAAATGTGGAAAACATTGAGCAATACTGATGTTAAACGTCAACTTAAGGTCTTTATTGACTGAAACAGTATTAAAATGATTAATGCACTTTCTTAATGTAATCTGATTTATTTAAAATAAGTATGCACATTCGCACTAAATATGTAAATTAATATTTATTAAGCAAATTATACAGTTCTTGAAAACAACAAAAATAAAATTAAATTTTGTTTTAGTCAATTTCGTTTACACATGTTATTGATTTGGTTTATTTCAAATGTGTGCTCTTGCATTTACAGGGCAGTACCTCAGCCTGAACCCTACCACGCTGGAGTCTCTGACCCGGTCGGGCACAGAGGCCTGCGCCAGCCGCGAGCGCAAGAGTGACATCGACGAGGCCATCAAGGAGGAAGATGCCGCCAGCTCTGATGCCGGTAGCTTATATTTCAATGTCAATCGTGGAGCTGGGTATATTGAATGTCATTTACACAAAGTTAATTTAAAATGTCATATTATATAAAGGTAGGTAGCTAATGCCGTTATTAGTCTCTGTTAGAATAAAAATACACTAGTGAGCGAAAGAACGATTCGCACTGTAATATTCAAGTAAAAAAAAACTGTTCATCAGCTTTATTTTTGGTCTATAGCATGCGGATTCCGTTGTAGATTTCGGAATAAAACATGACCACGAAAAAATTCAATAGTTTTGTTTTAATGTGATAGTATTGTACCGACTGTAATTAGGAACGTCTCCGGCCGTCGTGAACGTGCTACCGCCCGCTCTGCGTGCATTGGTCGCCTTGTGGGACGCGCTGTACGACGCCGACCAACTCGCCGTGGCAACTGACAAGTGAGACAATTTGGAGCTTATTGATGAGATCATAATAAATTCAACACATTGGCATAAAAGTTATTTTTTAATGCAGTTGTTAATTTTACAACGTGAATATACATTATATGTTTTCAGGTTCAAAAAAGAGGCGACTGAAAAGCAAGACATTGACGAGGCAAGGTCGTACAGTGGTATTCGTAAACGAAAAGATTGGAGGCCATCTTCCATGTCCAAGGCACCGTATTCAGGTTTGTATTTACTGTGGTGAGATATCGTAATTGAAATAAAATCAAGCAAATGAATCGACATGTAGCCGTCGACATTTTTCGAAAATACTTTTCGATGAGTAAAGAAAGAAAATTTGTTGGAGGAGGCCTTCGCCTAAAGAGGGGTTTTTTTGCAATTGTTAATGTTTCAATTGCCTTATAAAAAAGGCTTTTTATTTCATTATAAGAGAGAAAATAACACAGTCGCCGCTAGGGTTGTCACACGGCGTAACCTTAATTAGTATGCGTGACTCCCCCACGGGCGTTCCTAAACGTGCATCCGTTTGACGTGCCTGCAGTGCGGTGCGAGTTGTGCGCCGGCGCGAGCGTGCCGCCGCCGCTGGTCGCGCACATGCGCCACGTGCACGAGGGCTGCCACGCGCCCGCCGCCGCCGGCTACGACCGCGCCGGCGTCTACAGGCGCGCAGACGCCGCGCAGAACGCGGCGACGCCCGCGGTCTGCGGCCAGATGGCGCAAGGTACCCACCTGCCCTCTCGCTCCCCCTCCCCACACACACCTCCCCCCCACCCACCTTCCAGTGTCGCGCTCTAGAGAGCCTTCCTCTGTCTTCAAACTGCCCGCGGAGTGTATTATTATTTTATGTCTGAAGAGATACTAGATACTAGGTATTTTAAAATCGTCACGTGCCATACTGAAAATCACAGAATAAACGTAAATACTGGTTCGGAGTTACGCAATCGAACAGTACGAGTTTGTCATTTTATTCAACGTAGGCACATTTCACTCGCGTACATATTTTATGTATGTTATATGCCTAACTTAAGGCAGTACGCATTTCGCTACCCTCGTATCAATACCAAACCGTATAGTTATACCGCTTAGTTAATAACCAGTTAGTAATTTTTGATTAGTGTTTTTTACAATATTTTATACAATACCATTACGAAAGTGTTAATGTACCACTTGTCAGAGTTTAATAAACCATATACCAGACTATATTTAAACTCTGTAGTATTACCATATACCACTTAAAGAAGAAACCTTTAAAATACATTGAAGGTCCTTTAAAATACATTGCAGAATTAAACGAGTTTCTTTATTGTTCCTTAGCTTACCAACTTTGGTACATATTCTGCGAGAAGTGCCGCGAGAAGGCCCTGCGCACTGCGTCCGCTATGAAACAGACGAAAAGCAAGGTGGTAGCGGACACCACCATCGGCCAGGAGCCCGAGGTCGACCATCACACCATCAGGGACAACGCAGATTTTTTGCTGGACGTTGCACCTATCACCAGCCATGGTAATTATGTCGCTCTCTCTATTTTACCGTCCAGAGTAAAAATTATAAAGATGATTGCAGCTCATGGGTATCCGTTTATGATTTATAATTGTACTTTTTTTTTAAATGTGAAAAAGGGACGAACGAGCTGACAATTCACCTGATGTTAAGTTATAACCGCCGCCCATGGACATTTGCAATACCCGTAGGGTTGCAAATGCGTTGCCACCTTAAATAAAGTGGGCCCCGGCTACCTCGCTCACCAGACGAAATGCAGAGGTGTAACACTTTTACTTTACGCCGGTCTTCTATGAGGTCGTGGTAATTACCTGGACGAACCTGCCCAATCGTGCAAAAGTGAAAACTGTTGCGTGGCCCTACCACAGTCCTACCACAGTTGTTCGTAATGCAATTTATTATTATACTTTAGGACAGATTTCTTAGTTGGATTCGGCCACTGTATCCAATCGAGTGGTATATATAACCGTACCTATACGTAATCGTCGCTCTGTCTGCTCGCGCAGAGGGCCAGGGCTCGTCCCTGTGGCAGGAGTCGTGTGGCCGCGGGCCGCCCACGCCGCCCGGCAGCGTGTGGCAGCCGGCGCCGCCGTTCCAGTGCCTGGCCGCGCTGGGCGCCGCGCCCCGCCCTAGCGCCGCCAAGGACGCCGCCCGATACCACTCGCTGGGCAGGCCGCCGCCCGCCCCGGCATCGCCGCCGGTATCTATTAAACTAAACAATGACTATTCATCATCATCATGATCGAGTAAGACGTCCACTGCTGAGCAATAGGCCCCTTAGAACGCCGCAATGAGTAACTTTCAGTGGCCGTAAAAACTCGGAACGCTCAGAGGACAAGATTTGCCCAAATTTAGACTTAGATAAGTAAATGCAGTATGTGTGCAAAATTTGCCATTATTTAACGTATCCATAAATTATTGATACTTACAGTTAAAAAAAAATCTTAATATTCAAGAAAATACTGATATGTGATAAAAGTAAAGTATCAAGCCTATACATGTCCCACTGCTGGGCAAAGGCCTCCTCTGTACAGAGGGTATCAGGGCATAGTCCACCACGCAGCCCCACTGCGGATTGGCGGACTTCACATATCTTCGAAATATTATTTAATAAAATTTGTTATTATTTCGAAAGTATGCAGGTTTCCTCACGATGTTTTCCTTCACCGCTGAGCGTGTGATAATTGTGTATGAACTAGCTGCTGCCCGCGACTACGTCTGCGTAGATTGGAGTGAAGACGTAACATTCAGACAGAAAGTCGGATATACATAAAATATGTATATAAATTATAACCTATGTCTTATTCTGATATAATAAAATATATTATTGAAAGGTTTCATTAAAATCCATCAAGCAGTATTTGCGTGAAAGAGTAACAAACATCCATACAAACAAACGTTCACCTTTATAATATCACTAAGGATAAGATAATATGGTAAGTTTATTCCGTTTTTTAAACTATTCGTTGTTATAGCGGCAACGCAAATACATGTGAAAATTTCGACTGTCTGATTATTTAATCGCGGTTAATGAGATACAGCCTGGTGACACTAACGGTGACACTAACACCGTTGGACCCTTTGGGCGCGCAACCCCGCAAAGAGGACTTATCGAACGCAGGTGTCGGAGCAGGGCGAGGCGGGCTCGTCGGGCACGCACTGGCCCCGCGTCCACCGCTCGGTGTCGATGGGCCAGGCGGGCGGGCGCGGCCTGCTCGCCTCGGAGCGGCCGCCGCTCGCGCGCACCGCATCGCCAAGCGCACGGGACACCTTCTCAGGTTGGCATCGCTGTTCTAAGGGTGTTTGTTACTATACCAATCAAACAATCGATAGCGCTTTCCATCCATCGGCGCCTCCACGGTCGGAGCAATTACTTTGCACCAAACCGTTAAACACCGATCAAGACAACAAAAGTAATCATAAAGAAACAAGTATTAAGCATACTTTTCAAGCTATCAATATTCGACTCGACGCTACCTAGCAAAAACCGGTAAGCAGGTTTAAGTAGGCTACGACCAAAAACCTTTCGTCCATTTTTCTACAAATTTTTATTTCTCATCTATAGTGCAGAGTGTAGCACTACAATAATTAATATCTTTTAAAAATATTCATATTGTGTACAGAATGGTAGATTTGATTTTGATTAGCAACATATCGTGTCGAATTGTGCTCCCTGCGAATAGTATTTTTACTATCGTCTATTCGCTATAAACAAGTATTATAAAAACAAAGCACATACGAGCTATTCGCGTTCGCTATGTTAACGAACGGGACCGTTGGTTGGCACTCACGAACCGCTCAACCCTCTTCCGTAGCTTCTGCGGGCTCCTCGCTGCTGGCGCAGCCGAGCGCCGCCCTGAGGCGCCTCATCGGCTGCGGGGACGGGGAGGGGGCCGCCGTGTCCGCCATCGAGGCGCCCGCCGTGGACCCCGCCGCCCTGTTCCGGAGCCCGGTGCTCGGCTTCATACTCTCCCGGCCCGATCTGCAGGCGCACCGGCAGAAAATGAACGCCGCCGCCAGGATCAACACGGTGCGCCAGTACGCCTGCGAGGTGAGGCCGCTTACACTGTGGAGCAGATTGTTCTCAAAGAAAAAAACTGAAAAATAAAACCATACCATATAACTAAGGCAAAAAAATCATGCCTGTTGTACGGTAGCCCCTCTCAAATAAATATTTTTCTTATTCTGTTTTTCAGTATTTGTTATTTGCAGCGGCAACAGAAATACATCATCTGTGGAAATTCCAACTATCTTACTACCACGGTTCATGAGATACATGGTGACAGACCCCCGTTTTACCCTTTGGATCGCTGAGCAATCTGATATGTAGCTAAAGTACACTATGCACTCTACAATATTAAAGGCTGTCCGTGATTTATTTCAGGCTCTGAACTGGCTGCTTCGCTCCACTACTCAGCCCACGTGTGTTCAAGACGTGATGTGGTGGTTCTGCGAATCGCTGTCGCAGTTCTCCTCCGCCCCGCCGCCGCCGTGCGTTGTCGAGGAATCCAAAGACGTAAGCGGGCTGTCTCTTAACGTAATAAATCTTGATTTAGTTCTTTTTATTTGAATATAGAAATACAAAATTGTCGTTTAACCGTGAATCGGCACATCCAACAGGGATGGGCAGTCTTTGGCAAACTTCGACATATCCTCTCCTCTAATATTATCCTTGTTAATTGTATTTATGCTAAACATTTCTTGTATGCTGTGAAGTTTCCCAATAAAGTAAATAAATAAATAATATCCCTCAATGTTTGAAGACTTCAACCAATGTGTGTTGGCAGGGATGGCTTACGAAACCGAGATGTGATCCTTTCCTGCCGCTAGCTAATACTGGAGCGGGCTATGCTCGTTATTATTCTGATAGAATTCGAAACAAAGAAATCCGCAGTAGAATAAAAGTAACCGACATAACTGAGAAGAATAGTAAGCTGAACTGACTAAGGGCCGGCCATATAGCTCGTAGAACCGATAACTAATGGGGAAGAAAGGTAGTTACAGTGCAGATCGTAACGCCACTAGTTGTAGTTCCGACCTCTGCAAATGTGCGGGAAGTCGATGGATGCAGGTGATCGTGCATTCTTTGGATGAAGTGTATGGTTGTGTAAAGGACAAAGTCTTGTATTATAGTAAAGTGTTATTTGAAAGTATTGTACACTTCGTTACAGTGACTATCATTGCTAGGAATGGAAAAAGTTTGGATGTTGAGAGTTTCGCGCCAGAAGGATACTTGGTGCTTAGCGCTGAGTATAGATGAATCAGAGTGGAGATGTCTGCCTGACTGTCTTAATACAACATCATTAATAAGCATTCATATGTTTACCGCAAAAGAAATTGAAACCATCTCATTGATACGTCAAATTTTGGACCACTGAGTGTTTGAGCTGAACGCAATGGACCGGTCTTTGTAATTAGCAAGCGGGCGGGGCTTTCGTATGGGACTGCACCGAGCTAGTCGCTGACGCTGTGGTTGTGTGGGCGGGGCAGGTGGCGGGGCCGTCGTCGCAGCCGGTGGTGGGCGAGGGCTCCGCGAGCGCTTCCACCTCTGCCCTGTGCCCGGGCGGGCGGTCGGTGAGGGGCTCCAGGGCGGCGCTGCACGCGTTTCTCGGCTCCGTGAGCGCGCTGGCGCCCTCGCTGCACCCGGCGAGCGCGCCCGGCCTGCAGGCGGTGCGCTGCTGGGCGCTGCAGTACTCGCAGCACGACCGCACCTTCCTGCACAGGTGCGAACCACCACATCCCGTGGTATCACCAGCCTCGCGGCTCTATGGGCCTTGGCTCCGTGCTTCAACTCTCCTCCCAAGGCGTACCAGCAACAGGAACAGGTGCTCTTGATGCCGGAGCTCCAGTCTTACTTTGTTACGCCTGGTGGCAAGCGAGCTGGCGGCTAACCAGGTGGCAACCGCCGCCCATAGACATTTGCAACACCCGTAGGGTTGCAGATCCGCTACCACCTTTTAATACAGTTGGCTTCGATTACTTCACTCCCCAGACGAAACGCAGAAGTATAAAACACCCACTTCACGCCGGTATTCTGTGAGTTAGGAATACTTCCCCGGACCGACCTGACTTTTCGTGCTGCAATAGCGAAGAGTTTTGAATGTCCCTACTATATTATAATAAATAATACAATAACGCGTCTGTGAATTAAGTGAATTTTATTTACTATGTTTTCTTTATTATTATGTAATGGAAATCATTATTTATGCCCAAACTGAACTTGTTCCAGATTTGATTTGCGACACGGCTAGGTAATTGTCTTGTATTGGATTCGGTACTCGGTAAACTGCAATGCCCATAAAGCTAACGAGTGTTGTGCGAACTGTTCACGCTGCCCGGAGCAGGTCGCAGGTGTTCAACGTGATCAGCCGCATCCTTTCGCACGGCGAGGACGGGACCCACGAAGAGGGCGCCGTCGGCGGCTTGCACGAGAGCTACCACGGCTACAACAACAGGGTGCGCAAATTTCAATATACTAAATTTTATCACGTTCCCTTTGTAGTATAAAACTAAAAATTAATTTACGATTTAAAAAATATCTTATTGCTTCATGTGTTGATGGTCATTTTTAGGACACATTTTTACACAACATTCTCTGTTCCCAAACTAAGTAACGCTTTTAATATGTAACTTATAAATTTACTTTTCTTTTGTAAATTATTACACATTATGTACATATTAATACCCAGACACTAATATAAAGAAATAAATAAGAAGAAAAAGCACTATGTTCATCACACAATATTTTTCCAGTAGTGCAGATCGAACCCACACTCACTGGTGCAGAAGCAGGTTCACTACCCACTCCGCTAATCGGGGCGTTACAGAGAATCGTGACATTTATTAATTACCCACTAGCAAATCAGTATGATGTTTATTTATCGTCCGCGGTTTAATGCAACATAGGCTCCATTTTCCAGGCCTTCGCGGTCGTAACTTCCCACTGAGTTAAATGTCGTCTCGTAGTACATCGCGCTTCACCTAACATGGGAATTTTTTTCACATTTCCAGGAGAACTTCGTATGGAGGTGTCAAGACGTGACGGGCTGGTGTGACGTCACCGTGTCCTCGCGCCAAGGCATGCTGGGTGCGCTGATAGACGGCAGCACCGAAACCTTCTGGGAGTCTGGCGACGAGGACCGCAACAAGGCCAAGTGGATCCAGGTCTCATGCCCCAGCAGCCCCATCGATGAGCGCCCATACCTGCTGTGCTTGCATGTCGACAATACCAGAGACACCGTGGTGCGTTTTATTTATTCAGTATATACCATCTTCTTTTAGGTAGAAACGTCAACATCATCATATCGTTCTGTTCAAGTCTACTGCCTATGAGCCGTAGTAGCTCAGTGTCCGAGCGCTCGCCTTTGATTCAATATCCTCGAGCAACCTGAGTTCGATCCCCGGTGTCGGCACCAATGAAGTTTTTAACTTTAAGTGCTGACTTATCACGTGCTTCGTGGTGAAGGAAAACATCGTGAGGAAGCCAGCATATTTTCGAAATCATAACAAAAAATATTTCGAAGATATGTGAAGTCCGCGAATCCGCAGTGGGGCCGCGTGGTGGACTATGTCCTGATACCCTTTGTATAGACGAGGCCTTTGCCCAGCAGTGGGACATGTATAGGCTGTTACTTTACTTTACTACTGCCTAACATAGAACCCCACAGACTGTCGGAAGAATAGAGGTTCATAGAAAATGAAAGGAAAAAATATATATATATAGAACTTTTTGTGATGACGAGTGTTGGCTTCGGTGTCAGGAGTTGTGAGTTAGATTTCTACACGAGACAATTATTTGTGTGGCTCACAGATATTTTTTTTGAATCTGTGATGCTTAAGCTAATGGCTTAGCAACGGTGCCACAGACTCATCTAACTGTTTATTTATACGATAAACAATATTTCTTTACATTTTTAAACATTTACCTTTTCATGCGACATTCCAGAATAAGACGCTGCTGGTGTCGTTCCTATTCAGCAGCGGCTCCAACGAAATGGCCTACATGCTCGACTCGGAAATCGGTGTCACAAACGCTACCTGGGTTTGCTACTCGCTACCACGTAAGCCGAAAGTTAATTTTTTATTTCCCTAGAACACTGTATTATCTCGCTTGTTGGCGCTAGTTTACGGCTCACCGGCACCACAACACGCACACTATCGCACTACTCGACTGCTCCGCTCGACTGCCCGAACGCGAGTGAAATGTGACGCAGGCGCATGAGACTACTCACATTTCAGCCAATACACTACGAACTGTCCTAAATATTTACCTACTAGCTGCTGCCCGCGACTACGTCTGCGTAGAATAGGTTAAGGTGTAGCATTCAGATATACGTAAAATATGTATACAAATTATAGCCATGTTTTATTCTGATGTATGAGCTACGTTATTGTAAAGTTTCATTAAAATCCATTAATAAGTATTTGCGTTTTTACACATAGAAAGTTTCGCCCTTAGGCGTGGGCGGGGCGGCGACGCGCGTCCGCTGCGAGCTGCGCGGGCCCGAGGCGTCGGTGCGCGTGCGCCAGCTGCGCGTGCTGAGCGTGCCGCGCGCCCTGGCCACGGCGCACGAGCCGAGGCACGCGCTGCAGACCGTCGTCGAGCACGACACGCTGCGCGTGTTCCGCCTGCTCACGTCGCAGGTGCGCAGGAGCAGACGGTTCGCCCGATGTTAAGGACGTCTGCCGCACCGGAGGGTTGCAGATGCGTTCACAACCGTTTGAACATTGGTCTCCGGCTACCTCATTAACCAGACGAAACGCGAAAGTGTTACACTCCCACTTTACGCCGGTCTTCTATGAGATTGTGGTACTTACCCAGACGAGCCTGCCCATTCGTGCAACAGCCGAGGCTGTTTTTTGCGTGGCCCTACCGCCGTTAGCGCGTCTTAACGCGCCACCGCGGCGCGGCGCGGGCGCTTGGGGAATGGTGGAGGCGTTTAAGTACACCACGATAGATAGGGAGTTAGCGCTGCGTAATCCAAACACCACATGAAGTTTTTAACTTCATTTGAAATACACCAACTCAAATTTCTTCACAATAATGTAAATTCACACAAATGTTTAAGAAAATGCAGAAAGTAATTATTCCCTTTAGGGTTACATTTTCCCATGTGAGGTCATTTTATACCAACATATATTATTTTCAAGTGGACAAACACCCACATCCAAAACAACTAACAACAAACAAGGGGGTCCGTTTCTACACAGTAAAAGAGTGATTGGATTGGAGCTCTCCTAATTCCCACCCATCGGTGTTAGGGACGTGCGCACAGCAGTTCGGTAATGTCATGGGATAAATCCCAACGTGCGCAATTCGATTCTCGGCCAAAGGGTCATGATGTGCATCAAGTCTGATGGACTCCTAAGAGTCACATTCTCTCTCGACAAATAGTTGTCCCGTGTGGGAATTGAACCCACGACCCCGGATGTCGAACTGCGCCACGGAGTCATCACATTTGTCTGTCTGCTACATTCACCACATGCTTCTCCCCACGGCAGGTCTTCGGCAAGCTGTTGGAGTGGGACCAGATCGGTATGGATCCGAGCGAGGCGGCCGTAGACGAGGCGGCGGACGCCGACAGCGACCTACGCGAGCACGTGGTCGGTATACTGTTTGCCGGTCACAAACTCACCACACTACAGAGACAGGTGAGATGAAACAAATAACCTTTAATTATAATAAAGCGTTTATTTATTATAATAGTAAAAGGGAGTGTCGCAGGAGGCCTTATGAGTAAAAATTAAAACACAACTTAGAGTATTTTAAAAACTTAAAATTAAAATTTGATAATGTTTGACGTTCATTTTGAAAATTATAACAAGTAAATAGTTTCGACATTAGATGGCGAATGACTTTGTAAATAAACTTTCCATTCAAAATTGCATTATGAACTCTATAAGTCAGTAAAAGACAATATATTTTAGTAGCGACGTCGCAGCAATTCTCGTTGAAAAATAATTCTATGAGATTAACACTAAATATACTCAATAGCATAAAATATATATTCGGTTCTCATGTGATTCTGGTGTCATTGTTTTTTGTTTTCCATACGGAAATACGAACACTCCTAAACTAAGATGTCAACAATTTTAAAGAGGCAATAATTGAAGAAATATTTTTATTTAAAGCTAAATCACGGAATACTGTTATTCCGCAATCGATTTTTGAATCATCCTATAACGCACATTTCACAACCGTCCCAGATAAATTCGCATTCATTCGCAGCGGTAATGTGGACCGTCGTAATTAGCTCTAATGTAGGCATAGTACAAACAGTCACATCGGGGGATATGGAGATTTCTCCATCGACAGAGAAGAGGCCTTATCTATATATTAATACGTGAACCAAAAACTTTGTACCCCTTTTTACGAAATTTGCGTGGATGGAGGGGTACGAAATTTCTCACACTTCTAGTTTATATGTATAGAGAAGGAGTGAAGAATGTTAATATATATTTTTTAAAACATGCATAATAAAAACATTACACACTCTACCATGTATAATCAATTGCGGTCGAATTTCGGCCACTAGGCGACCACTGGTTGGATTGCATGATATTGAAAATGACCTGAAAACTGTCATTGCAGGTGATGACGCACATCGTGCTCGCGATCCGCTGCGAAGCGATGCGGGTACGCGACGACTGGGAGACGCAGATGATGTGCGCCCTCGCGGGCAACGAGGCCGCCCAGCAGCCGCCCACCGCGCCGCAGGACAACTACTGCTTCGAGATGTTGTCGCTGGTAAGTTACGAGCGCTATCTAATTTTATTTCATGTGAGAGAGTGGCAAACGAGCTGCCGGTTCACCTGATGTTAACTGATAAACGCCGCACATGGAAATTTGCAACACCTGTAGGGACGCAGATGAGTTGGCACCTTTTAATGAATCGGGCCCCGTCTACCAAGCTCACCGGACGAAGCGCAAAAGAGTTCCCACTTTACGCTGGTCTTTTTTTTATTTTTTATGGTGAAAAGGGGCAAACGAGCAGGAGGCTCACCTGATGGTAAGTGATTACCGCCGCCCATGAACACCTGCAACACCCGAGGGCTCGTCGAGGGCTGTCCATACGCGCAACAGTGAACACTATTGCGTGGCCCTACCACAGCTGCATTGTTTACTTAGATGTACGATGTCACATTAATGCACCCTCAATGCGGTAAGTCATTAATTAAACGATAATTCCACGTGAAATGTTAACATAATCAATAATTATTTATGTCGAGATTGACTCAATCGACACTGAGGTTGTTTGATTTTATTCTTATGCAGTCTCTATTTTTTTTATGTGAAAAGTTGCCAAGCGAGCAGACGGTTCAACTGATGTTAAGTGAATACCGCCGCCCATGGACATCTGCTACCCGAGGGTTGCCGATGTGTTGACAACTTTTTGAAGATTGGGCTCCGGCCACCTCACTCACCAGACGAAACGCGAAAGTATTATACTTTCACTTTACGACGGTCTTCTGTGAGGTCGTGGTACTCACCCGGACGAGCCTGCCCATTCGTGCTACAGCCGAGGCTGCTGCATGGCTCTACCACCGTAAATAATACAGTATGTACGCCGTAGGAGAAAAGATAGTAATTTTTGGGTACGATACTCTTGGTTTTTACATAGTTTCTTTTACTTTTATGTTAACGAAAAGTGGCCGTTTGTTTAGAGACATTGTCAATCTGCTGATTGTAATTTTTTTGTCCATTTAGCTGCTGGCCCTGAGCGGCAGCTCCGTAGGACGGGTTCACCTCGCCCAGCGTTCTGAGCTGCTCAGCGATCTACTCTCGCTGCTTCACACCGGCAGCGACCGCGTGCAGAGACAGGTGCGGACACCAAACCACATCTTAAGCACGAAGATGTTTTTGGAATAAAAAAAAATGTCCAGAGAGTGCGCTCCTCTTAAATTTTTTTACACAGCCCAAATACATTCAAACGTCTAACATTTTCCTTTCATGTTCTATCGTCTTTTCATGTTCATTCTATAAATATGTTTTAAATAAAATAATAAAATAGGCAAATTGTAAATAATAATACTTTTTCATAGTACTACAATATATGAGAAAGTAATGTCATCTTATCTATTGCAGGTTATATCTCTTTTACGACGGATGATCACAGAAATATCACCGCCCAAGGTTGCAATGGTGATCAACTTTGGAGTAGATGTGAACGACAGGCAAGTTTTTTCTTTAAGTTCGATCGGAGCAAATGATAGTTAATTAAACAAAACTGAAAACGGAAAAAATAATAAACAAATGTTAGTTAAAAAGCGGAGAGCTGGCGGTTGATCTGATGTTAAGTGATTACCATGCAGATGCGGTGCGGAAGATAGAACGCAGAAGTATAACACGCCAGTCGTCTGTGAGGTCGTGGTGCTTTCTCGGATGGACCAGCCCATTTGTGCAACAGTGAAGACTGTTGCGTGGCCTTACATTTTTCTTACTAACAGACTCGAGTGGTTACATTGTGTTACAATTTGTTACATATTTAGGGCGACGCTCCTGGACCATCTAGTGAGCTACCTGGCCAAGGCTATCACCGTGCAAGTAAAGGTGAAGGGATCTGGCGCCCCTGCGCCGGGTTCAGTGATGATGGGCTCGAGTATCAGCCCCGCGCCACCCTCGAAGTGGTTCATGAGGGGCGAGACGAGCAGGAAGCACGCGCATTTGGTAGCCAAGTTGCTTCTGGATATGGCTGAGGTAAACCTAACTGATCATCTATTTAGTCTATAAACTGTCTGTATTTGTCATATGACTTAAATATAAATATGACACCGTCTTAATTTGTGATGGCCGACCCGAAAGTACAAGTGAACTGAGCTGAAAATCATAGAAGTGAATGCCAATATTTATTAGAAAAATCAACAGAAAATAAATCTTCCATTTACATTTGAATTACGCAAGCGAAGATCATCAGAGCCATGCTTAAGACTACTACAACTGGTTTTTTGTATGAATTTTTGCATCGGATTTATTAGGTTTCTCCGTCCGTTAGTGCTACCAGCCAGATAATAGCTACCGATCGAGCCGAGGTCCGGCCATCTCGGGCACTCTCAAATCGGAATGCTAAACGGGTATCGAGTGACAGCCCAAGCCGGGGTCCGGGAACGGGGACCCTTGAGCCTGGTCACTCCATGGAGTGGAACTGTAAAGTGGCACATCCTGCCCAAAAAATAAAATAGAATTGTTAGTGTTTGTACTTGTACACACACACGTACCGTTTCCAGGACCGGGTGTCGTCCTCGTGGGGCGGGGAGACGCGTCTGGCGCTGGCGACGTACGCCTGCCAAGTGGCGCAGATTAACGACACGGACAGACGCGCCGACAGGTGCATCGCCTCGCCCACCGTGTGGATGGCGCTCGCCGCGCTCTGCGTCTGCGAGCAGTCCTACGTCGAGCTGTCAGTGTGGATTCAGATTAATCTTTCCTATTTACATCGAAGGCCGGCGAGGGGGCACGCGGTTCACCTCATGCTAAGTGTTTACCGCCCTCCTCCATCTGTATGAATTTACAATTTTATTCACCTTTAACGTATAACGTTTAATGTGTTGAACAAAATATTAATTTATTAAAATTGTTCAAGAACGAAATGAAAATAGGAAATAATCACGAAATCGCCTTTCGCGTGACATCACACTTTTCGTAACGCCGATCACACTTTTCGTAACGCTCTCGTCCCGCATTCACCGGCTCACTCTCCGAGAAAAGCGTTTAACCTAAAAAAAAAAAAGCGTTTCCTATTCGTGTTAACTAACTAACTAGTAACCTAACCCGGCCCCTGTGTTGGCACGTCGCGCGCACAGTCTGAGCAACGCGTCCGCGAGCGAGGTCCGCGAGGAGGCCGAGTTGCGCTCGTTCTGCGTGAACCACGACGACGGCAGCACGATGGCGGTGGTGGATTGCCGCTCGTGCGGGCCCCTGTGCGCCGAGTGCGACCGCTTCCTGCACCTCAACAGGTCCGCCAGGATGCACCATCGACAGGTACGCGGCACGCCTAGCTATGTACATTGCTCGCACACAAGCGCTGAAGCGGCCGCGGAATTTGGCTGTTCGTCAGCTGATGACTAAGATGTATGATATGGTGGAGCGATTTTCAAATTGCTGCTATAAACTTAGTGGGAACTAGGAACCCTATTACTAAAGACTTCAAATACAATACAACAGAATACAAGACTGAAGAAATATTTTAATGGGGTTTTTGGGTTTTTGGCCGTTTTTATAGATAACGTCATGGAACTCTTTGTGCGCGAGTCCGATTCGCGCTTGGCCAGTTTTAAATAGATTGGTGATAGTAGAAATATATTCAAATAATTATTAAGATGATTTGGAATATACTTTATTGGAAACATATAAAAAGTTGAAAAAAAGTACCTTGGCCAGATACCGAGCTTTATTTACTATATTTCAACTTATGCAACCTTAATATTTAAATTAAATGCTATTATCGTAAAACTAATCAAAAACCAAAACAATTTTAGATTTGCAAGGAAGAGGAGAGCGCCATCCGCATCGACATCCACGAAGGCTGCGGTCGTGCGAAACTCTTCTGGCTGCTGCTGCTGGTGGACCGTCGGACCCTGAAGGGATTGGCCGAGTTCCGGTGCCTGGAGCCGGTCTGCGACGGGCAAGGGTTCGCGGCGGGCGAGGGGCCCTCCAGCGGCCTCCACAGCCTGGCGGGGACGTGCCGCTTCTGTGGTACGCGAAGCACCTCCGGACTCCTCGCCATTGGAAATGTCTGCGCAGAGGAACAGTGCCAGGTGACCGGTCAATTATTTAAAACATTGTTAAATGCACGTGGTGTAGAGATAGTTTTGTGGGCATATACCATGTCTTAACAAAACGCTCTCCCGCTGTGTTCGGCGTTGTTTGAAGACAAAAATTTTGTAACCCTGTATGTCTAAGTAGAGAGCCTCATCGGGTTACTTCATTCGCTCTCCTGCGATACCGTGGCACATTCTCTGTATACGCCGCGCACTCGCGTTACGCTAACTATCGTCATTAAATCGCTTCTGCATCGTGATTTGTGTGGAAGGGGTTGGGCAGTGCCAACGTTCGCTGCGACCTACAGGAGCTGATGTAGAAACTATTAGACTACAATGGGTCTCCCACGTAGTGCGTCCGCTGTTCGCAGGAGTTCGGGCGCGATGCGTGCACGCGCGTGCTCGTGTGCGGCCACGTGTGCGGCGGGGTGAGGGGCGAGAGCAGGTGCCTGCCCTGCCTGGTGGGCTGCCCCGGCCCCGACGACGCCATACCGCTGCGCCAGGACGCCGACGACATGTGCATGATCTGCTTCACGGACCCCCTGCAAGCCGCGCCCGCTATACAGGTGCGTCGCGCACGTTAAAACTACCTCGTATTTGAATGTGAACCTTAAGTCTCCTTCGGCTGTTGCACGAAGGGCAGGTCGGTCCGGGTAAACACCACGGCGTGAATTGGAAGTGTCACATACTTCTGCTTTTCGTCTGGCGAGTGAGATAGCCAGAGCCAACTTTATTAAAAGACGCCAACGCTGCGACCCTATGGGTGTTGCAAATGTCAATGGGTAGCGACTATCGCTTAATCTGGTGAATGGTAACACCTTTTGACATAAAGTAAGTCTTTATGTGTGTTTTTTTTCATAAAATTTTATTTGGAAAGTCAAGTAAACTTAACCTTTCGTTATATTTCGGCTTGGAAGTTCGTCTTTCGATAGAATTTATTTCGCAGTAAAAGGTATCCAATGCTTAGGTCTGTGTGATTTAAACCTGTAACAGCTATAGGTAGAAAGATTCCTAATAAAAGGTTGTGCGGATGGTCACATTTTTTTTTTCAATTCCAGTTGACATGCGGGCACGTGTTCCATTTGCATTGCTGCAAAAAAGTGCTGGCCTGCAAGTGGATCGGACCGAGAATAACCTTCTCTTTCTCGCAGTGCCCCATTTGCAAGGTAATCGAGTTTATAGCTTTTCATCGTAAAAATTTCTTTTAAATCAATGTTATCTCATTACATTATATTAATTCAATCAATGTATTGGAGAAAACTTGGTGGTTCTCTGACCTACCGCATATGATTGTACCCGATGATGTGCGCTGCCATTGTTAGTGATAACAAACGATTCTCATAAAATGGAAACCCCTTGATATCCTTCAGGAGGACATGTCCCACTGGAGCCTCGAGGAGTTGCTGGCGCCCATCCGGCAGCTGTGCGAGGAAGTCCGCCGCAAGGCGCTGATGCGGCTGGAGTACGAGGGCCTGGCGGAAGCCCAGGGCCGCGCCACCGTCGACCTGGCCACCGTTGCCATGGAGCGTTACGCGTACTACGTGTGCCACAAGTGTGGCAAGGTGAGCGTTCCCAATATTTTTCTTTAGTCTCTTTGGCTTCCCCCGATGCGCAATGTGCATTAGTGACGGTATGCTATCGATAGTGAGAACTATCGAAAAATATAAACATGTCCTTTTTTTTCTTACACAAGTCCATTTTTAGGGTTAGGTTAGGGTACCCAAAGGGTAAAAATGTCCGTCGGTCTCTCACCAGGCTGAACTGCGATAGTTAGACAGTTGAAATGTTCTCTTACCGCTATAACAAGAAGTACTAAAAAACAGAATAAAAATATTATTTTGTGGGGTTTCCGTAAAACAAACATGATTTTTTTGCCGTTTTTATAGTTAATGGTGCGGTACCCTTCGTCCGCCAGTCCGACTCGCGCTTGGCCGGTGTTTTTACTTTTATAATATTGAAGTATAATTAAGTAGAAGTAAAACGTAAACATCAATTTTAAAACGACAAATTCCACTTGTTATTAATTACATCAGTGAACTTAATGAAGGCAAATAACGTTTACCCTAAAACAACAGATAACAGAACAGTAGTTATTTTGATTGAAATATAACGTATATAGAATTTTTAAGCGAATTATTAATTATAGTGTATATATAAAAAAAAAAGACAACCTGAGTTGAAATCTTGGTGCCAAAATCTAAATAATAAAAAAATATTCCATAATAATCATTCCCTCTGTACAGGGGAGGCTTTTGCTCAGCAATCGAACCTGTATAACCTGTTACTTTACTTTTGTACAGCGCACAAACAGATACCGCCTATACCGCCTTTTTTTGGTATCGGGGGGAAATCTTCGAAAGATACACCCTGTCACCTCACATGACCGCCTGCAGAAACAGCCCTTTCTCGTTTTCCTTCATCATTTGTCTGCCCGCAGGCATACTTCGGCGGCTTGGCGCGCTGCGAGGCGGAGTCGAGCGGCCGCTGGGAGCCCGCCGAGCTGGTCTGCGGCGGCTGCAGCGACGTGGCCGGCGCCCGTGTCTGTCCCAAGCACGGCTCCGACTTCCTCGAGTACAAGTGCCGATACTGCTGCTCGGTGCGTCGCTTTCCACACCCCACACCTCGTCCGCTGCGATCGATTGTACAGTGTTGACGACGCCGTGGCGCAGTTGCCAAGGCGTTGGGGGTCGTGGGTTCGATGCCCACACGGGACATCTATTTGTGTGCAACTAATTTACCACGCAACTCTTCCAGGTGGCTGTATTCTTCTGCTTCGGCTCGTCACACTTCTGCAACGCGTGCCACGACGACTTCCAGCGCGTCACCAACATCCCCAGGCATCTGCTGCCCCAGTGCCCCGCTGGTGAGCAACTTTACCATTTTTTACGTGAGAAAGTGCCAAACGAGCTGGCCACCTGACGGTTCACCTGATATTGAATGACAGCCACGGGCCCCGGCTAGCTGACTCACCAGACGGAACGCAGAAGTGTAACACTTCCACATCTCGCCGGTCATCAGTGAGACCTGCACATTCGTGCAACAGTGAACCAACCACCCCAGCCCCCCTCCCCCCTCGCCACGCGGGCAGCTTTCACTGAGCCAGCGTTCCCGTCGGCGGCAGGTCCGAAGTGCGAACAGCTGCCCGGCTCCTCGGAGCAGTGCCCCCTCCACGTGCAGCACCCGCCCACCGGCGAGGAGTTCGCCCTCGGCTGCGGCGTGTGCCGCCACTCGCAGACCTTCTAAATCGCCCACCGCGGAGGACCTCATTCTGACGCAAGACCTCACTCAGAAAACTCACCTCGGTCCTAACGACTGACCTTGTGTCGCCATTTCGTTTAACGTATAACACATTATTATTTTCGTAATATTGTTCGTTTGTACGGTTATATTTCTTTATCTGTTCTAAAAATGTCAAATATTTATTACGTTAAGTTTAGCAGTTGGTATTGTATGCTTAAATCCAGGTTCACATTAATAATTAGTCGAAACGGGTCTTGATACGTCTATACTTGTAATATATTGTCATCGGGAATTACAACTGTTCTGTAAGTATTATTTATTTTAGTTATAAAGCTAGTCGAGGTGTTAAAGCGCTAACCTGTCGAATGTTTCCTACCGCATAAAACTATCTTTTGTAAAGGTCGATTAAGTATTTATGTATGCGGTTGAACACGGACCTTAGTTCACCTGAATACCTTACCATACCTTTCAAAAGGAGAATTTGATTCATTTTTTTTATTTTATTTAAAATTTTAGCACAGGAGTTTAGAACAAGAGCCTTCGAACGCCAGCCCACGTCATAGTGTTGTACAACTACACTAGATCTAAAGACGTATGACCATGTGGCCACAATGAAGCCGGAGTCTTTATGGACTCCGGGTGTTTGTATAATAATGTATGTTTATGTCTCACCTTTGGCGTATTGCAAATTTTAATTAATTATTCGTTATTTTTTAATATCTGGAATTTATGTTCGGATTTTTTTATTCAATATGCCACCTGATCAATTTACGTTATTAAAATGTGATTTTTGTACTACGATGATATTGTAACTCCAAATTATGTAACTCTTTATTCAGGTTTTTAGTTGACTTTCCATCGTCCAAAATATCAGATTATGGGCAAAATGATATCTAATAGTGTCCCGTGGGATATATATAAGAACAAATTAAAACTTTGCTACCTAATAATTAATTGCTATAACCTCTTAATAAATTCGTATTAGTAAACCGTTCTTGTACAGTACTTCTGCATAAAAATAACTCTTTACACAATGACGTGGATCTGGAATTGGGTTTGTTGGACCGTTGATTTAGAAAACAGTAACGATTGTACATAATTTCAATCTCACTCGTTTTATTATCTTTTTTTGTTCCTTATTGTTCTGCTGTAAAGTGTTTGATAACATTTAAAATTCATTTGAAATTTTGCTCTGAACGGAATTGAATGGCTCTCGTAAATACTAGGTTAAGACAAGCGGACTGCTGTTTCTATACGTCCTCCTACGATTCTTAATTGTAAAACATAATGGTAAAGTTTATTTTCCGAATTTGTGTTTTGTCCATTGGACGAACTTTTCTTGCGTAGTTATTTATTGTTAGTTTTATAAATTGTATCGTTTGTACATTGATAATTTATCTTTCGTATGCAGTTTACTTAAAATCATTCGCTTCCGGCGTCGATTGACGACCGACCAATCCATCAATTAACGCGTATTCATTCATTCAAAAGTTTTAATAAGTCATAAGTAGTAGGTATAGAGTATTTTGAGACTGCTATAGACGTACATAATAATGGAATGGGATAAGTGTAATTTTTCGAATGGTTTTATCTCACCGTGCGTTCTCCATTGCGCTTTACACGAATGCGTCCAATACACTTCTCCTGTTTAGACGAGAATTCAATCGAATATTTTTAAAGCCCGCGCCATGCGTGTGGCCGGGTGGTATACGCTTCCCACAAGATACAGGTCGGAGGATACACGAATGCTTTATACTGCGAAATTCGCGCGTTGCTTTCCAACCGCCAATGACAAAGGGCCATGCGTACACGTTAATCATACCACAGTCAAAGGCAAACACCGATAAAGTAGAAGGCCCTATGGTAAACCGGCTATTCGTTGTTGAAAGCGCTTAATAATAACATACAAGGAAGGAGCACGAGACGAGTGCTAACGTGAATGACGTTAGGCTCTGTGTCAGCTTTGTAACTGACGGGTTTCAGTTCGATGCATAGCGTAGCAGTTTGAAATACGATTTACTTCGTAGGGTGAAGGATTACATCGGGCTATTGGTTTTACTAATACATAATAAACATATAATATAATCGTATACTAGACATATCTGTGTCACATTTTTAAGTGTTTCAACGTACTATTTAATCAATATCACATAATATATGTCGTGTATTTACATGAAATATGTCGTCGTAAGCAACTTTCCTCGAGCTTATTTCCCAACGGAATACAATCTCCCCCAATCTACTCGGTGCAACAGAAAATTTTGGTTATTTCGTTACCTCCTCGTTCCCCTTCGATTTATCAAGAGCATCGCGCACACTTCCAAACGCACGTCCACGCTTACCTTCGTGAAGGACACGCAGACATGCAAAGCTCAACTCTATACGTTCATTGTGTATTGTGCTTAATCCGCACCGGGGTTTCATGCTCCGCGCAGCACGACTATCGAGCAAGCCATACAATGCGACATCAATATTTATTGATAGTTCCTTCTTCCGTAAGACTCTGATAACTTCCAGGACAAGCTTGCCCGTTCTTGCAACAGCAGAAACGTTTAGAAGTGTAGCCACGTCATCGTAACTTGGAGGCTTACAAGTCAGCTGGCTGCCGACCCTTATTTTATTATCAGATCCTTACCTATATGAAATTTCCGATTATCGACACTGGTCAGTGTAGCTGAGACTTCTCTTTTAAACAATCAAATGTTTTTACAATACTTAGGGCAGGAAAGTCTTTTCATCAACTGCACTCCAATCTCCTACCGATTTCCATTTTCTTCGGGATGTGAAACTGGACACTGTACTTTATAAACGAAAAAAAAAAAAAACCCATGACGCGGTAAAAATACTGGGAGTATTTTTTTCATCGATTCCCGTCACCGAAACATCAGACAGAAGCGTTATTGATCTTAGCCTAAAATTGTATCAGCGCATTTTTCTGTATAAATCGGTAATTTCGTCGGTAAGGACCTGATAATTTGGCTGCCGTATTCTTGGACTATCTCCCCTCTCGCGTGTCCCTTCCTTTACCTTAGCTGAGCTAATAAAAATTTTATGTGTGTGCAATATGGTTAACATATGGTTACTATGCTTATTTGGTCGTCGTCCATATAATAGGTGTAATAGAAGTATGATAAATGTTGTTGCCTAAATGTATTTATTACCGGCTTGTATCAGCTTAATGTATCCTTTGTTCGGGCCTATAATTATAACAAAACACGGATTCTGTAAGTTTTATCGCTAGCGCTTCCTCTGTCGGCGACGGATAAAAAAAAAAACTTAAAGGCATTTATGGGTTATTTCAAAAGACCTGGCCTAAACTATACAATGCCTACTCTATCTTTTTTGAATTCACTTTCGTTCCGAAGTATCAATACCGCATCCTAGAATATTACTTGGTAACCTTACGCCATGAAAGTGGTATTTTAGCTCATAGAATGCATTTATTTTGTTTGAAAAATAAAGAAAAATATTAAACTCAAATACATCAGTTTAGGCCAGCCCATTTGAAACCATGTACCATTTGATTAAAACAATTATGTAATAGAGCGGTAACTAGAAAATATTTTACCGGAATATTGTGCATGTAACTAATCTAACATTGAGTTAATGATTACGTAACTAATAACGCTTCAAAGGCAGGATACGGAATATCTAACCATCTATTATTGTGTTTCGACCCGTCGCCTTAGCTCTTTCTTATATGTTGTAATACTATGTGTCGTAACTTTTCGTCCTTCGAAAATTAAGTTAATGAGTTGAAATAAGTAACAAGCAAATCGAAGAAACCATTACCAAAGATCGCGACGAAAATTTTCGGCATATAGCGTTATTGTTTTACACCTGTCTTGCTTACTGTACATTCTCAAAATTGTTTCAATCAGTGGCGTTTCAAGTTAGTGCCATTAGGCTGTTTATGAAGTGCCTTTGAAAATTATCATCGCACTGGTGCGCCACACTGTTTTGTTCGATGAAAATTGTTAACGTGAAGTTTGGTGAACGCCCCACGGCTTTAATTACCTCAATGGAATCCAGATATTATGTTATTTTGCATGTTTTTCCACAATAACTGTCATTACACCACTTAAATTTAATGTCTATATTATAATAATTAACTAGGGTACGATATATGAAAACTTTTCAATAAAGTTTATGGGAACGCAAGCGGTTTTAATTATTTGACATTGTTACTCTGTATCATTTATCTATATATATAATATTATATAAATATGTATAGTCTTAAAAACCTCGATTTAATTTCATTTTTAGCTATGCTTTATTGTATTGTTAAGTAGTAGTAATTAAGTTTTAGTTTTTAGTTCAGTTCCACTTTACTTTATGACATTTTATCTTGCCGAATTACTAACATTACATTTTGTCTGCAACAAATATGCGCCTATTCATTATTTTATAGGAATTTATGTGGCTTTTTTTTAATTTAGTTTCAATTGCTTGTATTAAGTTTTCTTAAAAAATGTTTTCGCATTTCGTTCGTTTAAATTCTAATTTTTTTTAATATTTTTTAAATAATTTTTAATTGTTAAAAAATATGATTCATGGGCAATATATTTTAATTCGGAAAAACTGTATGATTTCGGAATTTAATGTGAGCATTACTCAATACTCCTAAATTAGTTTACTTTGCGACCCGTTACTCTCTTAAGTGTATCCGTTTCATATGAAGAAATGTCTTAAATTAAATATCAATATTGTTACTAAAGCATGAATATAATGGTTTTACGAGATACAATGCGACTTCACCATATATTTTTTTTTAAATAAATAAGCAAATACAAATTTGATCTACTTTGTATTCGAGAAAGCGAGTCATATCAATACAGACATTTGCATTGTACGTCTGTAATTAATTAATTCGGCTCTTATCAAGACTTCATTTCATCAAGTAAAGTCGTTGAACTTAGTCGTTTTACACTTCCAATTCGGCGGGCGATACAACGCGGCCGACATATGGGATTTTGCAACGCTGACGGTGTTTAGGAATATTTCACTTACAGATAAGGAGCGGGCAAACAAGCCACGCAGAGCCCACTCGAAAATTGTGGCGATATCATCATTACAAAGATCGATTCGTCAATAGCTGATATCTCTGCTTTTATCTGAGGTTTATCTAGGACGTTGCAGATTCAGATTCTTCGCAGCTCTTCAGTTGCATGCGGCCCTCGCGGTGACGACGATACGGCCGGCCGCTGTGGTCCAGATTCTGCGACAAGATGTTTATCTCGTCATACCGGTTTAAGGTGAGAAGTGTGTAGCACGACTATTGCACTAATAACCAATCCCTCTTCTCAGCAGGTGTATTCATTATTTATAATTATTCATATTTATGTTTCAATAACAAGTATACGTAATAAAATGAACCTGTTTATTTACATATGCACAAAGATATTCTATTTATAATTGGCGTATTGCGGGAACGTTAAATCCTTATGTCGCTTAAGATGTGTGTCCGAGTACTTAATTAATATGAATTTTGGCATTTTGTTTCAATTGGACTGTGATCAAAGTGAATCATTAAATTTAAGTTCATACCGTGGTCAGCCTTGTTTTTTTTAATAAATTCGTTTATCGTTTTCCGTGCGACCTAATTATGAAGTATGTCGACAAAATGTTCACGAAATACTGACTTTAATCTACTAATATGAAATATTGTGATTTTTTCCGACTGCGCCAGAAGGAGGGTTATGTTTTTCGAGAGTATGTATGTATGTACTTATGTATGTATGTATATATGTATGTATGTATTTATGTATGTATTATGTATGTATGTATAATTGTTTGGCACGCTCTGCAGCCTGAACGGCTTGATGGATTTTAGCTTGTTAGGTGTCGTTAGATTCGTATTCACAGTGTTTCGTATTCAAAAAAATTATACAGAAACGCAGTCGGATATCTGTACTTTTAAGGAAAGAGTGGTTAGACTAGTGTGGATTTGCACTATATCATGATCATGATCAGCGGTAACAATTGCGTTGTACGAAGTTGGTGACTGGCACTTTGACGGGCAGTCTTGGCTGAGGTGGTCGCCGTTGCGCGGCTTCCTGTGCTCGTTGGCGGTCGCCGTCGGCCAGGGCAGCACGTGGCGGGGCCCGCGCGCAGCCTTCCGCCACGGCGGTCTCGTGTACGCGCTCATTGCGACCGCCGCTTCGGTGGCCCTGGCGCTGCCGCTCGCCACGCTGCAGCTGGCTGTCGGGCAGCTGAGCCAGCAGGACGCCGTGGGCGTGTGGGGGGCGGTGCCCTTCTTCAAAGGTAGCCCCCCTTATTATTTACTCCCCCCCCCCCTCCCTCAATCAACTTATGGATGTCCTACAATGTCTCCACAGCGTGATAGCGAAGCATTAAATGAAAAAGTATATACATTTTTATAGTGCTGCATATTACATACTACTACATACATACGATTACGTTAGCTCAGTGGCTAGAGCGTCCGGCTAGCGTGTCCTGCGACTTTTTAAATATTTATCCGTTTAAAATTGCGAGATTTCTACAAAGGGACCACTATCCTACCCTAAAGTTTTAAAGATTACGGGAATTTTGAATTAGACAACCTTTATATCCTCGCAGAGAAGTTTGTTAGAACATTTTTTTTTAATTTGTGTGTTTTTTATAAATTTTGGTTCTTGAATAACGCCATAACGTTGATTGTTTCCAGGGGTCGGTTACCTGAGGCTCGCAATTTCCATGCTTACATCGATCCATACGATTATTTACGTTGCTCTGATCACGACCTACTTCTTCTACACCATAAGTAACTCAATACCGTTCTGGGAATGCCAGTACATAGTAGTACCGGTGAGTGATGCTTCAAGTTCTTGACGACGAAAAATAATTTTTCTTAATTTAGCCAATCTTAATTAGTATAAATTTACAATTCAAATGAATAACTACTAGTTTTATAAGTATTCAAATGCCACAGATACAAACACAATAAACACCTGAATGAGTAGCTTGTATTATATTTATTATTATTTTTTTATTTAGAGTATGTATATTTTTATTCGTAAACTGTAAGAAGCCATTCTGTGTTATTAATTTTGAACTAAAATTAATCTTGAACTATTTATATGTATCTGTTGTTTTGTATATATATTGTTGTATTATTTTAAATACTAATCTTTAGTCGACACAGACATTAAGTTTAATTATTAGAACTTCTTTGCGTCACTCAAATAACCACATCGCGAAAACACAATACTAGGTACATAGTCGTTAGTATAAATAGTATTGGTTTTATCGGTTGTACTGTTTGGGTTAGTATTGGTAACAAACCTTAAGCGGTGTCGATAATCATTTCATATGGCGTAAAATTAGCAATTCAGCTTTTCGAATGACAAATAAATGAATAAAATACTCATCATCCTCCTTCCGACCCTCGTTGGGAAACGAGCAAGTGTATCGGAACAATTATTTGTGGGTCACACAAACATTTGTTTCTGCTGGGAATCGAACCCGAGAGCCGAGAACTTAACAACGGTGTCACCGCGTCAAATTGGGTTTAAAGAATGCTTTTATGGATTGCACGCGTGATCGCTTCAGTGCATGCCTACGTTTCAGGACGAGACCGAAACACGTGCCGCGAACGCGTCGAGCTGTTTCAAGTAAGTACCACGTGCGTTGGGCGTCCGGGGTTAGGTCCAGTTCAGTTCCGTACGATGCTGACCCAATTCCCCGCTCGGGCTGTTGCAGCGACACGTTCCTGGCGCCGGTGGGCGAGAGGCCCGAGTACTTCGTGGCGCTGGCGATGATAGTGGCCGTGCTGTCGGCGGCGCTGCCCCTCCTGTAAGGTCTCACTAAGGCCCCACTAACGGCCCTTTGTTCGCCCAAATGAGCCCGTTTGCATGCCGGCCCCGCGTACGCGTGGTGACGTCACGCGCCGTTGTCTAAATACCAAGCGAGCTCATTACTCGCGCGTTCATTATTACACTTCCCACGCAATTTCGTCCCATCTTGATGCGACCTTTATAACTGTGGTGGGGCCATGAAACAGCGTTCTGTTGCACGAATGGGCACGCCCGGTTAGTAACACGTGCTCACGGAAGACCGGCAAGAAGCAGACGTGTTACACTTCTGCGTTTCGTCTGGTGAGTGAGGTAGTCAGGGCTAAATTTACCGAAAGGTGGCAACGCATCTGCTACCCTATGGGTGTTTCAAATGTCCATGGCGTTAATCACTCAACATCCGTCAGCCAGGTGGACCGCCAGCTCGTTTGCCACTTTGTAACAAAAAAAAAAAAAAAGACGTCGGCGTTAAGTCGAGGGGAACGACGGCAGAAGTCAACGAGTCTCAGACCCGTTTAGATAACCGCCCGAGTTTGCCATTCGCGACGCTGAATTTTAATGAATAATGCCTCCCCCTTATCGTTTCGCTTTCAAAGTTAAGACGGAAAAAAATCGATCGATTCCGAATCCACTCTTGTCGAATGACTATTTTATACAATACAGCATCGTTATAACTATATTTGCAATGACCGAACATTGTCGTAGGCTGTTCGGTCCGCTTAAAAGCGTGAAGCGGCTGTTTTACGCGGCGGGCCCCGCGGTGATCGTGGTTGGGGTCGCCGTGCTCTCCTCGATCGGGGACAGGGACGCCCTCTCCGCCTTCCACAGCCGCGCGGATGTCCAGAGTCTGTTGACGCCCCACGCGTGGTACGGCACCGTCGTACAGGCCCTGGTAGCCTCTCAGACGTCAAACGGATACCTGATATTGGCCGGCGACACCATCTACTCGAATATGGACGTTCAGTGGTAAGCGTCGTCATTGCAAACTCCATATTTTTGGGGTTCCGTACCCAAGTGTGAAACGGGACTCCGCTGTCTGTCTGTCTTTCTGTCCGTCTGTCACCAGGCTGTGTCTCATGAGCCTGTAGACAGTTGAAATTTTCCGGGTGATTTCTTTCTGTTGCAGCTATAACAACAAATAATAAAGGCTCCGAGACAATAGACATGATTTTTTTTGTCGTTCTTATAGATAATGGTACGGAACCCTTCGTGCGCGAGTCCGACCCTCAATTGGCCGGTTTCTTTTTAATAAATCTGCATGTGAGTAGTTATCCTAGCGACCATTATTTGCACGCCTTCGTTTACTGCGTGGCAGGACAGCATTGGTGCTGGTGGGGCTGAACGTGGCCGCCGGTTGGGGCGGCCTCCTGTTTTGGTACGCGATAGTCTCCCCGGGCGAGCTGGACACGAGCCCAGTCGCCGTGCTGGTCGAGACGTACCGCCTGGCAGTGGAAAGGGAGCTCAACGTCGCATGGCCCCTGCTCATATTCTTCATGCTGTTCCTCTCCGGCATAGTTACCATGGTGAGTTGTGTTTTTTTCCGAACTGTTTGACGACCCGATTGGCGTGGTTGATGGTGACCCCGTCTTGGACCAGACGGGTGTGGGTTCGACCCCCCACCGCTTGAAAGTTATTTTGTTATGAACATTGCGTTTTTCCAGTGATTGGCTGTAATATGTATTGATTTGCAAAAGAAAAACACGTTAGAATAACGTATTTGAACACTCCACTTGTGTTGTCTACAGCAGATAAAAAAGAATTAACGTGATTATTCCAGCTGACGTTGCTTTATCCGATATACGACCGCTGTCGCCGAGTCGGTGGGCCCAAGTGGCGGTACGTGGCGATCGGGTGCTCGTGCGCTGGCGCTGCGGGGGCGCTGGCGGCCCTCGCCGGGGGCCTGCCCGCCCTCAGCGGCATAGAGGACGTGGCCGTGCCCCTTCTGATCGGGGTCGCCACCGTGCTCGAGGTCCTGGCCTTCCTCCTGATTTATGGTGAGATCTCCTCCATCTTCTACCTCTTACCCCCCTTAACTGGACTCAAGTGTGGGCAGCAAGTTATCTCGCTTCAGGTTTGTTTCATTTGATGAGTAATAGATAAAAATCCGAAACACCTGTGGTGTCGAATACGCAATTCCAACATCTAAGAGTGTGGTTTTCGATTACATCAGTTGCTGGACTAAACCTAAAAATACAAAATATCCATTTCACGCATGTCTTCTGCTCGGTGTGTGCTTGTCCTAACGAGAAAGCACATTCTTATGGTGCAGAAAAAGTTGCTTTGTAGAATTGATGACACATTCAGCTTCAAGCTAAAGTAACCTAATGAGTTGACTGCAATAACACAATTTAGCCAACATCCTTTGACGTTGGCTAAATTGTGCTCAAGTTTAAAATTTAATATCACCGCATTGAAAGGTCGGAAGACGCTCGTGGAGGACGTGGAGTTCCTGATCGGGGGGCCGATGATGAGGTGTTGGACGCCGGGGTGGTTCGCGGTGCCGTGCGCGGTGCTGCCCCTGGGGCTGTGGTGGGCGGTCGAGCTGCTCGCCGAGCCCGCCAATTGGGCGGCGGGGTCGCGGGGGGCGGTGTGGCTGGTCACCGCCGCTGGGGGCGCTTTCGCCCTCGTGCTCGTGTTCGCGTGCGCGGCCGTCGCGCAGCAGGTGCATTACGACGCCCTCGCGGTGAGCAGTTGCATTTTCCTCTCTGCCCCTAGCAGTGTTTCCTCTAACTAATGTTAGTTTGTACAGAACATTATTAAGGTATTGTAGGTGATGAGAGCTGATTTAGATTCCATGTGTCATTAAGCTCGGGAGACGGAGCTCCCGAAGCTTAATGACACATGGAAGTAAAGAACAGTAGTTGCCCCTCTCGCTATACGCGATGGCGACTATAATAACACAATTATAAGCATTTGCGAATTACTAAGCTCAATCGTGTCTCAGCGAATTATCAATGTAAATTTCTCCCCCCCCCCCCCCCCCCCCCCCTCCCTAACACAGGCAACCGAGGGATCGTTTCGGGATATTGTGTGCGGTGATGCAGTTTTGAGGTGGTTAACAATTCTTTGTCGACAGAAGTTGCAGTCGTCTTTCAGACCGTCGAGGCACTGGGGTCCCCGGGACCCGATAACGCACTATTATTGGCTGGCGCGTCGCGAACAGCTGGAGAGGAACCTGCCTAGGACCGCGTATAGGCGCCAGCTCGGCCGCTATTCGGGGGACGCGAGTCGCATGAACATCTCCCGAACAGACGTGGCGAAGGAAACGCCTTTGGAGAACAAGAAGCGCTCCAACTCCGACGATTGGCTGTTCACCGTGTGCAGGAGGAGTTATTTGAGACAGGCCTACCCGCAGCTCGTCGCTGGAAGAAATAAAAGATCCAAGTCCTTAGACTGGGCTGCGTCCTCCAGTTTAGGGTCGAAAGGGTCCAGCGTCTTCGAACAAGGCTCCCAGATCATTGCCGTCAGCGACCTAGCCCCAGCTCGCGAGATAAATAACAATGTTTCAGAATCTAATAAAAATTCCGCCGCGGTGACTAGATGAAATGATTGCCGATATGTCTTTACCGATATCTTTGTTTATATCTAGTCACGTGTCATGTCAGCTGTGTATGCCTTTGTATATTATGCTTGTGTGAATAATTATATTTAAATTATTTCGAACCGAGCTTGTCTTCTTTACAACCATCCCGTTTATGTAAAACAACAAAATATCGGCCATCTTTAAAACAATCTGAAACTGTCGATTGGCTATCCCATGACTGGGAAACTAAAATAATTGAAGTACCTCCCTCAGTTTCCTTCCAGCTTACTACCTATCATATTATACTGTGTGAATGTAATAATCGCACACAAAGTGTGAAAATTAACAAACAATAGTCAAAAATATTAGGAATATTTAAAATAACATTATTATGATAATCGAAAAGTACTTACAATCGAACTTTTTTATAAAAAACGCTGGCGACTCTCATTTTCATTGTGTTTTGATACGTATAAAAATCTTTTGCTTGGTGTCTTTTAGTATCGAAGCGTCCATCGCTGGACAAAGACCTTCATGCATGGAAAGAAAGAGGTTTTTTTCCTTTTGGTTTAAAAACATTGCCCCTACTTTTGGATAACATTATCCTGTGCTGTTAAGATTTTTTACAAACATATATTTCACGCGGACAAGCAACTATTTGTGGGTGACACAAATAGTTGTCCCGTGTGGGAATCGAACCTACGACCCCCGACGCCGAAGCCAATACCTTGGCCACTTCAGGTCCTCACAGGTACAAGTAAAAATCTGCTTCCATAATTTGCTATGTAAAAAATAATCATGGGAAAACTGCTGGCGTATAGTGAAATGAAAATTTGCAATAAAATGCAATGCGACATACTTTACCTTTTTTATTTTAAATATGAACGTTATTTTGTATCCCGATACGATCTTTATAGTGGGTGGTATATGGCGGATCTCAGGTAAGTGTAATGTAACTTTGTTATCACGAAGATCCTATTTCACCTAACAGTAAATAAATTCAAGGCCTAATTCAAAACTCACTGATTTTGCCATGCTTAAATAATTATGCAAAACGTAATTAAGCGGAAAGAAGTAAATCAACAGACGGCTCTATACCGTTCTGAAGCGGCAAGCACTGGTATCCCCAAAAATGCCGTGGCACAGGACGAGCGTCTATCCTCCTCCCAATTTCGTTTTCTCGAAAAAAATAAGCCTATAATACATAATAAACACCGTCGTATTACACAACGCTCTTACACTCATCCGCCAAAGCGTGCACCGAAATCCAAAACGTAGGTGACTCAAATGTGAGATAAGTGATATCAACGTGCAATTACGCAGCAGCCGTGTACGTGCCTCGCCGCTGACCTCCGTTTAGGAAGATGCCCCGTATAAGGTGCGCGATCCTTTGTTGGATAACGGCGGGCTGTTATGTATTCGTATCGCGTAACTCCTTCGGGGACGTGGAGGGGGCAGAAATGGCTTATTAAAGTTCTTATTGAAGCGGTCACGTTAGAATCGGTGTGTCGAATGTCACTTTTCATACCCGACTAACGCTATCACGCCAAAGTTCAAAAAAATATTCACATGATTCATGGCTTATCTATAGACGAATGCATGAGTTAACGAGCGATGGCCTATTTAATTTAAAACGTTATTACGTTGGAAGTAATTTAGTGGTGTCGAAATAAAAGCCTACTTATATAATATATAATATAATTAACATACAACAGTTATATTATGGGTAGAAAAAAATGCTAGGGTTGGACCACCCTTAACATTTAGAGGGAGAAAAAATAGATGTTGTCTGATTCTCTACCTTGGCCGATATGCACACAAATTTCACGAAAATCGGTCGAGCCGTTTCGGAGAAGTTCAATACAAACACCGTGACACGAGAATTTTATATATGAGATAATATTCTTGTACGTGCTAAATCGTGCTTTATGGCAATGGACCTAAACAGGCAGAAATGCTGAATTTAAATAAAGGTCACCAGAAAGCAAATTTCAATTACATTCTTGAGCCAGTTTTCGAGTAAAAGAAATTATGTAATATGGAAAGTTGCCAAGCGAGCAGGTGATTCACCTGATTTTAAATTGATACCACCGCCCATGGAAATCTGGAAGCGCCCTAGGGCTTATATCTTTAAATAGCTACCTCACTCAGCAGACGAAACGCGAATGTTTAATACTTTCACTTCGCTCCGGTCTTCTTTGCGGTAGTTATATTTCCTTGGACGCGCCCGTCCATTCCTGCAACAGCTGACCCACAGACAAAAACTAGCCTGAAACTAAACGAGCAGTCGCCTTTAGCGCCGTTAAAACAACATTATTGTTACTTGAAGTTTGTTTCGACTTTTATACAAATATTAATCGGATTTTATGTCTTTTTCTTCGTTTCTATAGTTTATTAGGGTAAAAAAAAAGTGGATGATGTTGCGTTGTTTCTCTTATAATACGATATTAAAGCATTTCTGGTGTATATAGCAAAATTTTTAGTGAAAAGTGTGTGAAAATCATCTGTTCAATTTTTTTACGCACACCGAGGCTCGGCGTATGATCAAACTCCGCCTCCTCTCAGATAGTCTTGTGTAGTTCGCGAATGAGGAACGAATAAGAAACGTATCTTTGTAATGTACTACGTGGGAACGTTTCCGAATGCTAACTGTTAATCGGATCTTTCGTTATTTCCATACATCTACCGACACTGGTCATACCGAACGAATCGAACGCGAGTGAAAGAGACAGAGAGAGAGAGAGAGAGAGAGTCGATCGGTGACAGGTGACCGAATAAAATGAATTTATCGGAGAAAAGCCGACGAATCACGATGCTATCAACCGAACAAACATTAAACTTTCTGAGTCTAAGATTTACGTTACAAATGCAATAACGACTGCTTAGCTTAACGAAGCAAAAAGGCGGGAGACTCGTGTCTAATGTCTATGTAATAAATACATACATACTATAATACAAACAACTTATACTCAAAGATTCACTCAAGATGTTTAAAGTTAATATCGTAAAAATACTTTTTACTTTTTTAAATAACGATTACACAATGACTTTTCTGATAGTACCAGCGACTAAATCCGAAATGGAGCTAATAGAAATAATAGAAAAAATTAGTTCATTGTGCGAAAGAACTAGTTCAGAGAGCTCTTCTAAATGATCGAGGCACGAGACTACTCTCAGAATTTGCAGTACAACATCGAATAATCGCCGCCAGGTGGCACTAGTTGCGGTGTAGCTCCAACAAGTTCTGTCGCCCTGGTACAAAAGTAACGATTGATTGATTAAATTAGAACAGCAATTTATTTTATGCTCTGGACTGGTCTAACCAAACAAACAAAGTAGGAAATAAATTCCGATGATTCTATTCACCGAAAGGGAAATGGTACACAGGATATTATTTCGGTTTAGATATTTTTGATAATTAATTTTTGCAGTTCAATGTTATATAACAAATAACACTTTAAGGCCGATTTGTTAGTTATTTTTTAAATTTTAAATAGAAATATGTAATAAAATAAAAACTGTTTAGACTGATAGATACTACAAGCGTTGTTGGCACCATGCCTCGTGGATGAGGATTGTAATTTAGATAGATTTAATGGTGCAAAATTTGAATAAAAAAATTGTATATTTTAATATTGTAAGTAAATATTGGTTAATCTAAAGGAAATTGATGAGGTTCGCGTAACGCAAATAAAATAAATTTAAAACGATAGAAAAAAAAATAACTAAATCCACTAGCAGAATTCAACGATCGCTTATAATTTTCCAGAACAAAATATTTAAAACTTGTTATTTTCACCAAAAAAGTCTGCCATTTCATTAATTCAACTGCAAAAATTCAATGCAAAGTTCTGCCAACATGATAAGTATAGGAAGCGGATGACATCATAATTGTATCGATTCTTCGATTTTTTTTTAATTTAATGAGCCACAGAATCGACACAGCGACCCGACTCAGTTATATATACAGCGTGTCGTTACCATCGCGACATTAAATGAACACACATTTAACGCTACGTGCCAATAATCAAAAAAAAAATATTTACGTTAAACAAAATCCATAATTAAAAAAAAAATATTTTTCAAACAAACTAATTAAGTAAAAAAGAAACAAAATTTGTAACCTCCTATACAACTCGCGCCACAGCGTCGTATTACAAGCCTCTCATTGTAACACTATGTTTCGTCTCTTTTAAATTCATTCAACCCATTCATATGCTTTGTGACCTTTACAAATGAACTTTACGTTACGCTTTTATAGGTGAGGGTGTTCTAAAATTCTTTGTTTTGGAAAATTTTATAACTCTGTAAATATTTAAAGATGTTTAAAGAATTTAAATGTTTAATACAACTTTAAAAAGTTATCCCCTATGTGTGTGTTCATTTATTGTCGCGATGGTAACGACACGCTGTATATCTAGCTGAATCGGGTTGACGCCCGCGTTTTAGCCTTCGTGGTTATTTTTTTTATGACCCAGAAATAGGAGCAGAATTTACGAATTGAACAACAACAAAATGGCGGATTTCTATGGAAATTACACTATTTCTTTTTTTTTTCGAAAACTATAAGCGAACGAAGTGTTCTGCTTGTTGATTAATTCATGAGTGATATTTCTCTATCGTTTACAATTTATTTCAATTGTACTAAGCGAACGTCAATCTCCTTTACATTAAACTTATACTGTTACCGTAAGGGTTATAATTAAATTACAAATTTTGGTAAAGTTTTATTTTAATTATATTATTATTTAAAAAAAAATCGTGTTCATATTACCAAAAGTAGAATTTCTCTTTCTTGATTTAGGACATTATACTTGACTAATCGATTATTGCTGCTATTAATTTTTTTCCGTTTCAGTTCCAATTTTTTCTTACTACCATACTATACTATAGATCTGAAGACTATTGATTTGAAAAATAAAAATAAATTTATTTTTTCTTTTTGTTGAATTAAACTTAACGTTGAATAAAATACTATTCAAAACGACATTTATCTAGAGCATTCCGAAACAATTATGAATAAAACACCCGATATCGATTTTAAAAATCGAAGTAAACCATTGTGATAACTTTTTCTTGCACCATGTTGGTAGTACGTAATTTTGTTTCTGGCGGCTGCGCACGTATTCGAGCGTTTGGCTAAAATGATTTTTTTTATTATTTTGTGAAGACGTGCCCTCACTAAACAATTTTTTTCATATTTTATGTGAACGTTATCATCAAATCTGGAAGGCCTGGACTTTTTAATTTTCTCTGATACACAGTGAGTAATTTTTCATAAAAACTTTTTTATTACAAAACAATGGCGTATATTCTTAGACGAATATCATGAATACATACTACAGTATTTTTTTTATGCAAGAACAAATTTGGAAGTTATTCAGTTTGAATGCTGTTCAGACTTACATTTAGTTAGAATCGCGTTTTATTGAGATCTAAAAAGATACGTAGTTGTGCTATCAACTTTTTTTTTTAAAATAACTCTTAGGAACATTTTGAAAAAAGTAAAAGAGGGTAGTTAGAGTTTAAATGAGGTTTTATTATTATAATTACCAGATTTATGGAACGTCGAAGTTTCGCTCTTTAGTTCCACATCCGTAAACGTAAACTTATTGATGACTAACTTTTTGCCCGCGGCTCCGCCCGCATGTACTATATTTTTTATCGTGCTTAAAAAGTAACTACGGAACCCTTCATGCGTGAGTTCGACTCGCACTTGGCCGTTTTTTTTTACTTTATATAAACTTACAATCATCATCATTTTACAGACATTAATATTTAGTTAATTATAGTTTCATCCAATTCAACTGTAGCTACAGCATTTTATCGCACAAATCTTCAATGTGGTTCTTTAAGCTGATGTAAGTTTTTTTTTATTAAAGAACCGATTTAAATAAAACTAATACTAAATGTTAAGTGAAGCTTACCAAAATGCATTAGCGACTTTCCGAGACTAGCTCGTTACTGAGATTAGCGCGCACAAACATACAGAGTAACAGATAAACATTTTAACATATTGTTTTCTTGATTTTACGCGAATATTATACACATTAAATTAAACTGTTTCAAATCAAAATAAACAACGCGATCAAATCCGTAAACTAGTTTCATTTAATAAACATTTTAACAATCATTATTTTGGGTTCTACTGCGTTGATGAAGGCCCCTAATAATAGTTTTTCTGAAATACCTTTACTGACAACGATCCGTTACATTTTTGTTGTGTTTAGAAGAATATATAGGTGATAATGATCGATTCGCGTCTAGGGGCAATCAATGAATGTTATGATTGAAAACGTTGTCAATTTCTGGGTTATTATTTCATGAGTCTTTGGGTCCTGCTGCCAATAAATAGTCGAAAGGAAATTCCGAGGTGACCCCTCGGAGGTGCGTTGCATCGGCCACCACACCGTAAGCGTCACATCGGTCGCGTTTCGTGGTAGATTTGGTCGCAGCGGGAGCCATCGCCATCACTGTGCCATCGTGCCCGCGCCGCGTGCACGCATTAGTTGACGGTGCGGTGCGCTGGACGGTTCGCGGCGCGCCAGCGGTCGTGCGGGTGTCCGATTCGCGAGTTCTCGATTGTAAGTGTCTCGATGGCCAAAAAGAGCCCACGGCTCAGCAGGCTGGGCGTGCTCGCCCCGGCCGCCCTGTCCGCCTGCATGGACGCCTCGGTGCTGGCCGTGCCGGCGGCCGGCGCCATCGTGTCCACCGTGCTCAAGGAGCTGAGCAAAGCTTTCATGCTGAAAAAGTAAGCTTGGCTAAGTTGCCTTCTTATTCCGCCCTGCGCAAGATTGCGATTCGAGTAGCCTTTGACTAAAAATATTGAATTGTGATTGCGATGCGTTGTGCTCATGCGACTTTTCCTGCTTTGGTGTCAGCTATAACATTGAATTTCTGAAGGAAGTTCGTTTTAGTCACTCCTTTTATGCAATACCTACGTTAAGTATAAGTTTAGTCTTATTTCGTATTATATACAATTTGCCCAAGTGCGTGTTGTATCTGTTCATAGCCCTCGTCAGGAATTAGGTCAGGTAGCAAAAATCCGATGGCTTGTTCGTATAGTATTTATGATTAGTACTCATCACTAGCTGAGAGTACGTAGTACCTTCAGGCTTGAAACAATTGAGCATTAAAATGTTTACCCCATGGATTAAATCCACATCACTACGCTGCCATAACGTCAATTTGAATACTTAAAAAATGCGCCATCTGTATAGTTTGAACTGACAAATTTGTGGTGGGCGCTTCATTTTTTGAAACGGAAATTTCGGCACTGCATACTCAATAAAACTCAATAAAAGTTAATCACGGATATTTAAGCGGTGCTATAAGGACTAGTAGTGGTTACGGTCTGGAAAAACACAGCGATGAGCTCTGATTCATTACGGCTGGCAAGTTTTAAATTACGGTCAAGGGACCAAATTCGGGGAAACGTTACTTAGCAGTTATCAAGTCCACAACATTGGAAGTACACAAAATTGCTGGATTTTTTTGGCAAGTCGTTCTTAGTATTAGCCGTATACATACCCGTACCATAACCGCGCCCGGCTTAAACTCTTTTCCGACTCACTGAGGAACCTGGTCTCCTTATCGTAGTGTTATTATTCATAATGAGTAAAACCTTTAAGCCTAAATACACGTTGCTTACAATTATTAGGGTTCCGTATCCAAAGGATAAAACGGGACCCTATTACTAAGACTCCGCTATCTGTCCCTCCGTCTGTCACCAGGTCTGTATGTCATGGACCGTGATAGACAGTTGAAACATTCACAGATGATGTATTTCTGTGGCCTCCATAACATACAAAGACTATAAAACAGTATAAAAAATGTTTAAATAGGGCTCCCATACAACAGACATGATTTTTTTGCCATTTTTATAGATAATGGTACGGAAACCTTCGTGCGCGCGTCTGACTCGCACTGGGCCGTTTTTTTATCCAAGTTTTTGTTCTATGTTTGTATTTATTTTCTTTTAAAATTTAAGGCCTACAAATAAAGAAGTTCATCATTCAGAGCGGATTGTTAAGCTAAAAGGCATCGATGTATAGGATTACGCAAAAATCTAGAGGAAAACTATGTAATATAGTGCAATACTTCACTCTTGGCTCTACAAATGTTGATGCCACTAATAAGCGAAAGAGAAAACGGCTTTACGTGACTTGATTACATGCAACACAGCGCCTCACTTCCCAAACAGATGTGGGCTGTTCGTGTGGAGGACGTTTCGTGTTCGGCCGCGAGGCCACCAGGAGGTCCAACAATTATTCTAGTTTTCGTTATCACACGCCTTGCTACGGTCGTGTTTATCAAACTACGCTATCGCTAAACTGTCTAGTATAAGATACTTCTAATACTACAAGTATAGGATACTTCCTCCAAATGCTTCATTGTTCATAATTGTTGTACTTCAAAAAGCATATTTGATTCCAATAAAAAATCGGAGATTGCTGAGAGTTATATGAGAGATATATAATAGAGATATTTTCGTTATGGATTGGTCTAACAGACATAAACAATTTGTGTTTGTAATAATACGTTTTTATTTATCTGTGGGCGGGATACTTTGAAGGTCGTAATCGTAAAGAATTTCTATCTAATCTTAGGCCGTGTTTGTTTAGCCAAATCTGAGCCTCCAATGTCACATGTCATTAGATCGATTCGTCAACTATTTCGAGTTTATTGTGAGACCCACTAGTATTTTTGTACGATTATTGCGATGCTCATACTTCTTCATTACAGAATAATCTTTTAATAGATACATAGCAAAGAAATATTTTTTATAATTGCTGACAGAAATTATAATTCTGCATCAATTATTTATCTAGTATGACCACTGAAATAGGATTACGTATGTCGCCATCAGCGTAAAATCTTGGAGCTAATTTCTTACGTATTCTTCGAACATGATTTGAACGTGTGCTTGAATAAAAACAACAGTCCTTACACGACGAGGGTGCCTTGTGTTCTACTTGGATATTTACAAACATAAAATTACAAACGTTTATCTCTCATTTCATTATTTCGGATACCTTGTTTAAAGTTCAATAAAATAATTATGAAGTATATTATTACCATTAGTTATTCGCCATCCACATTTAATGTCCTTACTTAACATTTGCATTTCATTGATCTAGTGTATGTAATAATGCTGTAAGCGAAATGCTATTTTATATAGTACGAATATTTTTTAACGTCGTAAAACAGGTGCTTAAATAAAACAAATTTTAAACGTATCTTACACATCTATCAGGCCAATAATTTTCATGAATATTAATATAGTATTGAAATCGATACCACTAACTTGCAATTTATTGCTCATTGTTCAATTTGTTTACCTTTTTGAGCTCGACCGACGACGGTAGCATACAACCAATATTATAAAACTCCCTAGGATACAGTGCACCGGCACAAACAAAGCAAAGAAAAGTCTCGTTTTATCCTTTCTTCATACTAAAATTTGTTGTTACTTTAATTCCAACGTCTTTAAGTGATTCGCGAAAAGACGAGTTATTTTTTAAAATTTGTAAAATTATGAGGGAAAAATTTTTACCATGCGCGCGCACATCGGCCCTAAAAAGGGACTAGATGATTGGTACTTATTTAATCTTGACAACTAATAACAACTTGATATGTACCAATAATTGCAAGTTATATAAAAAGACCGTTATCAATTCTGCAATTGACTTAATTCGCCTATTTTTAACATGCAGACAAAAGCTTATTAAAATGCTCGACGCTGCGTTGGATTGTTTCCTTCAATCGTTAATTACGTCGCGGCGAGTCGAGAATAATGTCATTAATTCATCGTGCGTTTAGTCTATCGGCAGAATGAATACTTCACCGAAATAGTTCTCAGTTACGGTGTCTAGTTTTTGGAGATGAGAAATAATTTATTATGTGTTTTGTATGTGGCTTAATGATTTTGTAAGAATAATTTTGTCCATAGAATAGTCTTTATTTCTTTGCTGAATAACAAAGGCGTTATTGGCACAATGGTGCTCATACACATAAAGAGCAACGTTCCGCGACTGCGCATAAATGGGCGTTAACAATTACGTGATCCACCACGTCTGCTTACGGAAATACCTACCCTTTTGGCGACTTATATATTATTTGTTTCTTCATTGAACAAATCACTAGAGTTCAATTACGTCATAAAAATTAATGAAAAATAAACGGATCGTGAACTGAACTAAATAAAACCATAAACTATATTTTAGGACACATTTTTTTACACAACGTTCTCTAGTCCAAAACTAAGCAATGCTTGTACAATGGGTACTAGAAAACTGATAGACCTACTTAAACATACTTTTCTTTTGTAAATAAATACACATTATACATATGTAAACCCAGACACTAGAAAAACAGTATGCTCATCATACAATATTTTTCCAGTAGTGGGGATCGAACCCACATCCTCTGGCGCAGAAGGCAGGTACACTACCGAGTACGCCATTCGGGTCGTCAAAAAAAATAAATGAAAATAGAATTTAAATATTTATGTAGCTCTTTCCATAATGGATTAAGTAGAAGTGATAGTGCCACGTAACGGTCTTCGCTGCTCCATGAACGGGTAGATCTGTTCGGGGAAGTGCTTTATACGTCTGCGTTTTGCCTACTGAGTGAGGTAGCCAGGGTCCACTTTATTGAAAAAAAGGTTTTGCAAATGTCAATGCCTTCTCACTTAAAAAAAAAGTTCTTTGGATTTCATTTTGAGTTTTATATAGTAAATGATTTAAAAGACAAAAGATAATTCACTCCCGATTTATTCCAGCCCATCATTAATGATGGAACCGTACGTTAGAATGAAGGATGAACCCGTGATTAAAAAGACCAAAAAAGTATCAAATTTATAACGTTGGACAAATATACTTCAAACATAAATAATTGTTAAGATGTAATAATAGTAATATTTATTAAAATTAAAAAAAAAAAAAACAGTTTTAAAGGTTACTACGGTTTGCAAATCGATGATTTGCACATTAGGATCGTGGAAGCAAAAAAAAATATCTTCATTATTAAACGACTATAACTATAACTACGACGCATTATAATTGGAGAAAAGGTTTTTTTCCTATAGATCTGATATCTAAATGAAATTTAATGGTCTGTTAAAAATCTTAAACTTACGAGCCGAGTCAAATTTTTCAATCAAATATTTACTAGTAACATGTCCCTTTCTCTGTTTAATTGATATTTCTATTTTATTAAATGTATTAACCATAAAACTCTACTTACAAACATTTTTTTTAAATATCATAAACGAATCAAGAGTGAGCCTCTTTGGTTAAATCATAAGGATTGCCTTTGAATAATGTCAAATTGTTTGGTAACATGACAATGTCAGAATATAGTGACTTATTTTAACATGAGGATTATTTTGGGAAGTGTATTCCAAATATGTAAACGTATGTAAACGTAGTGATTACATTCTCTTTGGTGTATTCTTTAGTGTGATGCCACCACTACTGTTCCATGGTCGGTAATGGATAATTGTGTCAAATTAGCCTGGTTTAATATGTCGAAATATAACTAACAGTGTTTGAGAATGAACAGTGTTCATAGGCGCATTCATTGCAAACCGCCAAAAAAGAAAAGAGGAAGAAGATAATTGTGGATAAAAAAGTAAGGACATAAGAAATTCAATATAAAGTTTTTAATACTGCAATGTTATGAAAATAATCGCCTTATATTAAGTTTGCTCCGAAATCTAAAAGCAGCGTAATAAGGATCTACGGTATTAGTTTCCTTAAGTTTCCGGGTGTTTTTCGACGTAAAAAAAATGTAATTAGGGACAGAAAAATCATTAATAAAATACTCACCTAGCAGAATTTGGCGGTCGCTTATACTTTTCGAGAAAAAAAATTATTTAAAAAGTAATTTTCTAATTTTTTTTATTGCACTATAAAAAATTTAAATTTACATTTACAAGATTAAATTTTCAAGTCGGCTCTGCCGTGCCAGCAGTAAAATGCCTTGCTTAAGGCCCATTTACACGGTGCCAGTTTCTTGCCTGTTGTATACAATTAAATTGAAGCAGTAAATAAGTTGCAGGGTCTAAACAACAAATGGTCTAACCAATTATTGCGCGCAATTTATTGCATTCAATTATTGCTCTTGCATGTACAAGAAAATGGCATCGTGTAAATGGGCCTTTAGCCTAGCGTTACTTATTATGCCTCTGCTTTGTTCTTGAAAAATCCTGTTGTGTTCAACGTGATACCTTTGTGTTGTGTGTACGTGTTTGTGTTGCTTGCTAGCTTAGTGCTTAGTTCCCCTCGTGGTGCGATTTTTTTAATTTTGTTCTCTCGTTCAATCCAATTGCTTTGCCTTTTATGAGGACGGGTTGCATTAAAACTGCACTATTTTTTGATTGGATTATTGTAATTTTAATACAACTTTGGATTCACAATATTAAATCTACATTACATACTGAAATTTACTTTCAATTTTTTCGAAAATATAATTTAATTTGAAGCATTTGTTTGGGTGGGCAAACTGTGATAGTAAATATCTTTGTGTTTTTGTTATACATATACGGGTGGATTATTTAAATGGTGTTAAATTTTTTACTTCACACAAATAATAGCAGAAAGTGGTTTACGATAATGCATTAAACCTCATATTTAACTTCATTGTTCGCTATAAAGCTGAATGCTATTATTTTACATGTATAAAGTTATGCGATGAAATCCATTGTCAAATAAAAAAAAAACCCTTTTATTTATACGTGTAAATGTTAATAACATGATCATATCTTTCCTTTATAACACCGGCGGCCCAGGTAAGTTGTGTTTTATTAATTTTATTGTTAATTGTGAGAGGATTCACCGGGCCCGTCTTGCAGGTGGTTCCATGGAACAATGTCCGCCAAGGAGGCGGAGGTGCTGATCATGGAGAGGGGGAGGAACGGCTCGTTCTTGGTGCGGGAGTCGCTGACGCATCCCGGCCAGTACGTGCTCTCAGTTCGCGGCAGAGGCAGGGTTTCGCACGTCATGATAAGGAAACAGGTGAGTGGTAGGATTAGGATAGGACTCTGATTACTAGGTGACGGCCGTTTGACGGTTGCCCGCAATGTTAGTTCACTTCCCCGAAGTCCGCACGCGTCTACATCTTGAGTAATTCAAGTACAGAAATAAACCTGTAGAAACTTTTGGAAACTCTTACTCAACTTTGTATTTGCGTACGAATATTGCGCGATTTTCGGTGGAGGCGGTGCTTTAAATAAAAGCTTTGTGACGTCAGTTTTTATGAGCCGTTATGCTCGTGGCGGCGCGTCGCATCGCGTGCTTGCGAACAGGAAAAACCTGTCGAGGACGTTGTGGGAGGGGACCCTAAGCACCGTCTATTTCGACACCAGTTCGTCAGTTGACGAGAATTGCGAAAATTCCGCAAAAAGTGTCATTGAAAACTACACATTCAATAGACTTACGTACCCTGACATTTAACTTTGTATTAATAGATAATACAACGTCAAATATAATGTTATAATAAATAAACTGTACAACGTCTTAGAGGTTTTTAGAGGGTAGTTCAAATTTTTAAGTCATTCTCAGTTACTTTAACAGCAATTAAAAACATTACTAGAAACAAAACAAACAATAGCTATATGTCTCCAAAGTAACTCGAGTATCAATATAAGAATATGTGATAAATAGATGGAGGTCTATTAGTATTCTTTTCTTACGTAATTGTCCATGAAGAACAAAAAACCAATGGGAAGCAATCATTTTTCCGTCTCTAACAATTGTAGCCAAGGCGTGGGATCAATCGGTCCACATTACGCCATTGTCGGTAAAAACTACCTACGTACATACATAGCAACTCGATGTACTCGTATGTATCTAAATTTAAAAACGGTTAGCCAAGGTTTTCCTCCGAATTAAATTTGAACACATAGTGGATTTGACTATCTCGTGTTATTTCTTCACGTCGTTCAAAATTTCAAATCTAAGGTCTGATTTCGGATTTGACAAATCTACTAGGAAATGTTCAAAGCGAGACCATGAAAGAGATTGTGGTAGACGGCAGTTTTCTAATTGTAAAGACAGTAAGAACTGTACAATTTCTGTTCCAGTAAATATAAGATATAAGGAAGAATTACTTTATAAGAATAGCATTATTTAATTATATAAAAAAGTGTTTCGTTTTCTTGATTGATTGTAAATTAAACATTACCGTTAGAAATGTGAATTCACTTTAATTGTAAAAACCAATGATGAAGTCTAGTGTTTCGGCCTAAGTTCCAGTTGCGGTATAAGAATTGTCATCAGATGTTTATTGCAACCCGCATGTAGTCTTTATTTATTTTATTTAAAACAAATACTGAGGATACCGTTTAGCTGATGCATCTTAAGTTCCATAATTCTTCATCAAATTTTATGACTCGCACAACATTGTAATTTTTATGTTTGCCGCTATTGAAAATTTATAGCTAAGTTAATGTTTTCACCAAAACACCGCTGTTTAAAAGTTTCTTACAAAGAATGTATGACAATGGCATCTCCTGACCCTTTATTTAAAGAAAAGTTATGTTATCTTAGTAGTTGAATTTTTAAGAATAACGTTTATTTAGAAAGAAAAAAAATGGTGTCATACGGACACCTCGTTGCAGGTTCTTATAGTCATCGCTATATCATTTTTGTTTTTCTATTAAGTAATGATATAATAAAAAATAAAGAGTATATAATAAATAATCGAAACATAAAATGGGAATAAAGTTGGTATTATAGATACATATTTGGAATGTTAGTTATTATATCACTATTTTTTTATTAGAAATATATAAAAAAAATTATCAACGTGTTCACAAAAAACTTTACCGCTAAAAAAACCGCATGTAATGTTTAGGATTAAAATTGAGATACGCATGAATACAATATAATTATATACATAATGCATCTTAAAAACATGATTTAATAGTTAGTAATAGAAAATCCGTACTTCTCAAGACTTTTCATCATAATTTTAACTCTCATCCAAGTGTGAATAAACAAAAGTCAATGTGAATTTAATGACTAGTATATATTGTAATAAATACGTATCCTGAGACCCAAAATATATATCTAATATCAAAACTTTCAAGGCTATGAGTCACGATCTCCTTATCCTTAAGTACTTAGAACGGTTTGTTCCGAGAATTAAATGCAGTTGATTCAAAAATGCCCACCTCGTGTGTCCTTATTAACCCATTCGTGACTGCGCCCGGCGAATTATTCATTTATACTACATCTGTAATGTATTTAAGTTGCTTGTATAGTTAATGATAAAAAACTAATGCACGATTCAGGTCATTTATATAATCCATTCGGATTATATAAATGACCTCACGCGTAAAGTTGACACTACTCTTATGGACTTTAAATCTTGTCATCTGGAATAGTCATGTAGTATAACAGATTTTCATGTTCGGCGCGGTTGGAAAACGACAGCGGCACCGACAGCGGCATAATGAAGATGGTTTCAAAGAGATCAATTTCGACCAGATTCACGGTATCACCATAGTAATCAGTAATAAGCTTTTGAAATATACGTATAGTTCCAAGTTATTTAATTGAGCCGTTATCAATTGCATTGAAAGTCCTTTTCACAATCAAAGAGTACTGGCACAGGGGATAGAATTTTCAGTTATTCTCTTTTGTTAAGCTAAGAAAAGTGTAACTTCTAACTTGCGTACTTAAGTACAATTTTTTTTTTTCGAAATTTATTACTTTAATCTTAGCTTATGGATTCGGAAAACTGTAGATACAATGCACGAATTATAGCAAAATATTTTTTTTATCGCCGCGAATCTTTTGCTTTATTTTAAGAATTTAAAAGTCTATTTCTTCGTTAATCCAGGTATATTGACACAAATAAAATTACCCGAAGCCGTAATGTGTATACGAGTAATAGGTGAAGAAAACTATCTTACTTCTTTTTAAGCGAAGTTCAAGAAGAGATTGCCGCTAAAGAAGATTACCAAGTTGTTAGATTGATTATGTGAATTGTAGTTGAATACAATTGCTAACTCTTACTATACTTACTTACTTACGTTTTGTTTTTCGTGCAGAAGAAAGTAATACGTTATAGTTAAATACTGTGAACTTACAATATATACAATGCTATGCAAATATACCATATTGGTTACACTAGGAAAGCAGAACCAAGAGCAGTAAACTCGTGGTGGTTGGGCTCAGTGACAGTCTATCGCTACACGATACTGTATTGAAGTGACAAATAAAAGTCTTAAGTTTCACTGAACTTATTGTACCAATTTCAACCGTATTCTAGTTTATTATAGTAAAAGCAAGTTTAAAAATACGTTTACCTTCCCTTAGCAATACGGCTTTGCCGCTTTATAATTGCGAATAAAACAGATGATGTTGTCTCTCTTTAAGAGAGAGAAAGATTGCCTTATCGCGAATACAGCGAATCTCTTGTATGTAACCCGTGTTCACATAGTGTCGGTAATGCAAACTCACACTAACAAAAGCGCGTAGGACAACGACAAATCTCTAAAACTTCATGATATCCTGATATGACAGAATCATAGTTTTGCCTAGCTTTTGTTTAGTTATTTGGATAAGATTGGTTTTATCCGATTTTCTTGATAGCCCATTTCTTTTTATTACATATTTGATGAAAAGGAAAATAACTGAATCTGAAACTCTTTGTTAGTGCTAGTCTTTATTCAAAAAAAGTGTTTTTATTTAAAATTTAGATTTTAAACTAAAGTAACAAAGATAATCCTTAACCTAACGTTTATGGTTACGTTGGACATTTGCTAATTTCCCAGTAACATCAAATAATCAGAAAAAAAAATTGAAGTTAGTTAAAGGTTAAGTTTGAAGTTACTTAGTAAATAGAATGTATATTTTACAAAAATATGTCTTTTACGGTTTCATTACTACGTCTGCTCAAAAATTATCTTCAAAAATGTATAAGTCAGTACTTTGGGACTTGCTATTTAAATTATTGTTGCGTTTTTGTTTCTCATATAATTATTTTGAAGTGAAAACTTTTAAAGGCACGTTGAGCAATTTTATATGGGGAATAATTAACAGGTTGTCACGTCAACGATGTTGGTGACTTGGTGACTTTTAAATTTTTATATCATTCGGTTTTCTAATATTTGATTTATGTAAAACAAATTAAATTTCCTCAAAATTATTTTTAAAAATTTACAGAAATGAAATTCATCAGCAATTTAAATTAGCGATTTGTGATTTCAATTGTTCATAATACATACCTATATATTTAGACATTATACATGCATATTTCACTTGAAAATTAAAAGAATCAATTATTCCACTTAAGTTTTTATTCCTGTCTACTGCTTATTTGTTACATTGTTTTTTATTGCAAATGCTAAAACATGATACTGGTCGTCAGGAAAAACAGGAACGACTCGTTTCTTTCCTTTATTCTGCCTTTCCCTTCCATGTCTTGATTTAACTTCATATTTCATGCCGTCCTAGTACTACAACATTGCCTATCTAAATATTAATCAATAACTTTGTGCAAATATTGTGGCCATTACATATGAAGTATTGCCCTACAAAAAATTACATAGTTTCTTCAAATCTTCTTCTTCTGGGGTGCCCTATCCTATCGGATGTCGGCGACCACCACACGGAACTCTTCTCTATTCTGCGCCAATCTACAAAGACTGACGGCGTCCTTGATGTCTGTCCATTTTTTCAAATTGTCACTCCATGTTATTCGTCTTCGTCCCCTTCCCCTTCCCCGTTTTCCTTCTATTTTTCCTTCAATTATATTTTTCAATATGTTATATTTCTCATGTCTATATATATGTCCAAAATACGCGGTTTTACGTTTTTTAATAGTTACCAATATTTCTAGCTGTTTCTTCATTCTATTAAGTACCTCTTCATTCGTTATTCTATCTCTCCATGAAATCCTCAACATACGTCTATACAGCCACATTTCGAAGGCGTTAATTTTTGATTCGGTACTTTTGTTTAGCGTCCAACCCTCGGCCCCATACAGAAGCACTGACACAACGTAACACTTCACCATTCTCCATCTGAGTTTA